TGTGTTACCTATTTATCTTTGTTGCCTCAAACCTATAAAGGGTGAACTTGGTTCCAAACTTTGTCGAACTTTAGTTCAGAAGTTCGAAGATCGTCGAAATTTTAACTCAGCCAGCCCTACCGAAATAACAGAAGAAAAAAAAACAGTTTAAACTGGATTAGGGAACAGGAAAATCTAACTGGATTTCTCGCTGGAAACCTGAAATTCAGTTTGCAGAGCAAGAAATCCAGTTAGATTTTCCGGTTCCATAATCCAGTTTAAAACTGTTTTTTACAGCGGAGCTGTTAAGGGCTAAGTTCCCCAGGATCGTGTCCGTGTATGTCGACACAAACCTACTTGGACAGCTACCGCCATCTATAAGCGACGGCGGCAAGCACACAACCAGTATGGTTTCCGCCGTCGCTCGTAGATGGCGGCAACCTTTCCAGCTATAATAGACCCTTTCCGAAATTCAGTGCCATCTGGTGGTTCGTAAAGCAGTTTAGATTTTGCCATATCAATGGCGGAAATGAACTTGTATCGGCACCGTTGCTTTCGCAAGTCAACGGCTAGCGAGGAATTGTTCAGTGTGAGTTCTTTCTCGATCACTTACAGTTCGATGGTGACCAAGAACCTGCATTCAGAACAAAGCTCCAACCCACTCAGATGCCTCGAGAAAATTACATACACCAAAGTGCTTTAAAGCCGATTGTCACTTGTGTGCCGCCCACAGATTGATTGAATCTGAGTTATTAGAAATGAACGCTTACGTAGCTCTTGTGTTCCATTCCTACGTCGCGTCGTAGTGACCCCCCCGAATGTACAGGCCTTGCATCATCCGCTTAGGAGCATCTTCAACGTCTTCCTTTATCAGTCACTATCCATTGATATGGCACAGATGCCGTTCCACAGATGATGATAGTGATCAAAGTGGCCAGACTGAATTTCGGAAAGGGTCTATAGAAGGATGGATAGCTGGGCGCGCTGGAAAAAAAAAAAAACAGCGCGAAAAACAGACGACGACGAAGAATCGGGCGCGTGCGCGTTGCGGCAGTGTTACAGTGTTGCAGTGTATCGAGTACAGCTGGTCTTTCTTCTTCACGAGAGTGGAAAAGCTGAACGTTTTTTCGGTAGGGAGGAGGTTCGAAAGTTCGGAAATCGTCGAATTTATTAGCGTAATAAGTTCGAAAGTGTCGAATGTCATAGCGCGAAAAATTGGAAGTTCAAAAATCGTTGAATTTTTTATCTAGTAAGTTCGACGAATCGAAACTTTGCGACCCTTTCGACCCTTGGTTCGGTCTTCGAACCTCAGGTTCGCAAAAAGGTCGGGGATCTCTAAACTTCTTTTCCCTCGCAAAAAAAAAAAAAAAAAATTGTTTGGTTTTTTAAACGCTATTTTGGCGATATTCCACACCGCCTGGTGATAGTTAAAAAAATGCAGAGGGGAAGCAAACATAAGACAGACAGTGCGAGGGGGTAAGAAAGGTGAAAAAGAGGGGAGCAACTTCCTTTTCAAAATATCTATCCGCTTTGTTTCGAGGCTAGGTGACGCAAGCTACCGCCCGTTTTAAAGAGTACAGTTAGCATCAGAGCCGTAGCAAAGCCGCAGAGCAAAGCTGGCAAAGCCGCAAAGCCGTTTAGCATCCATCCACCCATCCAATGGGCATTTGAATGGCGATGTGTTGGTTGTGGCCAGTGGTAGCTATGGTTGTGGTTTTGTAGCGTTGTTGAAGATCCAACGACTTGGCACGGTGATCAGTGATCAGCGCACACTCGGCACTCTTCTGCACTCAGGCATCGAAACGCTTCAAGTCCTTGAAGTGACGTGTTCGTGAAACCGCTACTCTTTATACAACAGGCCAGGTAGTGTTCGTCCAGTGCCTGGTTCGGCATTTCTCCGGTTTCTCTATCAAAACAAACAAAGTGCAGCGCGCTTCTTTTTTTTTTTTCCCCTCTTTCTTCCATTTGCGAAGCATGGAAACTGTTGTAAGTGTTGTGCTGCCGGCAGCTGGAACCGGCGAAAGAATGAATATTGCGACCCCAAAACAGTTTTGTGAAGTGCAGGGAAAACCACTTGTGTTTCATACAATCGAAGCATTCCTTGCGTACAACTGGATCTCCGATGTCGTTATCGTGTGCGCCCCGGATCAGCTCTCCGCAATGGACTGTAAATTGAGAGCCAACAATTTATATCCGAAGGTGAAACTTGTAGTGGGTGGAACAACGAGGCATCGGTCGATATACAACGGTATTGTGCACATGAAGCAACATCCGCCAGACATCGTGGTTATCCACGACGCAGTTCGGCCGCTGGTCCCAGCAAAGGTAACACAAATACAACCCCTGGGACTGTTCAAACGCACTGGAAATTACTTTCTCTTTATGCGCAAATATGCCCAAGGTGTAACGCTACATGAGCTTAGCAAAAATCTACTTACGTTTTGCATCGAGACCATGTTCTCTGCTGTCAATTCATGTAGCCCAAGCCTCTGGGTAAGACCCCTTGGCAAATTATTAAATTAACAAGCAGAGCATTGAGGAGCCCATAAGAAAATGTTGTGTAACCCAACACACAACTGAAACTCACCATTTTGTGCAACAGGTTCTGGAGCAGGTGGTACACGAAGCGAAGCTTCACGGTGGAGCGGGACCAGTGGTGCCTCTTGTGTCCACAGTCGTCAAAATGACCAGCAAAGGATTTCTCCAAGAGTCACTGGACCGGTCTAAGTATGCAGCAAGCGAAACACCCCAAGCATTCCGGTACCCTCTGCTGCTAGAAGCCTATGAAAGCTGTACTGAGGAAGACTTTGATTGTGGCACAGAATGCCTTGCTCTTTTACTCAAGTACTGCGGTGTGCAGGCGAAGCTTGTGCCTGGCTCCGACGAGCTCTTTAAGGTTACCTACTCAAGAGACCTTTACGCTGCATCTGGTATGCTTAAGAGTAGTTAGCTTGCATGGTTAAGGCCCGTTTACAGACTTGCAACCAAGTACGACCGAGAGAGACGAGACGTGTTGAAACCTCTTAAAATTTTTTAAGATGAGAAAACACACTGGCATGCTGACGCCACCTATGTGGTGACCCTGGAACTGCATTTCACAAGAGCGAAGGTTTTGCGGGATTTCCGAGGTCAGATGTGTGTAATAGCTACGAGAAACGCTCGTTTATAACGTTGATAAAAGTTTTTCGAGGCAAGATAAGGAGGATAATGCACGAGAAATAGAAAATATGCCAGACCACCAAGACCCAATAGATGGCGCGAGTGTGTCCTCTCGTCATACGATATTAAGAGGTTCCAAGGCGCTCGGTTCCAAGAGGTCGCAAGTGTGTGAACAAGCCTTTAAAGTGGAGCCCAGACTGAATGGCAAGGCATTAAAATGATGTAACTTTTTTTTTTTCAACTTTTTGTGAAATTTTTTTGGTAAGAATCACTTTTTATACACGTTTGCAAGTCCGGCTTCAGGGCGCTGCCATCTTGCCTGTCTGGGGTGCGCTTGGACCAGTCATAATCCGATTACGAAGCCTTGCTAAGGCGTCGTAATCGGATTATGGTTGCTCACGAGAGCGCACCCCACTGAGGAAGATGGCGGCGCCCTGAGACCGGACTTGCAAACGTGTATAGAAGATATCTTTCCACTTCATAATTGTGTACATGATGCAAATGAAGCTCCCATGTGTATACGGGAAGCAGCTTGCACCCCAGCCGACGTAGTAATGACAAAAATTATTTTTGGCAATTTGGTGGAAATTAGGGCAAAGACTTGTAGTTACCGTAAAATACCGCAGAAGCACCCACTTTTTTCAAGTGCCCACTATTAACATTTTCCATACTTGGGAATTCTGCAAATTGTACATTAATCACCCGATTTGACCAGACAAGCGCCCATGTCTAAATTAGCCCATTTTTCAGTGGAAGCAGGGTGGCTGCTCCTCTGGCATTTTACGGTACTTGCTGCCTTTGGTTTCCGGGGCGAAAGCCTGTCGGATTTCTCTCCACTGCTTGTCTACACGTCCTTCCCCACTACCCACCAACTTTCCAGCCCTTCCTTCCCTTTGGAAAGGTTTTTGGTGGCCGTTGGTGTTCAGCTTTTCCTCCTTTCGAACTTCCAAACAGTCTCGCTGTTGTGCCCTCCTTGCCAGCACCAGCAACGGGGTAGTCAGTAAGTGCTAATCCCAATTCTGTAGGTTTCTCTATGCACCTTTGAGAAAGTCTTTTTCAAAGACTCATTGCTAAGGAACTGCTGGGGGAGCTGAGAAGAAAGCAAGGATAGAATTTTCACAAAGTTTAAGAACAGGAAAAATGATTCCCTGTAAACTGGTGCTTAGGGCTCATTTTGAGCTTCATATAGCCGAAAAGTCGTTATGTCCTTGCTTCAGTACCAGATGCCCTTCGTTGGTTTTACACGTAACCCCCCCCCCCCCCCCCCCAATCCTCCTCCTTGCTTCTATAGTTGTAAACTGATTGTACCTCTCTTGATCAATTATAAAGATAAGCATTTGTTACCGTACAGTTTATTTGTATAGACTAGATTACATCTGTAGCGTCATGAAGTGTAACAGGAAATGTTTTTGCAATAACTGCTGTATAAAGTAGTATACACATTGTTGATGAAATTAAAACTCGCTGGAAATGGTATGACGGAATAAAGAATACTGCTGATCAGATGAGCTGCTATCTTTTGCATATGCAAGCAACACTACTTACCAGCTGGTTCTGTGTGACCAAGCAAGGTGTAACAGCATTTTCAGTGAATGCCAACGTCAATAATAGAAGCATACCTACTAATGTACACACACATTGTTCATTCAACTAGGCAGTTAATTTACCTGCCTACACTTTTGGGTCACAATTGCAGAACAGATATCTTTTGCAAATTTTCCGCCAAAGTTAACACAAAAGTACGACAAGCAACTCCTCCAATCGAAAGGTAATGTTTGTTGGCTTACATACTACTGACTGTCATTGCTCATGTGACACTACATACTGAAGCAGAACAAGTAGCCAAATACAAAACAATGTTTGAAAACAATAGTTTCTACATGCTACCATCTTTTAAATACAAGCAATACACATTTCTTCTCAATTAAAATGGGCTATATAACAGCATGCACATTAAATGTGCAATATGACACTTGTTAGTTTTTTTACCACCATTCTGTATAGAAGTATAAAAATAAAAAGTACCACTACATCATGGAAAAACAGAACTGCAAGCAACAATAAATGAATGAGCCATGAAAATGTGTGCATACAACCACTCCATTTTCTTTTGGGAGAGAGGTGCATTGGATGTTTGGGAAACAATGTAGTACAGTTCACGAGCACTGAAGTTAAGGTCTCAGCCGCAAAGCTTCACTTGGGTAGCATGGTGCCCATAATAGCACCAAGCAGACTACTGCTGTAACATATGTTCAGTGCCTTACGTTGCCATAATTATGGGATCAATAATCCTCCAGCATATTAAGAATATAAGATCAGAACAGCATGCAAGACATACAGAAAATGTCTGTCATTTCCGTTTACAACTTTGATTTGAAAAGTGGCAACAAAGCAAAAAAACAATCTGAAACAAGAGCTCCAACCACAAAAAAAAAAAAAAAAAATCCAGCAAAAGCTGTAGTAACAACATAAAAAAATATACAAGGTGTTTCTTGAAACATGGGCCAAATTGCTCCTGTGAAAAGTATGCATCACAAAGAAAAACAAAGGGCCTGATTAGGAAAACTAATAACTTTTTAATTAGTAAATTTACAAAATCTGAAAAATGGCAAGAGCAAGGCAGGCACAGCCTTTTACAGCGTTTCGAAAAAACGCTCACTTTGGACAAAGTTTTAGGTTTAGGTTTCCTGTCAGCGCGTCTTTGCACCGGCGGTCCTGCTACCTGTCCGCCTCGCCCCTCGTAACTGAGAAGCAAGTGTGGCGCGAGCCGATGAAATGAAATGTTGTGCTCTTCAAGTGACAATACCAGATTATGCTTCGATTCTGGGGTTCATCTCCACCATGTGAATAGTGCATGGTGGCACACCTTAGTTGCGCGTTATGGCCAGGGCGGAGCAGAACCACCTTCGGAGTGATGCAGCGATAGTAAACAAATTCCAAAACATGTCCAGATCGAGTGTTTCTTCGCGTGCTGATCGCCGATTTTGTGGTTTTCGACGATGCCCAGAAGGTGTAATTAAAACTGTAGCTTGAAATCAGGAATTAAAAAGTTAATTACTCAAAAGTAATTCAGAACCTAATTACACCAAACATTATTAATTTTTCTAAATAGGCCCTTTGGCAGAAACCAATAGGACATCAACCTTTTTTCTGTGCGATAACCTTTTGCAGGAGAGATTTGGCCTGCGTCTCGAAAAACACCCTGTATATTGAACTTTTGAACAGGTCTGTTGAAAGCACCAAATTCCACTAGAAAGCAGGTTACACCTGTTTGTTCAGCAGTGGTACTGCATATGCCACATAATTTTACTGCACCTCTAAAAGGGAAAACAATAGTACAGGAGTTTTAATACAATGCTTCCACGGCGCAGTTGTTTGTTTATTGTACTGTGTGTTCCTTTATGCACCACACCTTCCATATTTACATATTTGTGCTTGGAGGAATATGTACATCAACCAAGTGTTCTACTTGCCAAATATTGCACACTGGTAGCTGAAAGCATTTGAGCATAGCAAGAATGTCAAGATGACACATCGAACAAGGAGTTTTCATTGTTGTTTCACATTAGAGAGAACAATCAACACATTCTCGAAACTTGAAATATAACATTGTATCTTACAAGGTATTGACACGTGTCATTTGAGCAAGAAAACCAATTTCCTGCAATGAGTTAGTACTCCTGTTTACATCTATGCACAGATAAACCAGTAAAGCATGGCTTTCTCTTAATACCATATGGCAAGAAATGGCATCCTTTGAATAATAGCACACGTCGAGATCAAACCATATCTGCATGGCAAGATGTCTAGCATAGGTTCGCCACTCCATAATTAAAATGAAGTATTCCAACTCTTACATTAAAAAATGGCAGCCTCCATGTGGCAACTTTCCGAAAGTCCCTAAACATCTGCAAAAGCAAGCACACATTGAAAAGCTCGAAGGAATGATAAGTGTGGTTCTGCGTTTTCGGTGTTTATTTTGAAGGAAATTCGGAGGGTGTTTTTTGGAGTTTATTTTCTATCTCAAATTCTTAGTTTTAGTAGGGAGCTTTTATCTAAAGTCTACAAACTTTAGTTTTTCCTTTTTTTTATATTTAGTGTCATTGGCCTCGGTAGAGAATGTCAGTCAGCAAACGTATTAAAACAGAATGTTTATAAACACAATAAAAGCTTAGCTTGTATCGTCTTGTCTTAATGAATTTGTCAGAAAGAGGCACACATTTATTTAAATTTGCCAATTGGCACATTCAGCCAAAGAGACAAGGTCTTTGCCAGTAAAGTTTCTTGTACTGCAACATGGAGCTAAACTACCATTGTACCAGAAACTCTAACTGAATCTCAAATCCTTGTTGTCGACACAGATGAAGCAGGTGAACATGCATACAGGTTCAACATTCAACAAAAGGAGGCAGGAAAAAGGCCAGTGAACATCTACAGAAGAAACTTGTTCAAGAGGAAGAGCGTTTGCAAAGGTCAGACGCGTTCGACTATTGTCGTAGGGAGGTTATCCACTTTTGTGATAAGGGTTCAACAGACATGCTTTTGAAAGCACTTACGAACAAGAGGGGAAATCAAAAAAGAAAATCTCAAGAGATGTCTTAGGGCTCCAATGAAAGGTGAAAAAAAAACAGTCAGGTGTTTACAATTGGCAATCTCTAAATTGGAGTTTTTCTGATAAATCCGAATCCACAATAATTTTACCGGAGAGTTTGTTTCAGATGTTATCAAACTTAAGCGAAAACGCAGAACCCTAGTGTTAACAAGCTACTGGTCAAGTTCTTAGGATGTTGCTACATCTTTACCTCTTGCATTCGAAAAGGGTGAATTGCAGCACATTTGACCTTTCTGCCAAGAAAAAAAAAAGTTAAGGCATGCTTATGTACAAAAGCACATGGTAATGGACACATAGCATTGACTTGATTTGCAGGTGCGCAGTAATTCTAACCAAAATATGCGTCTGCATCCCATCAGCACTCTGTTGCGTCCGACGCTGTACGTGGCATCTTTTTAGTGCCTTCCACAGGGAAACTCAAATTTCTGTTGGTGGGCGGCCGTTCTGGCTTCTTTGGCAGAACAGGTGTTCCCTCCTTGCTGCCCTCTTTGACTGGCAGGGGAGGCTGAGGCTGCAAAATCAATGCAAGTTACACACAGCGCACAATCTCCATCCTTGCAGTCTGTTTTTCTGTGTTATTGAATAGAGGTCTCATCCTTATTGTCTTTATATACATCATCTTATTTTGATTATTGTTTTTCCTTTTTAACACTGGTTTTCCATAAAAACTCATGCTCGACCGCCACACTCAACTGTAACACTGGACCGTTACATGTAAATCAAAGTTATACATACCGGGTGATTTTTTTTAATTCAAATAGATTTGTTACAAAAAATCTGCAAAAGATGCACTTATGTGGTTTGTGCAGGTGAGTTATACGGCCAGGGGGACATTATGTCGGTGGCTAATCTTTGCGATGAGTCGGCTAATTAATTGAAATTCGTTAATTAACTTTTTCATTAGTGAAATAAACACGGTTCTAATTAGAAACTTAGACAGAGTCATCGAAAACTGCTAAATCAGCTCTTTTTAGAACAACTTGAAGCTCGTGGGAAACTCAGGGGTGCGCCAAAGTTACCCTTTGTGAAGCAGGCACAAAGCCAGCAGTGGCAAAACGTGGATGATTAGATCATTATCTCGTTCCGCAACTGACGGCCAAGGTCTTCGCGGACCCTTAGAAGGCCCTCAAAGACCCCAAAGGGTCTGCGGACGCCCATTTGAGAACCACTGGTTTTGTAATACCATTCAATATTGCAAGCCATACTACTTGTGTGCTTGAACTTACTTAAAAACACAATAAAGTGAGAAAAAAGAAAAAAAAATTGTTTCATTGCCTATTAGTAGATAGAACACAAGCAAAGTCACAAGAAATTTTCCATAAAAAACACATTTTTAGTGCAATATTTACGTTGAGAGACGCAATTTAAGTACAAGTAGTCCCGCTCTAGCCTCACCCATTAGCAAAAGGTGCTTAGTTTTCTTAGCACAGCTTCTCAGCTCTCATTGGCTGCAGAGATGATTGGCATGTAAAATGTTGGTTGTAAAACTGTCGCTATGTGCTGTTACAGTCATCTCTTGGATATATTTTCATGCTTAAGATGCAAATGACCTATGTAAAGTCATTATACAGTTCACAAAATTATCATGAGACCACCACTTCCACTTTGATGTCAAACAATAACAAACATGATGAAAATAATCCCTGGAGAAAGGGAACAAGAGGTACAAAGGACAAACACTAATCTCCCAACACAGCTAGGTGACTCGTGCACGACCAAAAAAATTCGCCTGGTCCTGGTATCAAACCTGGGACCTCTCCATTTCCAATGGAGCAACTGAGCTAACCAGGTGTTCGACGTCAGTACAGCAAACGGGTTTTGTCAGCTGCCACCAGTCTAACAACAACAAGCGTGAACGGCCTGTATTTTAAGGTTATGATGATAATGCAATTAATGCAAAGGTGCAAGCGAGCTGGACAAGAATGACGAAAATAATCCCTGGAGAAGGGGAGCAAGGCGGACAAAGGACAAACACGAATCTCCAAACACAGCTAGGTGACTGGTGCATGACTGAAAAAACCTACTGGTCCTGGTATCGAACCAGGGACTTCTCCATTTCCAATGGAGCACTATCAACTGAGCGAAGCAGGAGCTAGACATCAGTAGAGCAAACGGGCTTTATCAGCTGATAAACTCGTATGCCCTACTGATGTCTAACTCCTGGTCAGACGTCTAGTACACAGGTTCATGAAGTGGTGCCTGGCATTCGACTTCAGCCAAACTTGCTGGAGGTCACTTCTTTGGCACCCTTTATTTTATTTAGCAAATTTTATGGAGATGTTACACTTGCGTAGGGTGTTCGGCCAAGCAGCCAAGCCAATCCAGTACTAACGGGAGGGGCCTATAGTGGGACTTAGGAAGAGTGAACCTCCACCCAAATTGCATTTCGCAACATAAATATTGAACTAAAAATTTGGAATTTATTTTTCAGGGAAAAGTTTTTTTTTTTTTTGTGACATCGCGTCCCACCTAGGCACTTTCAAGAAAGCGTTTTTTGGACTTAAGTGTCCCTTTAAGCATTCAGTTTTACAGCAGTCTTACAGGACAAAGTTTTGCTTGGGAAACTTGAGTCTTCAGCAAAATGTGCCTAAATGTAAGCAGTATTGGCAGCGGGACACTTGAACTTCCTGTGAAGCTGAACTCTGTATTTGTCTGTACCCTGGTGCTGATTTTACTGTGCTACTGTGTAAACTAAAAACTAATTTAGTTTCTAAAAGTTCTCCTCTTTGCTGTGCTCCTCTCCCCTCCTCCTCCTCCTCCTCCTCCTCCTCCTCCTCCTCCTCCTCCTCCTCCTCTCCCCCCCCCCCCCCCCCTTTTCCTTCCCCCACAACAACCCTCAAGGTTTTTAACTTTGGGGGTTGTGGTACCTTGCAGAAAGATACTTTCCAGGCTTGAGTGTTAAAGCTCACAAGCCATGTGGTTGCCTATTGGGTGCTCTCTCAAGGAAGGACTACCCACCCGGCTCTTTGCTCCTGATGGAATGCTGAGCGAGGGCTTGCGCATCGCCAAAGTTGGCACGTCGTCGGTGATGTTGGTGTAGTCAGCATACGCCTGCTTCTGTGGCAAGGGTGGGGGACGGTCTACCTCTCCATCTGGACCATCAGGAGATGACCGTGTCGTGCTCGAACTGGCCGGAAACAGCGGGAATGTCATGGCCGTGGCCAGGCTTGGCGTCACCGCTGTTGGAATAGAGGTTACCTACGTCAATTCTCTTACGACCGAGAGGTTGGGACCAAGAGTTAGTTGCGCAATGCCATTGGAGTCACTAAAGCCAAATTGAACTCTGATCAAGCAACCTCAATCGTATGTATGCCAGGGAAATATTTCAGTGTCCATACTCAAAAAAAGACTAGGGGCAACTGAAAGGAGCATACGGGGCAAAAATGGGAGTCTGATCAATGTGTAAAAGCAAAAAGGCACAAAACACACACATGCCCAGAGAATGATCAAAACCCACTCAAATGTAGCCTAGTCTGGCTAAGTCCAACTACAAATGTGGGTCAGGCTTTAAGATGCACTAAACATTGTTATGGCTGTGCCCAGACAGTTCCAAATGGAATCTAGAATCTTCAAGACATAAAAATAATTTCTCCGTGCCCCACTTTCACACAAGGACCATACTCCGAGATAAATGTCTCCTCACATCTGCACCCTACCTCCTCTCCAATGTTTGGCTTAGGGATGTGCGGCTGAAGTTCCGTCATGCATATGCAGTGCCACTCTTCCCCCTGGTGAGGCGTGCCCATACTAGTTAGGCGTACGCAAAGCAGACGATGCGGGAGGCTGGTGCGCTTGTTGTACTGGCCTTGCGCTTCGTAAAGTAATGCACCGAAGGCAAAAGGGCAGGGCTCTAGGTATAGTTCTGTAGTCAAATGCCATAGCATCATATTAAACAGAAAGGTAAATATGTGTCTCCCGAAAAGTTCTATCAGTTTCCTTCGAAGTGGATGCAAGGAAGATCGCCAGAAGCATGAATCGCCAGCCATGGGAAGGCCAGGGTTAATTATTGTTTCCTATCTTGTTGATGAGTCAGTAGTGCAACTACACTTACTAGTCAAGTTAATAGGGACTTTATGTAAATCGCACGCAAGAGCATGCAAGAGTTGTGCGTTGCTTGAGGGAACTTGTGCCGTCACTTTGAGGGCGGACCGAGCTCGTGCCTGCTGGGCCTGCAATCCACAGCCGATGTTCTATGACAAGTCCCTAACATAATAGCTACAATAGTTCCCCGTGGCCGTTGACAAAAGAAACCCAAATATGCAGTTACCATTTTTTAAACAACTTTAAACAACTAAAAACCAAGCTCACTTAACTTACTAGCCTATTTTGTACCCCAATACTTACAAGGGAAAGCAGGTAAGCAGGCAAAGACATAAGAGGTGAAATGAGGCAGATAATCGTGGCCCACATTGCACACTGACTTGATTGCAGAGTTGAAAAGAAATTGGCACTGGTGGCTGTACTCTAGTTTTTATATATACTATTAAAAGAATATGTAGTTTGTGAGTATCAGGCATAATTGTTTTCCAAGGAACCCAAAAAATTTGGCTCAAGAACATTCCTGGGTCGACCCAGAGCCGTAGGCCAGTAGGCGTGGCAACAAAGGCGCTGGAGAGGAGAAAAGTGAAAGAAAGGGGGGAGAGCACCGAAGGAGGGAGCAAAGAGGAAACGACCGCCATTTTGACGCAACACACTTTTGGCGCAAAGCACTGTTGAGGCTACGCGTCATCTGCCACGGGCCGACTTCTTTTTCGCCTGAATAAAAGTTTGCGGTCAAACGTGGAGAAAACTTCATTCGTTACCAAGGAATAACACTATCATTTTCTTACCAGAGCCAGCGAAGTAAAAGGAAAGAAGCAAAATTTGTATGTCGATACCATGCATTCCACCGCACGAATGAATGAAAATGGCGGCGCTCCCTGCACAGCTGGGAGCAGCTGGGAGTTCACGCACATGCGCTCGCACCTCTCATTCTGCGCTACAGGCTGACTGGCTCAAACGGAAGGGGGTCATTACAGCGGCGAGATCATAAACTGGCCAAACTCTCCCAATTTACGGCTCTGGGTCGACTAATTAGAGCATGTTGGCAATGTTAGATGTATAAAAGAAAAGAAACATAAATAAGACCAGGTTAGGACACGTAACAAACGTAAATAACTGAAAATTTATGGTTGAAGTTTAAAATTGATTACATTTTTCGCAGAGAGAGAGAAGTAATATTGATGATCCTTTCCTGGTGCAGGAGTTATGGATATATCAAGTATAGCTGCGCCTAAACAGCAAACACAAAACAAAAAATCCTGCAAAAAATCTTATTTGCGGTGAGCCGCAACTGTGTTCAATATTATCATTCTGGAGTCACAAAAAAAGTAAAAAAAAATAAGATGACAGTACTGGTGCAAATGTAGGTCCGTCGGTGATCACTCTTTTTACTTATAAAAGTATGAGTGGGTTACTGATGCACGTGCGTGAATTATGATTCTACCGCTTTGACGGCAGTGGTACATGAGCGCAAACAAGGGGTCGCAGCGTGTAGTAAAAGATTTTTTGTTTTGTTATCCGACCCGCTCAAAATACCTGGGAACAGATGAGCGGTGGCAGTCTTTGCGTCCCGCTTGTTTTTATTATAACTTGACCTAGTGTTGCAGTCTGGCAGTGCATACCTCGTCATTGACTTCATTCGCATTAATTAAAACAGCCGCGGTATGCTTCCAGCAGTGGTTAACTCCTACTTTCTAAGAGCACTTGCATGAGTTTGAACAGTGTGTACGACAGCGCAGCTGTGCACGAGAAGACAATTTGAACAATATAGCATCCTCATCTTTGCCCAACTAGCTCAGACTTCCAGAAGCGAGCGAAACCATAAAGAAAAACAGCATTTATCTTGAGGCGGATGTTATAGCTGTCGTTTTGCACTTGCAAGACATACTTCGCTGTCGACAAATGCTCTAATGGTTGGATAATCTCATCCACCCCGGAGACCTGGCACTCAAGCATAGTTTCTTTGCAGAGGTTCGCCTCCCTAAAAAAATAATCACCATTATTCAGCAGACAGAAAGCCGCAACAATATTGCAACGCGATACTTGCCATTGCAACTGGCAGCGCGACGGGATAAGCGAACACTGCATTTTGGGAAAATTTCCACCACAGCGCAGCGCCATTGCTGTTACTTCAACACACCCCCTGGCCCATGGGTTTCCCCACGAATTGGAATTAGGGGGAGTGTAAATTTTTAGGGGCTCACGGGGGAGGGGGAGGGGGGGGGCAAGGTCAGGGGGGGGGGGGGGGGGAATTGAGAATAGAGGAGTCATTGCGAATTAAGGGGGTGCCTTCAGAAAAACAAGGGGGGGTGTGTAGGGAAATCACTGCCCTCGCCCATCCGAACGGTCCCATAGGCAGGGATTTGCATTGTGTGCTCAGTTTTGATACAATGCAATAAAGTGTTTTCTTGCCCAGAGTAATCAGATGGGCTAGTTCATTGAGAAAATTAAATACAAATAGAGTAAAAAACAAGGACAAGTAGGAAGAAACGGGACAAGGTCAAAATCAATACATTGTTAATACACTTTTAGAAGACGACTAAGCATGTGAAAAGGAATGTATAGCTAGCCTATTTCGCTTGCAACATGCATTTGAGTTGGAAACATTCTGTTTTTAGTCTAAATCGCACCATGCATCTGTTACCCCCTATGTGTTATCTAGTAGGGAAAAAATTATCAAAACTTTGGTTTCATAGCTTTATTTCTACTAGAGTCATGTCTCGTTAATATCGACCCCGTTAACATGGATACCCCGCTATATGGACACCACTTTTGGGGACAAACTGGGAAAATTCATGCATTTTTGTCTCACTATTGTGGAAAACTTGCATTCTGGACGATTTTCTACGGGAACGGGGGTGTCCATATTAACGAGACATCACTGTATAAGCTTGCTACTTCCCCACGTACTTCACTAAAATGTTGTGCCAATATTTGACTACTAGTCTGATAAAAAAAAGGCTCGAGGTACACCTAAGCACTTCTTATGAGTTGTGAATGCGAAAGCATGCAAGCCACTCGTCTGCTCCCTTTTTCGTCTGCTGCATACTTTTCGTCGCCGGTCAGCGCGCATGCTCCCCTCGGCACGCTGACCTTGGACTCGGCGAAATCCGTCAGCTTTACTTCCCTCCTTTGGGATCGAAGAAACTAGGTGCTGTTTTCGTGCTTCAAAGTGATGACGTCAGCTCGCTCCATGGGACAGTTAATTCTTTCGCATTAAAAATACATTACTAAAGCAGCCATGCACTACTTGTGGCTGCTATGAGAACAAAGGTCTCCTTGCTATGTCAGACAAATTAAGTAAGCAAGAAGATCCTCACAATAATTTAGCCTTTAGCTAAATGTACATAAAAAAAAAAATGTTGCAGGAGGTTAGACTGCTTTGTTCTAGTAACAGAGCGAACACATGTATTAGCATCCACTCCCTATCCAACGAGTGTCGCTATTAATATATACACATATAATAAAGTGTTTGTGATAGAAAACTTTCTCTCACCTTGAGAAGGAGGGGTTGACGGAGGGAGTTTGAACTGACCACTGGACGGCCTGCTGTGCCTCTTTTCGGCCTCGGACCTCAGAGGTCGGTGAGGAGTCAACTGGCAAAGAAGCAAAGAGAAGTAGTACCTGTGAAACACTCTCCGAGCCTCGACCCGAACGTCTCCTGCATTGCAGTTTTCGGTCCAAAAACACGAAAGAAATTATTTACCTGCTCATTAAGCTCGATGATTGGTGCCTCCGCTTTGTCCGTGTTCAAGGGCAGGTCGTACCATTGTGACTGAGACTTCTCCTCGTGTTGGGAACTTAGCGAGGCTGCCGAGTTGCGTCGCAGGGTGAGTCCTGTGCTGTCACGACTTTTCTTGCTGTGCGTCTTGTGAGGCGAGGTGACAGAGTTTTGCTTTACAAATACCGAAGACACAAGCGCACGGGATGTTGGGGTGGTTGGGGTCTTTCCTGGCACGGTGGGAAGACTGTAAGAAAACCATGAAAGAAGGACAATGATGATGTCGGACCCCTGCATCCTTCCGTCGGTAAGAGGTGGGAAAGAAAAAAAACACAGTGGATGTTCTGTGGCTGAGAGTAGCCAGAGAGGGTCGTTTTGTTACTCGAAATAGAAGACTGCAGCATTCTGTATACCTCAAGTACACAAAGGGCTCATTGAAATATTAGAGAAGTCAGTAGAAAGCAATTAATCAAAACACGACATTAAAGACAATATGAAACAGACTTGGCATAAGAGAAAAAATAAGCAGTATGCATCATGCTTTTATCAAAGTGGAAAGAGAGTAGAGAGGTGAATAAGTTTAGGTGTGTACCTGGATATAGAGGCCGTTTTTCTGGTACTACTACAAAGAAACAAAGCAAACAGAAGAAAGTCAATGACAAAGTATAGGCAGCCAAATAAAAAGATAATCCTGTTTTGTTATATCTACTAGGATTGGTAGGTACCAAACTCAAACTTTTAGTTGTCGTGAACTAACTGGCCACGAGTTGCATTTAATAACAAGAGGTCCTCTGCACTGAAGTTCCCTAGCACACTTTCCCCATCTTCCATTATGTTAGAGGATCAAGTGAATGGTGCTAATAATAATAATCATTTTGGCTCAAGAGCAGCACTAGCTTGAACATGATAATGCATCTTTGACAGGCTCTACAATGTACAGACAAAATCAGAAAGTGCTCACTGTCTGCGTTATTGACAGAGGAAAGCACCACCATCAGATTCCATGATTCCCCAACAAATTTTCTTGATTTCTCATGCAAGATCATGACTGCAGTCACTCTACCTTGTAAGTCTCTCCCTCAATCCCTTGGCTCAAAACTCTTGGAACCTCCCAATGCTTTCAAGATTAGTGGCATTACTAAGTGTGTTAAGAACACTGGGTTGTTGTTATTCTCAACCGTGGCAATATCACAAAATGACCAGTACCTGATACCACAACAGTCGTCTACAGCTTTGCAAGGTTAGGGGGCATCTCCTTATAGAGACTAAGTACAGGGACACACAATTCAAACTGAATATACTACCAATGTGCTTATCTCAATACTACCAAGGCACTGGCTCCTAAGGTCCCTATATACTAAAAGGTAGCGCAAGTCCCCCTCTCCCCACATTTTCCTCCTTTCCATTGAGGATGATCCTCCTTGTCCTCCTTCCGCGCCACGCCCCCCGTCGTCATTTTCATGCGAGGCCAACAAGGCGTGCATAGGTGCGCACCTATGCGTACCGGGCCGTACATGTTTGCTATTGCATACAGCAGATTAGACCTTTTTTTATTATTATTATGAAGACAATTTTGTTTTTTAATATGAAGAAACTAGCATTTGTGCACCTTTATTGGAGTTCTAAAGCACAGGAAGATGTCTCGATTGGGAAATGTAATTATGCGGGCAAAGTTGGAGCCACTAAGGTACAAAGACAAGCCTTCCCCAATTCCACCAATTGCAGACAATTAAAAAAAAATTCCAATGTAGTCCCCAGTATTTTAGTACATCGGCATGCACTGCAAAAACATATTGTGTTTAACCATTTATTGCAGCAAGTGCTCAGAGCAGGCACATGACAGAATGCACCTCTTCCTGCATGTAAATACACAGTTTTAGTGGATCCTAGGCAAGGACTGTGTTGCTAGCAGGAGTTTGTGCCGTCACTTTGAGCATGGATTGAGCACGCACCCGCAAGACCTGCAATCCTTAGCGTACACTCTATTAAAACTTTCTATACTCTATCTCAGAAGTTGTGTGCAGCAAAGGCAGAGGCATAGGCATAGGCATAAGCATGTGGCTTCCAGATTTGCTTTCCTTTAGTGAGTGCTCGTGAAAGGAAAGCAAATCGGAAAGTCACGCTTGCGCCTGTGCTTTTTGCGTCTGCTGCACGCTATTCATGAGATGGAGTATAGTATCTGGAATGAAGTATATTTGCAGGCTCGGTATCACTCCAGTTAGGCAAATAAAAGACAGCACAATGCACTCAAACTCAAGACTTTTCGGTAATTTTTAGCATTACCGACCGCTTTGGCAAACCAGCAGCTTGGTTTACTTCGTACACATTTCTTAAACATCAAACGCCACCTGCAACTGTGCACGTGCACAAGAAGGAATATGTGATGTCTGCTATTTAAGCACCTCATGCATTTAACTACCCATCAAATACACTCTTCTCCCTCGAAGGCAGTCGAAACTTTTCTGACCGATCCGGTGGAGCCATTGTTTTTGTTGCTTAAGATTTTCTTTTCGCGTCGGGACGATGAAAAGCTTCTTTCCTTTCGTAACGCTGTTCATACAATCTACAGAGCAGCAAGATCGCATCGCGTTGCCGCCAAAGTTGTGGTACATAAAAAATTTAAAAAAAAAAACTACGGCCAGGTTGTAAGCAACAGTCACCCCAGTGGCTCACACGAAAATGGAGCTAGTTTAGAGCAGACGGCCGAATCGCGCGGGATCATGAGAAAGTTACTGTCACGTGTCGTGCCCAATCCAATTAAAGGGGTCATGAAACGCTTTTCCAACTTTTTCCTGTTTAGCTTTCCTCCTCAACTCATAAATCGCGCATTCCACCAAACAGTTCAAGAAGACGAAAAGAGGGGAGGCCCCTTTTGCTCGGAATCTGTTTGTGTACCCAGACACAGCCATTGCCCCCCTAGAAGATTAGCCCGTCGCTCAAAATTCAGACAAAAGTTGCTTTCCCCAACTCGTTCACCCCGAATCTGACAGTGCTGTGGAAGCTACGTGCTCGTTGGGCCAGCCAGACTTGCCACATGATCACGCTCCTTCGTGCATACCCACGCGCAGAGAATGAGGTCAGGTGAGTAAAGGGAGGCGGCTGATTGGTCCGGCAAGCGCGTAGCTTCCACCACAATGTCAGCTTAGGGGTGAAGGGACTAAGTGAGGTTCGGTTTCGTGTGACGTGCGTTTGGACCCGATGACGCGCTTTTGGGACTGCGGATGTATCGCAGTGAAAAGACAGAGAGCTTACGAAGGGGAGGAGGTACGAAATAGTCCGCTGTGTTTTCAAATTTTCGCACTAAAAGTCAGGCTTTTGATCATCTACCTTTTTTCTTTTGGCCCACTGAACGATGTGCTATTAGTAAAATCCCAATCTAAAATGATTTATCCCAACCCAAACTTCGTTTCATGGGCCCTTTAAAGAGAGGGGAAAGATAAATTTTAAGAGGCAAAGGGCATGGGCAAGGAGGAATTTCTCTTCCCGATTTCAGACAATGGTTTGCGCTACCTTTCAGTATATAGGGACCTTTCTTATCCCGAATCCAGTATGGGTTTACTGTTTTTTGTTTTTTTTAGTGTCGTAACTACACATCGATGCTCGTAACTTCCACAGCATTTAAACAATGGTAAAGGCAGGGAGCTCACACAGGAGACAGAACAGAAAGAAGACCTTTGTGTCATTTTAAATGTTGTTAGTAACAGCAGTGATTAGTAATTAGCTAAAAAGAAAAAGAACAAATTGGCAAACAGATTGCATTACATTTAAAATGGGGTTTTGCATTTCATCAACAAGCACTAAAAAGAAATACCGACTTTTTTTGAAAACCAGTGAAAAGCGCAAAACGACAATATATGGACGCTCGTGCAAAGGCAAGCGAATACCATAGAGAAGGCTTGTGTAGCCCTCCATTTCTTCTTTAACCTCGTGCGCTGTAGATGTTCCCTGACCAGCATACACAGTATTGCCCAGTCCACAAGTCGCAAGCCGTTTTCACAAAAATGTTTGAGTGAAAGTTCTTTTATAAGTCACACTTCTCTGTCTAACTGGTGCAGTGCTGCGGCCATGGACCAATGCCACCACAATTTAGACCTTTCCGAACCGCCAGAAGGGCAGGCCACCCGGGGGAAGGGGGTCGTTATTTTTTTACTGTGAATGTCGATACAGCCTACATCTAGCACAGTTAAGGTCTACTATACTTATAGAAAAAATCTCTATCAGCCGCACTGTTCTATGAAACGTGCCGGCGGAAATATGAGGAAAAAAGAAAACGCCACTTATACGGCACGGTACTTTTGTGAGCCTTATGAATTTTTGTTTTATGTCCAACGATTCTGGGCAATCATCCGAGTTTGTCTGGGTACAAAGGTTTCTAGCTCATCATTTTTCTTTCAAGGGTCACGTAGGATGAAGTTTCTGGGAAAGTTGTGGTGGTGTCCTATGCCAGCAAGAGGTTGTAGCACAGCCTCCTGTATAGGGGGAAAGCCTTTGTGGCCAGTGCCAGAACCGGCCGCCCAATCTGGGGGAGAGAAAGAGTGAGGCCGGCAGGGGCACAGCGCCAGAGCGACAGTTTTGCAAAACACCTTGCCTTGACGGAGCCCGTGATCAAAGTCGTCGGGGTCCCGAGTCGTCGCAAAGCGTTTGGTTTCGCAGTTCGCCGCCACCCTTTTCTCAACGCTGCGTGTGCTGTCTCTCATTCTCCTCCCTCTTTTACGGCGGCCAGCTATTGTACTGGCGCCGAACTGGCAGGCTTTCCCCCATATAAGAGGCTGTGGTTGTGGCCAGTTTTACAAGCAGGCACTGATGGTTTTATTTAACATTATTTTCATAGCGAGAAATAAAGCATAGGTGTAGCTTCCTGGCTACATCTTTTTGTTTGTTGCCACTTCTCCTCTTTTGTCAGGAAGCTCCAAAACTAACAATATCAGCGCATAAAGCATGGGTTTCTAGGAACCCAAGGGCCCTCCTAGAGTACCCTGACAGCTCCCCGAGATTCAATCTTTCTGTCCCCGGCCCTAAGCGAAGCGTTTCTCCGATTTAAAGCAGTATTTTAGCAAATCTGAGCGACACATCGATAATAACCATGAGCCAAACATGCATTGTATTGTTTTCAAGGTTCGTAGGCTTCTGCACTGCTTCACTGTAACAATACCAAGACCGAGACGTGTTCCATGAAAAAGTTTGAGATCAGAAATTTCAAAAACCCCTGGCGTAAAGGAACGGAGAAATGCCAAAACCTCAAGAAACCCCCCCCCCCCCCCCCCCCCCCCCCCAATTAATAAAAAGCAAACATAGGACTCGTACTACGCAATCTTATTAGACTTACACTTCTGGTGCAAACACTGAGCTGTCTGTCCTCTCCGTTCTCGATGGAGGGGTTGGTGGGGGCACGCTCCTGTAGCGCCGTATCAAAATTGGGTGGTCATTCAATTCGGGGGGAGGGGCCTAAAGCAAAAAAACATGTGGCAAGGTTTCCTCACATCCTACGCAAATTACACTTGTATATAGCAACTTCCGCTTTTCCACGGAGCGACGCTCAAACTGTCAGCTGGTGGGCATGCACAACAGATGCTTACCGCCTTGCCGTACTTCTCCTCAATGTGCGCTTTGAGCTTGAGGAATTTCTCCTGCATGTGCGAGTGGTAGGGCTGCAAGCTCTCAGGAGCCTTTTGCTTGTGGATCTCGATGGCAGCCTCCAACAGTGGAATCTAGCAAACAAACACTGCCACTGAAAAATCTCTGCCTCGTGTTAAAAGAAATTTACCTCAATTTGCTATGGGAGTAAAGGAAGTTGGGCACAATGGGAGTGGAGGAAAAGGATGCTCGTCCATATCCGTTCTGTCCCTGGCGTACCGTATGCAATGGACGTCAAGACAGCAGCAATGAGTTGAACTCGGTATATTTTGCGGTAACTTTTTCCGCACCGGAAATTTTGCACATCGGAAACATTTGCGAAACAATCATTGTGCAAATAGATCACCAATTCATGCTTTAGCTTACCCATCTCAGAATATAGTAAATTAATAAAAGGTTCCAAAATGCATCCCAAACCAAAATGCAAAATTACAGAATGCACCATAACCAAATTTGCAAAATATCAGGCCCACAAGATATACCATCATCAACCATACTTAAATAGTCTACAAAACAAAAATCTAAGCAGAGGAAATAAAATTTTCTAGAAAATGCACACCCCATAAAAGTGATAGGCTGATTTATAAGTCTCCAATCTAAGAAAGCTGACATACCTACTCTGCCTGCATGGCAACGCAACAGATCTGGTTCCAACACGTTTTTTGCTGAAATGTATATTTTAAGGGGCCACCTTATCCCTTCTACACCTCAATTTACAATCTAGCTATCTTTTTCCTAACATCCCACAAAAAAAGAAAAAAAAAAGTCCATGTAACAATGCCTGCACATACTGCACAGAGCAAAAACATTTTACTAATGAAAAAATTGTATTTTTTTTTTCTACTTGCTTACACTAAACCACTTTGAATGAGAGGAACATAGGTACTCTATAAAACAAGATTCAATGTGCACACATACCTGGCAAGCAATGAGTTCTTTTAGGCGGTCAATCCCTTCCCGGTCAGACTTGTTGTTTTGAAGCAACTCTTGAGTGAAGAATGCCTGAGGAAAGACCAGATGAAACATGTGTAAAGGCTAAAGAATAAGCATCAGACTTATTTGAATATTGGGTGACTTTTTTTTCAGCACGGTTCCTTAAAATTAGGCGGTAACCAAAACAGATGTGAGCACAATTTCGGGGTCCATCGAGCTAACTTCAATACTCCCCCACATCAGCCGCCGTTCCTAGTTCACCTGTAAGAAGCGGTGAAGTTCGATGCCAGCGGCGCAGCACGAGTGCCACAAAGGGTTGACACGATAATCAGGTCATCTTTATCAGGACTAACCAACTTTTTATTATCACAGTAGTTGCCATCCAATTGTTTTGCAAAGTGTTTCCTTGCAACTTTTCAGCTCATTGCTCATGACACCATCGACATCACAAAGATGGTGACACCATTGTTTGGAAGTTTAAACGATGATGTAGCTAACATAGTAGATAAGCGAGCTTTCGCCAGAGTGTAGGGGTGCCACGAAATAAACTTGTCTCCAAATTACATTCCCTTCCACTTCTTTAAAATTAAGGTCCACCTAGACATGAATACTTTTACAATATTCTTGGGGAGTTCTCTAGAATAAGGGTTGACCTACATTGGAGTAACTTTGAGAGATAGAATGAGTAAGTTACACCACTAGTTCATCTTAACTGACCAAATACTGAGAAAACAACCAAGCTGGCAGTAGTTCCAGCTCAAAGAATACAAAACCCTTAAAATACAGGCACCAGTCACTGCCCAGAGTTTTTCTTCAACTTTAGGTGCTGGTCTCACTTGAATCCGCCAGAGAAATAGTAAAATACACAAGGACCCAGGTTCAATCAGCTGTTGGAGGTCAAGTCTGATTGGGCCCAAAACAGGGTGAATGCAGCAAAATTGTGTGCTCAATCAGTACCCCCATCAATGCTTCGCAAAGGCCTGACATACCTGCATACTAATGGCCATTCTTGTGGACAAACTTACCATACTCTGTCACAGCATAACTTCGCAAAGCTATGTTTACCGTGAGCCCATCAGAGCGACAGAGCATAGCACTTGACAGATTTTCACAAGTGGAGCGCACTCTGACAGCATGTTGTCCTGTGTCTTGCTCCAACGCCCGCGATTGGCTCACCGGGTTTCTGCCATTTGCGAAGTAACGGTGAAACATAGTTGAGCATCCGTTAGGCAGCACCAACGTTACTAGATTAGCTCAGTTAAAGAACTGCCCATAGACGCTTCACCCCAGGGCTCGCCTCCCGTTGTTCGTCGCGCCATCACTTTGGGGGGACAGCTGCTCTGGTTACTGCAGTGCATTTTTTGTGGAATACGTATGTTTCGAAGCTCAGTGTCTAGGTGGTCTCCTCTCCAGCATTCATTCTGCTAAAGTGGAGAGAGGTGGGAGCACTTTCCGCTGTGCTCCAACGTTGTCAAAGCTACTTCAGCAAGGATGGACGTGGCATTCGACTTTTTGTAGCAAGCAAAATGTTAGTTTGGAACAGCCATTGACTCTTTTGAAGCAGATGCCTACATATCTTACCACATCACTTAGAAGTTAAAAAATAATTGCATCGCTAAATAATCCAACCTTTAATAATAATTGAGAATCCCAAAGACTGAAACCGATAAATATAACGGTTCGGCTACGGCTACCGTTTTTTCTTCGAATCGGTTTCGTTTAGGTTTTTTAGGGTTTTGGTTTTTACCATTTCAGTTACTAATCAGCCGCCCCTAAAAACTTTTTTTTTTTTTTCGGTTTGATGTTTTTTTTAACAAGAAAACAATAAAAACATCCTGCATACGACTAATTTTTTTTTAGCATTTGACAACAGTTCTTTAATTAACGGTTTGAAGTAATTCCTGATATTCTACAATGGGTCATTGAGGCAAGAGTAGTCAAAGTCACACAAATTTGTGTGCGTGTGGATATATAATGCTTGTCAACCATTCAGAGAGGTGACATGTCCCTATACTGTAGATGAGAAATTTAGACAATGCACAATGGCTAGCCTGGGATTTTCAAGTGCCGCACGCAGTAGTGATGCACAATCGCACGCCCGCACGATGGTCATCCACATCTAAACAATCCACAATGAAAAGCATTCCAAAACTTCTTTACTACTTAGGATTGGTCAGAACATTCTTCAAAAGACATTTTGGAGATATCTGCATGAAATATTTGCAAATAAATGTCTCATCAAATTATTTAATAAGATGTAGAAATATATGCATCAATACTTGAAGTCTATGAATATATGCACAATATTTTGCTGCCTATTATTGTCCTTCAGGCATTAATCAGCAAATAAAACTTATTTATTAAATATTATCTACATTGCACATACATATTTTTAAAAAATCTCCATGTCTTTTCTTTAGCTCTCTGCCATATCTTCACCACCCTTGGACTCACTTCTAATGGGAAAACATTGAGTAATATATGACCTGCAGACGAGAAAACCAAAAACTTTCACTCATAATAAGCCGACATCTCTTTGTCATTTCAATTTGGTCGCACATCACCTTCACGAAAGCGCGTCGGAAGCATTTATTACTCGAAATGGGGCTGCCAGTTCAGCCTCTAAATGTCTCCTCTAAATGACCAACTCAGTCAAGCCGTTTCTTTTAGCGCCGTCACCATAACGTCTCTAACCGCTCGTCTTTCCACTGGGGGTCACAATTAAAGGGGCCCTGCAATTATATTTAAGCGTGTACCTTTTTTGCGGTTTCCACATCTCTTGGGGTTTGGGCAAGCCAGCGGGCACGGAGAGAGTAAGTAAATATCATTGAGTCATATTTTAACCGGACAACGCGGAAACCTCCTTCACCTATGGGGGCGACCCGCAGTGCCGAAAGCGCACGATATGTGAAGTCTTTGGTCCTGGGCCTACTACTGGTCAGAGCCGCTAAAAGCTTCTTTTTAGTCGAAATACAAAATATAAGTGGAGCGAACCATTTCAATTGTTTATGAAAGTAGTTTTCGTTCAGTATTTTAGATCAGAAAAGAAACATGCAGTTTATAATGTACGGAAACAAGAAATGACCCGTCAACAGACCCGCCACCAAGCGGTGGAAAAGGCAGTGCATACTAGAAAGGGGTAGTGGGATCAGGCACCGACGAGCGGCGAGCATAGAAAGGTCCCGGATGCATGCAACGGCGCTGAGGTCGCACACGGGCTCGAAAATCCGACCGGTTCCGAGCGTTCCAAAGGCTTTCGGCGAGCAGTTTTGGCTTGTGGTTTGGCCGTTTGGCGGTATGGCAGCGCGAAGTGGCTCCCGTTCTGAACTGATCTTTACCCAGTGTTCGCTGTCACTTGTGGCCAATGAAGTGTCTTGCCGAATTAGTGTTTAATCGCGCAGCAAATGCAATGCGAGCCGCCCTGGTTGCCCGCTTCATACAGCCTATCCAGAACATGCTTTAGTGGCGCCCTCTCGAGCCGTCGACACGGAGTGCGGCTGCCGTGAGCGCTCGCTGAGCTCACTACCCCTCCTCTAGTTCACGGCCACTCAAGCGACCAAGGACGTCATGAGGGAGGTTATTTTTTGCTTGTTTTTGTAATTTTAATTTGCCCATAACCTTAAAAATAAAGCAAAATTCGAGAAAAGAAAAGTTTCATTAAGTTACTATGTTCAGTGCACTCAGGTTCGGTGCAAATTAAAAACCAGCAAAAAAGTCCTTGCGGGGCCCCTTTAAACTATTCTATTCGCAAGCAAACTACGCATGTATCCTGCCTAAATTAAATATTTTTATATGTTTGATGTTGTGATGCTTTCATTAAATAAAGTTTACAATAACGTTCATTCGCAAAAAATAATACCACGAAAAATTAGTTACATTTTAAGATATGGGAATCAACTGACTAAACAGAGTTAACTGAAATGAACTGAAGTCACCTGGCTGACCGAGCAACCGCATTCGCTCAAATGGACACCGTCATTCGACGAAACATTGTGGGCAAAATTTTGTTCGCTGAAGCGCCATTCACTCAAGTGAGTGCCTCCACACCAAAGTATATGACTTTCCACATGACTGTGTATTCTCTCTCAATAAAATAGTTTGGGAATAGAAAGGACACATACCATGGCAAAGTTGAACAGCTGAGGGCCACTACGCTTTCACTCGCCAGTCGCATACATGAGAGGAACAAACTCTGGTGCCCACTGACGTCCGGCTAGCCATTTTGTTAGCTCTCCGTTCTTGACATCAGAATGGCAACAACCGCAGCTATTAGCTCCCAAATGTCACGTGCGGGGAGCAGTTTCTCTTGTTTCGTTGAAAATAGACCAGTTATAATTGCAAAAGTAGTCCGATATGCATTTTCAGAACTTCCGGCAACCCAGAACGGCATAAATTTGAGCCACTTTTGTGTCGTCACCCGCCATCATATTTATGTTAAGAAGTAGGCCTAGCCATTTCCTCTCCATCGCAGTCTTCAGTAGCTTCATATTCTCACAAAACATTTAAAAAATTATTATTATTTTTTTTTTTTTTGCAAAACAGTGTCGTTACACATCTATGGCAACATTTGAAAGTGTTTTACCTTTTCAGCTTTGTGTAATTTTGGGGCATCTACGCAGTTTGCACACAAGTTGTTTTGTTCTTAGTATTGTCATATCACAACCAAATTCTCGTGACAAAAATTTAGAAACTTTTGTTAGCCTTTGAAAATAGCAATTTTGCAATTTTTTATTCTTTATAAATAGGTTTTCCACGGATTATTTTTGTTGTTCATTGCACTCAGTCGTTTAAAAAGAGGGAATTAGCCTATTTTACTAGGCTCTTTTAAGAATGTTGACATGACTCACGTGTGTGCAAGAACATAATTTTTTTCTGCATGTGCATAGCATCCAGAATAGAAAAAAATATGCTATATCAAAACTAACACCAGATTTATACAAAAAAAAAAATCAAGCACAAAAAAATTTCATTTAGTTATAGTAAATTATTAAAAAAAATGTTTTCCCCTATGCACACACATTCTATCTATTGTAAATTGAAAACGGTACAAGTATTGCACCGATACTTACCATGGAGATTACAAATTACAAACTATGTTGCAAAATATTACTGCATGATCTCTGAAACCTGTTTATAATTCCCTTAGAATGTGTGACAGTCAGTTGCTAACCCTCATCAATGAGTTTTTGCACATGTCAGCATGTTCTCTCATTACAGAAAATCCGACTCTCGTGGTTCACTGACAGCTTGTGCATGGGGCAGTTGGTTCACCCTCGCACAAGGTTTCATGGAAACAAATAGCAGATAAGCACTTGCCTTCTCATACTGGCCAATGCCGCCATTGACTGCAGCATCCACGATGCCTCCAAGAAGCATGCTCAGGGGATTCAAAGGCAGGGTCAAGTCAGCCCGGTACTGCAGGACGTGGTCTCGAATCTTGGCATTGGCACTCTCCATGGTTTCCACTGCATTCTGCAACGGGCTCACTTCCACCGTCTGAGTCTTGACCACGACAAACCAGCGCAGAATGCCGGGCAGCATGTACGCAGTCTCCAGCGTCGTGCGCTCCAGCCAGATGTGGCCGATGTCGCTGTCAGAGTCTTTCTCTCCCCGGCGCAACGGCCGCGAGTAGGTGAACTTGTTCACTTCATTCACCTGCAGACATTTCCAGCACGCTTACTCTAAGTGAATACAAAGGGGCACTCGTTCTAGCGACCAGGCACGCACAGCGTGGTGATGCAGTGGTTTTGAGGGCGCCCACTCATGGGGATTGCATGATTCTCACAGTTAGTGCTAGGAATTCATAAATTATAACTTTACTATTAGAAGCCCTGTAGATGTAATACAAATGAAAACTGTTTTGAACTGTACAACAAAATACTTAATAAAAAAAAAGTATAAATTTGGGAAAAAGTTTGTTTTCTGCCGAGAAATCCGTTTATTCTACCATGAGGTGGTCCAAGTAAAAATACAAAAAATAATGACTTCAGAAGAATAGTTTATTGCCTTTCATTTCTAAAACTTTAATCAAAATTATTTCAAAAAAAAAATACTGAAGATGAGCTCTTGTGTTGCAACCTGGCATACAACATGCCACCTGACACGAGAGCTGACATGAGAGCTGAGAAGCTTTCCGGGCACGTAAGGCAATTGCTGGTTGGAAGTGTGATTTTCGCAGAAGGTTCTATGCATGCGCATCCTTGACTCGCAATTGCCTCGCGTATACGGTCACTGTTTACAGCTAAAGACATGCCCCGGTTTGCCGCGGCTGCTTCCACTCATCCTTTTTTTTGGCTGCAACGCAAACAACAGTGGATATGATGCAATAATCATAAGTGCCACCACTGCAGAGCAAGCTTGATGCACCCTTTGTACCCCCCAATGTCTGTTCTCCTCACTCCGAAACTTGATGCCTAACGGCATAGGCATCGCCCGAGGGGAGCTTCTCCTATTTAGGAAATGTGATAATGATTGAGCGAGATCCCTACCGGTGTTTAGAAAGTAAAGGAGCCCCTGTAAGGAAGGTCAGAAAAACCAGGGGTATTGTTCAAATGACCACCGACTAGTTACAATCAAGAATCTGCCCAAGAAAGTTTATTTTTTGTCGGAATACGGTGCCATATCGATGGACGAAGCAGGTCACTCGGCATAGGCAAGTCATTCTGCAGGTTGTGTGGATGCCGATGAGGGCAAATAGGAAATTCTGATTGTTTTATTTTCTAAACTAGGAGAATAGTTGCGTCATGTTTACTCATCGCTAATCTGTAACCTGACGGACACAGAGTAACAGCTGCTTTCTCTTTGCTCAGGGCCCCTAAGCGAAGAGAAAAGAGCTGTCGATCCTTCCTCGACGTGATTTTGCATACAATGACAATTGTTCTCCCCCCTCCCAGAGATAATCCGCGTAGAACCTTCAGTCATCTCCAAAAATAGTTGTCCGGGTTGGGGTGGGAGGCGGGTCACCGGTCAGTCACGTTCGTTTGTTCGCCTTGGTGCTGTTGTGAAAAAAAGCTCTCCCCAAAACGTGCCCCAAAACGAAGTCATCTTGGATTCCGTCTGGCCGTCAAGATGTGACTGTCGTCGACTGTGACTGTGTTATTTGAGATCTTTCTCAAATAAATTATTTTCAGATAACGCTGCATCCTGTGGTACGTACAATATAGTGTTTGAATGTTCACGGTTGCTAAATTGTATGTCTGTGTCCTGTCCATCAGTAAACAGTTATTTGTGAGCGTAAAAAATTCATGCCTTTTGGCTATCTTCTGTTGTAAATTATTTTCGACAGCTAAGCTCTTTGTCGTTTGACACGCGGCTAATCAGACGGCGCCAACAAAACTTGTCATAAAAAAAAACGACAACTAACATTTTAGTTGCATTCGTTCTGTCGCGCACATACCCTACCTAACAAAAATAGTTTACAGGTTTTTCATGCTTTGTTTTTTCAAGTGTGGTACAATGCTTTCTCAATCTCCTCGGGAAACTACATTTATGTACCATGAAACACAAAATACAGTGGGAAAGGACAATAATTTAGCCGCCAGGAGTGTTTGAAACTGCGCCTACGCAGGCTGCGCCTTTCGAAATCACAGTCCATTCGGTTTAGCAAGGATGCCGGTGAGAGTCTAGCCTCAAACTCAGTGACTGGGCTCGAAAACGGTTTGTTGCCCCTGGGGTCCAGTGTTTCTTGGAAAGGTGTATAGTTGGTTTGCAAAAAGCATGAATTGAATTGGTGCAACTAAACGACGCCGGTGAGACATTATCGATGAGTAAACACGACATAATCCTCTTAGTTTAAAAAATAAAACAATCATAATTTCCTACTTGCCCTCATCAGAATCCGCTCGAACCACAGAATGACTTGTCTGTGCCGAGTGACCTGCTTCATCCATCGGTATGAGTTGGTGACAGATCATTGTTGAGTAAACACGACACAACTATCCTCCTCGTTTAGAAAATAAAACAACCAGAATCTCCTACTTGCCCTCATCAGCATCCACACGAACCGCAGAATGACTTAGCTGCCTGTACCGAGTGGCCCGCTTCATCCATCAATATGTCACCATACTTGACAAAAAATAAACTTTCTTGGGGAGATTCCCGATTGCAACTAGTCAGTGGTCGTTCGAAACAATACCCCTCATTTTTCTGCCCTTTCATACTCCCGGTCCTTTTCTTTCAAAACGCCAGAAGGGATCTTGCTCGATTGTTATCACGTTTCCTGAATAGGAGAAGTTCCCCTCAGGCGATGCCACTGCCCTTAGGCATCAAGTTTCGGAGTGAGGAGAACTGACATCGGTACAAAGAGCACAACGAGCCTGCTACGCAGTGGCAGAGCTTGCTACGCAGTGGCAGAGCCTGCTATGCGATGTGGCACGTACGATTATCACACCATAACCGCTGTTCTTTGCGTCACATTCGAAAAGAAAGAAAGAAGGACGAGTGGAAGCAGCCGCGGCAAAGCGCGGCACGTCTTTAGCTGTAAATGCGAGGCAATCGCGAGTAAAAAATGTGCATGTGTAGAGCTCTCTGCAAAAATCACACTCCCGACCAACAATTTCCTTGCATGTGTGCGGTGTGAAGAGATGCCAAGAAACAATGCCATGTACCAACGTGGGAGAAAAACTTCCATATTTTTTCTTCTTGCTTTATAAAAAATTACTTTTATTAAACTTTCAGAAATGAAAGGCAGTAAACTCTTCTTCTAAAGTAATTATTTTTTATATTTTTATTTGGACCACCTCATGGTAGAATAAATTTAGGGATGGAACTCATGAAATGTAGTTGGGAGCAGCTAAAACTACATTCTGGAACAGGCTAGGAGCAGCTCAGATCAGCTTTCAATGCACTTCAGCTTGTGTCTTAGACGAGCACGGGAGCACTTTCAATTGTGCTTAGAAGCAGAGATGAACATGAGTGGTTAGGAACCTAGCTAGATGGGATAACAGTGTAACAGACGCGAAAACTTCAAATGTTGTGAGCCTTAACGAGAACCAAAAAGCAAGTACCATATGTTTCTCAAGATAGTGTCCTTGATATTTTCTGAGTGGCTTTCAGCTGCTCAAAATGCAAACCAGCACTGCTCATGGCACAACCCACATGTGCTCGACATAGTAATTATATGTGCGAACCACATGACGTGCGTAGGCAACGGACGTGCAGTTGCGCGGAGGAACAGGACAACAAATTTCAAGTTCATGCTATTGTGCAACTCGATATTAAAGCAGCAGACTACGATTAACAGAGTTATCGTATTCGAAGTGATAAGCAGGAGCAAGGTTAAAGTACGCCCAGCAGATCTACCGCTCGCGTGAGAGCTGCTGGCCGGCAAGGTTCTGGATCGGACCGCGTTTCAGTTCTATCAAATCACGATTTATCTTGCGGGAATGCGGTTCCAACTTCTAACAACGAAGTACTAAAAGGAATATTTTGCTCATTTGTTTTCCACTGGCTGACGTCCGGATCCCGGGCCGCAGAGCCTCAGGCAATCTGACACTTAACGACTCTACCTCACCTCGGCCGACTTGCTTCACCGCTTATGATTGAAGAATAACAATCCAGTCGCAGGTGGTGTAGCTGGTGTAGTGCTTGCAATCCGACCCCCCGAGTTTTTTTTTGCACGCTCCCGACTCAGGATACACGGAAAGGATATACAGAGCAAAGGATTGCAAGGCTGACCAAGCTAAACATGCTCATTGTTGCCAATCGAGTCAATAAAAAACGAAACCAAGACAAAATAATATTTTTTTAACGCACGTTGTGCGATTTGGTATTGGCTGTGGCGCAGTTTCCGCAAAATGGCGCAGGATGGCGCAGACAAATGCGTCTGGCGCAAAATGGCACAAATGGCGCAGCCGTTCCATCCCTGAAATGGCTGTTTAGGCAGCAAAACAAACCTTTTCACAACTTTTGATTTTTTTTCCATTGAAGTTATTTGTTTTCTTGGCTTCAAACATTTTTCATAAGTAAAACATCTACAGGGCTCTCAATAAAAAAAAAAATTATTATTGCCAGGTGCAAATCAATTTAAAAACAAATTAACAAAAGTGTAAATATTTTTGCCCTTTGCTGAATTTTTAAAAAATATTTCAATATTAAAATTTTTTTAATCATCACGACGTAACAAGCTAAGAGTCATTCGAATTTCATAAAATATATAGTAAAGCGCTTAAAAAGATCTGATTTTTACTTAATTATTGAATTATGCCTAGTTTTACACACATTTTTAAAATTAAAACAGCGCTAACACCATAAAAAAAATGGGAAACGATTTTTAGGAAAAAGGTAAGGAACTTGAGGTAAAGAGCCATGAATTTTCTTTTAAAAATCGGAAGTGGTTGAGCGCAATGTGTGGGACGTCTGGCGGGGAATGACCCAGAGATAAAACATTTCACTTAACACCAAAGGTCTCACCCGATAGTACTTGAGGATCTGATCATGAACAGGCTTGTTCTGAAAGCGCTGAGGATTGTTCATGACGGGGTCCACCTTGTTGATCTGGAGGTACTGGCATTGAGACTCAGTCACATCTTTTCCCGGGATGGTCAATTTAGTTAGCAGCATGGCATTTGGGAACTGGTTCAACAATCGAGTGCTGAAGTCACTGAGTCGCTCATACTCTTTTCCCCGGTACACAAAGACCTGCAGAAAGGGTAGGAAAGGAGCAAAGACACATCTTGTACAATGAAAATCTGCATGAAGAACAACAGAAAAATTTTCCAACAAGTTAGAATAGTTCTGCTACTGCCACACTTTCTTGGGTTCTTCCATTGAATCTGAATAAAATCCACCAGGTATTCAGCCCTGCCTTGCTCAAGATGCCTTCACCTGTCATTTCCTTCTTTTCCTCCCCACAGATTTTTCTCATTTCTTTCTTCCCTTCGTTTTACCCCCTTGCACCTTCATCTCTGCAAGTCAAACGTTAAAAAGAGTAAATGCTTTGTCGCAAGTCAAAAGTGTGTCTCGTCTTTACTGTGCTTTTTGTGTCATTTTCATTCTTCTTCCGAGACAAACACTTGTTTGCTTTGTGCCAAGATTATTGGATTAAAAATACAGTAGCATTACGACAGTATGTCCCAACGATTGCTATGTTAGAGGACAATGCATCTTAGTTTCCTGATATTCTTTCGCAAAAACCTAGCGTGTGAATAGAAAATTTAATGCTTGACGTCTATACTTCAGAGTATGAACGTCAAGATTTAATTCTAAATGCTATGTAGCTAATTTGGGAAAATAATTTCACTATCTCTATAATGAGCACCCTTAAAAGTTGATGTACCATATAAATTGTAAGTGCCTATAAACATACCAAAAACCCCTCCAAGGTAAAAAATACTATACTATGACTTTGAGATGATGACATAACCAGCATCTAAGGCTTCCAATTTGATCCTTCTCTCTATTACAAATGCTTTCCAGTTGCAAAAAGAGCAAACCTTCGTGCACACTTGCAAATACCGTATTTATTCGATTATAAGGCGGTCACGATTATAAGGTGAGGAAGCAATTGAAGGACACGAGAAAAAAAAAAAAAATCGTCATATTGCTATACTGAGCTTCGAATATAAGGCGGGGTATGACTTTGAGACTATGGATTTTGGAAAAAAAAGCTTGCCTTATATTCGGATAAATATGGTAGGTTTCAGTGCTCTTGGACAAAACAGAAAAAAATCGAAAAAGCACTGCCAGCTAAAATTTTCGGCATTTCAGATTTACTCGAAAAGCTCTGATATTTAAAATCACAATGACAAAAAAAAAAAAAAAGAATCACGAGACAATTTACACTACCGTAAAATTCCGTAAGGACGCCCTCCTCCGGGAGGTCGCCCATCTCGTTTTCTGGCTAAATATCTGTAAAGGGATCTTCAAACCAAAAACGGAGAGCGCGAAGTGTGTACTTTTAGCAGAGAGCTCTCCTTGACACATTGTTTTGTCCCACTTTTAGACGGGGGGCACCCGGGTGGGGCCTTGAAATGTGTGCGTGACGAAACCACTGGGCGCAACCAATCCCAGAGACGAGGGAAGTGAAGAAGACGCAAAGGCGAAGGAGCAAGTGGACAGAGACATTCTCATCGGTCCGTCATAAATGGCATTTTTCTGACGACTGACTCGACGTCACACGCACCCTCCTTCTTGATGTTCCCGTGTTGCTTTGACGAAAATCGTATCCAAACCAAAAAATGGAAGGAAGCGTTCCTGGTTCCCGCTAAAAGCACTCACTTTGTATTTTCCGTGTTTGGTTTGAAGACCCTTTAACATAAAAATTCCGAAACATCGCCCACCTCCGGATTCCCGTCGGACGTCACGCGATGTGCAACGGGAATCGCATGAACCACGCAATCTGCATTGCCAGTACGTCTGACAAGCAAGTGCATAGCGGGTTTCCATGTTTCTCTCCGCGATCAGTGCGCACGATATCGGCTCCCCTAACACGCGAGTTGTTCCTGCATGTATATTGCATCGTGAAATGCGATTCTGCTGCATCCGCAATCTGTGGTATTTGTTCCCGTGACATGAGAGTTTGTAGCGGATTCCCGCGTTTTCGTCCGCAATCTGCACGCGCGATATCGGTTCCCGTGGCAGGCAAGTTTGTGGCAGACTCCCACGTGTTTATAGCACCATGAAACTTGAATCTGCTGCATCCGCGGTATCCGTTCACATGAGATGCGAGTTCTCGGCGGGTTTCCACGGGCTCTTCGCCATGTGAAATGCGAATCTGCTGTGTCTGCAGTCTGCGGTATCCCTTCCCACGAAATAAGAATTTGTAGTGAATTCCCGCGTTTATCACATCGTGAAACGCGAATTTGCCGTGTCCGTGATCTGCGGTATTAGCTCCCGCATCGCAGGGTTTGTAGCGGGCATCCCAGTGTTTCTCATTCATTTTTGATGAAGTTTTGCTGCAGCATTCCCATTTATCTCTTCATTTTGGGTGGGCGTTCTTATGGGATTTTATGGTAGTCCTGGTAGAGCACCAGGTCAGTGATAGTCCAGAGGAGAGGCCACTCCAGTATCTCTTTTAATCCCCGAGGATCACCAGTGACCGTTCAGGACAACTGGTCAAAGTTGTATAAAAATTCAAAAGCGCAAACACCAAGGAAAAGAAGAGGGGACAGGACAGAGCGCTTACTCCAACTGGAAGTTTAATGCATTCCCCGAGGAAGACATAAAAGAAGAATTAGGTATGTTAAGGTAAAAAAGAAGAAGAAAAAAAATTTTGTTATAGTTTATAGACGCATTAAAAAAATTTTAAACTAAATCTTACCCCTTGACACTAGCGAAAAAATGTAATAAAAATTCAGAAATATAAACAAAATCAGTAGGGCAAAGATAAGGTTAGAAAACACTAAAATGACCCGCGTTAAGGAAAAAGGTCGAGGTACCTCATCTCTTTCTCGGACAGCGCTATTGATGGTGCGCTTATGCAAGCTCCCCCGAGAGACAATATGGTTTTCGCTTCATAGAGTTCTCGGGATCTTTTTCTATGGTAATGCTTGAGGATCTTAGTCTGTTGGAATATGGGTGTGCAGTGGCAGTCACGGACATGTATGGCGAGATGTCCCGATGGTGATGATTTCAGAGAAAGGTGATGCTCTCGAAGTCTCACGTTCACACAGCGCCCAGATTGTCCGACGTAGACTTTTCCACATGTGAATGGAATTTCATAGACTACGTTGATGTTGCAGTTGACGTACTTGTGTGTATGCTTGACGGTGCAGTTGTTGTTATTTTCGTTTTGCGAATTAATCTTAGGACACAATTTTTTTAGTTTGTTTGGAGCTGAAAGTACCACTGGTACTTCAGCTTGAAGTACCAGTGGTACTTTCAGCTCCAAACAAACTAAAAAAATTGTGTCCTAAGATTAATTCGCAAAACGAAAATAACAACAACTGCACCGTCAAGCATACGCACAAGTACGTCAACTGCAACATCAACGTAGTCTACGAAATTCCATTCACATGTGGAAAAGTCTACGTCGGACAATCTGGGCGCTGTGTGAACGTGAGACTTCGAGAGCATCACCTTTCTCTGAAATCATCACCATCGGGACATCTCGCCATACATGTCCGTGACTGCCACTGCACACCCATATTCCAACAGACTAAGATCCTCAAGCATTACCATAGAAAAAGATCCCGAGAACTCTATGAAGCGAAAACCATATTGTCTCTCGGGGGAGCTTGCATAAGCGCACCATCAATAGCGCTGTCCGAGAAAGAGATGAGATACCTCGACCTTTTTCCTTAACGCGGGTCATTTTAGTGTTTTCTAACCTTATCTTTGCCCTACTGATTTTGTTTATATTTCTGAATTTTTATTACATTTTTTCGCTAGTGTCAAGGGGTAAGATTTAGTTTAAAATTTTTTTAATGCGTCTATAAACTATAACAAAATTTTTTTTTCTTCTTTTTTACCTTAACATACCTAATTCTTCTTTTATGTCTTCCTCGGGGAATGCATTAAACTTCCAGTTGGAGTAAGCACTCTGTCCTGTCCCCTCTTCTTTTCCTTGGTGTTTGCGCTTTTGAATTTTTATACAATGTGTAGCCAACTAGCCCAACAGTTAATTTTGGTCAAAGTTGCTGTACTTTTGAGTCATGAGAGAAGCCAATGAAGTATGTTGTGTTCAACTACTACAGTGGAACCCCAACTATTTTATTTATTTACAGTTACTATTATTCCTTGTAGGAATACAATAGGAGTGGCATACTATAAAAAAATCCCAGACTTGAACGAGACCGCGCGAAAATGTTATATAATTCGCGAGTCGTATAATCTAGAAAGCAACGATTATGACTTTGGGACTAGGCCTTGCATGACAAAAATATGTGGAACTTCTATAATTACTTTGATTCTAACAACCTGTCAGGCAAAAAAGAGCATAAGGCCCTCAAATAAATAAAAACGAAATCGAAGTGTGGTGCAGTACTGCTGCTAATAAGATTTTATTTTCACATTACCTCATTTTTAAGAAACTGACCAATAAATTCCTTTGAGAGGCTGCAACCTCTAGAAGCAAGTGAGCCACATCCCCGTAGGTGTGTGCAAGCCGTCAGATGCCATCAAAACATGACATTTCCACATATGTCAGGATGCACCTGCCACATTGCCCTTTTCGTCCAAAGTATCGGCATCAGGTGGTTCCCTTTTCGACGACTTCATAGAGTCGCGGACGGCAATGTTGTCATTGGCATTTGAAGTGGTCCACAAATTACAATAAGTGCACGTGGACACGGTACGCAGTTATTCAAGAGCATGGTAACTTTTGTGGAACACGTGGAAATCCTAAGCAGAGAATGTGCCAACACCCGGCCCCTTTTTCGCTTTCCAAAAGTGTTGCACGAGCGCTGCACAAACCCACAAGCACGACCGCACGGATCGGTGGATTGCAGCCTGACAGTGGATTAAGGAGACAGTAGAGTGCGAGAGCAAAGCGAGACATGTCGCGGGAAAGCGAAGGAAGACTCAACTGGAAGGAGGCGAAGGGCAAAAACAAACAAACCACCAAAAACAACACTGCCAGCAAAAGAGGGGGGAGGAGGATATGTCTGCCGGTGCAGTATGCAGTTTCCTTTTCAAGTTTCGTCTGTTTAAACCGGCGATGCGAAGCACCACAATCGTCATATGATGCAAGATGCATGTATTTGCATGTTGTGAAATCCAAATTTGTAACAGATTCTTTCTACAGGGAGATTTCCACGTCTGCACCAAATCGTCGTAAAATGTGGGACGTCGCGTAAACGGGGGACAGATAATCGGGGTTCCACTGCATTCCAGTTTGGAGTTACTACCATAAAATACCGAGCAAGCACCCACCCAAAATTTAGATGCAATCCTGAAAAACGAGGGGGGGGGGGGAGGGCGGGGGGTGCGCTTGTTCAATTTAATAGCAAAAACACAGAAGGGGCACACTATGAGGTGGGCTTTACTGCTTTGCACCGGAGTGCTTGGAAAAGCAGCTGACGAGGATGAGCATCTCATTTAGCTAAGTGGGTTAGTTTTAAAGAAATTAAAAAGTAGAGTGCAGGCACTTATTGCAACATCGGCGCATGTGCAGTATTTTACTGGTGACAGGAGAGGACTCTGTTTTTTTATCAGTAGGAACTACGATTCCGCAGATTTCTCGTAAATATTGATAGTAATTAAATACCTTTTTATGTTTTTGTGCAAATATTTTTTTTTCATTAGTAAATTATGATGATTAAAGAGCATCACAAAATTAAACTTCAAGAAACACAGAATTTCAAAGCAATAGAAATATAAGAAAAGTAAACACTAGTAAACGGCAAATTTGCAGTAAAAAAAATTCACTCTACCAGAAATGGACTTCGAAAACACAGAACTCTACTTGCAAGTGAGGCTACAGGGCAAGCAGCTTAAACAATTTTGAATGGGGTCAATTGTCGAATGAGCCTTCATAGAAACAACCCATTTCTCGGTTACCAATACCCCCAACACCCACGGCACGAGCGTCGTACAACACCCACCTTGTTCTGGAGGAAGGCTGGGAAGCTGCGGCCATAATAAGCCACTCGGAAATATTCCGGTTCGGGTCGAAGGTGCCGCATAATGTTCTGGTAAAAGGTGGCCATACGTGCGTGCAGCATGCTCAACTGGCCATAGTCAAATGTCTCGTTCTCATACTGGGCCAGCAGCTCCTTGCACAGCATGAGCCCGGCCTCCCAGAGCTTCCCTTTGTCGAAGTGGTCGAGGATCTCGTAGTAAAGTCGCTCCTTGAGCTCCCGATTGGTCTCGCACTCCGGGTACTTGGCGCTGCGCAGCAGACTAGGAAGACCTTCGTCCGACCACCGCAGGAGCTTAGCATGAAGCTGCAGCGTGAATGCAGCCTCAATGTAATTGTCGCACTCCAGGTGCAGATCGCACAGCTTGTGAAGGTAGCGGATGTACATCTCCTGCCGGTTGATTTCGTGGTAGAACTCCTACAAGAGTGCAAACAAATGCAATCTTCTAAGTAAAGCAACAGCAAACCTTGGAGCTCATCTGGCCACAATGTGCGTGCAGTCACACGACTGTGTCAGCGAGTGCCGCTGTTACAGGTCTGAACTAGCGGTAAATGAAGACGACTGTGGGCTGCAAAAATTTTGAAATGTAGCACCTTGCTTTTTGGGCAACTATCGATAACTTGATACTTGTGAAACTGCTGAATGGCCTTGTTTGGACTGGATTCAACACTATGTAAAGCACTGCCAAAATGTCCAAATGGCAAACATACTGCCAAAATATACCTAGTGCATAAGCTTATATGAAGAAACATCCTCAGAGGGTAGAGGTGACAAAAGCCAACAAATTCTGCACATTTCAAAGGTGCAAAAGATGTTTTCCCTAAAAATTGCTTCTTTTCCCAGCCTCCCACTAATTCTCTGAGGACTTCTTAGTTCTTAAGTTCTCCCTGCAGGTAGACATCCCATCATTGAACCTACCCATTACTGAAAGGTCAGCAGCAAAGAATCACTTAAGTACAGCCCCATACTAGAGGAATTCAGGAAGTGTGGCACCTTTGTGGAATGATCCTGCTTGGTGAATTCAACAAAAAGTGGGAGTATGGTGATTACATGCTTCAGAAATATACGGAATAAACAAACATAAATAACTTGTTGTTGAGACTTCATGCAACCAAGCGATTCTTGCACTGAATGCCCATGAGTTGTCGCCCGTTGGGAAATCATCTTTTGTGGCCAGTTGTCAAGCGCTGCCCATCAAGTGCTTACAAGCAGCAGGGTGTTAAAAATTCAGAAGCGAAAGTGCATAACTCTGAAGAGTCAGAAAGTTCCAAGCGTGGAGCTTGCACTCTTGCGAGTAGGCGCAGGAGGCACAAGGCCACACAAACACGTCTACAGAGCCTTTCACGTTTCAAAGATCAGCCCTTGACAATGTGGAAATATCAGATTTCCAAAATTCTGGCTCCGAAAGAACAACTAGTATTTTCGTCTTTCAAGGACTCTTGGTTAAATTTTCCGGTTTCTTTCTATCTTTACAATTATCCTCCCTGATGTGTGTTGCAACAAGCACTGTTTCTCTTGGCCATGTCTGCATAAGACATCATCTTATGTTATCTGGTGATAGACAACGAACAGTTGCTTCCAAAAAATAGTTTCTTGGAGAAGTTTCCAACGAAGAATTTCTTGAGCCAAGCAAGAGCCCCTCCAAACTCATATCTGCCAAGTTCGGAGAAAACAAATCCGAAAGTCTTTCTAAGACGGGGGAGGCGTGGGGTGGAGGTGGGGAGGGGGGTGGGGGGGGCAAAAGAAATATTGACAATGAATTTACATGAAGATAATGTCCTTATATTTGTATTGCACTGCTCATACTAGCGAGATACAGCTGGGTCTCGCTATCATTGCTGCTGTCTGTTGCTACAACAAAAACTCCTTGTTTAAGTGGGGGGAAGGGGTGGGGGGGAGGGGGGTATTTTGCATTTTCTGGGAGATTTTTCTGTGAACCCAAAACCGTACGGAATGGCCGAAACTCTGGAGTCTCCCGGGTAGTATGCAAGACTTGGCAGGTATGCAAACTGTACAAAACACTGACGAAAACTGGGGAAGCTGGATGACACCCAAGCTACAATCAAGAAACTGGAAATAATAGTCTAGTTGCACAACCATCCAATTACTGAGAGTGCATCCTTCCTTTAAACTTTTCTTTTCTCGAGCGTATACAGAACGAGACAGTCAAGCACATATCAAATTAATATACAAGTTTGAAAACAAAATAAGAAGACCAATTTCAAGTCAATGCAAGCAAAAGCTCCAAAAAAACTCAAAATCAATGGGGAAAAAAAAACAACGAAAAAGCACCTTCTAAGTTTCTCCTAAGTAAACTAAAAAGAAAAAAGCAGAATCCTATACACCAGGGGTCTCGAACACGCGGCCCGCCGGCAACCGCCTACGAGTCTCGATTCCCCTGTCTCGAGCCCTAGAAATGACGTGTGCCATGCATCGTGATCTCATCGCGTCGATTTTTTTTTCACTCGAAAAGTAGCTTTGCTATTTATACTTTTATACTTACGTGTGTTCATTTGACTTTTGTTTCGCTTTATTTCTTACTTCCCAGCTTTTTGTAATGTACAACGATTCCGCTACTAGGCTGCAAGTGCAAACTCTTCGTCGAAGAATGCATTTCGGGTGTGCGAGCTCTCGATCAGCAGAAGCAACTGGCAAAGATAAAGTGCTACGAGCTCGAGATTCTCCCCTACAAAAATAATCACCATTCCTGACTGCTTTTTAGAGGCATATTGAGCTTCGTTAATTCCTGCGTGAATTGAGCAACGGGAACAACAGCGTACTTGCTCTCTTGTTCCACTCATAATTCCGGCACTGAGATAAATGTTAGGGCGCAAACGAGCTGATGTACATTAAACATGATTCAAAAACCCCGAGACTGCAGGTAACGACACACACTTAAAAGTCTTTTGAGTGTGTGTGTCAAAATACTTTTGAGTGTGTATGTCGTTATTTGCGGTCTAGGTTTTTTTAATCACATTCCAGCACGTTGGCGATACGGTGTCATTTTAGTTCTTGTCATCCCACCAGGTCAGGGCCCAAAGTAGTCATATAAACAAGTCAAATCTAAAGATGTCACTGGCAAAACTGTCGGTTAGCAAAAAAAACACAGAGCACGAGGTTCTTTCCTATAAAAATATTTTGTACCCCCCTCCCCCCCTCCCCTTCCCCCCCTCCCCTTACGTTGGCCCTCGACCTTTCCGATGTGGGCTATTTGGCCCCCACACTAAAACGAGTTTGAGACCACTGCTATACACAAAGAAAAATTGCATGCACGCACCTCATTAAATCTATTGTTCCAGGACAGAAAGTAAGAATGATAGTTTGCTTTCACGTTAAACTTGAAAAATCAGGTTAAAAGTTATAAATCAATTTAATGAGTACATGTCTACTACAAACCAGCCCCAAAACAATAGCAAATACAAGTACCCTCTTTTCTTTTCGTTTTTTTTTTTTCCGTATTGTTTGAGGCTTTTGCTTAAACGGCAGTACTACTGCAAATGAAACCCCAAGAGACGTGCAGTTCTTTCAAGCTACTACAGCAACCAACAAGACGACAACGGCAGAAAGGAGCTTCAGTTGTTTCACTTCCAGCATGAGCTTCCTACCTTGGGCGTCTCATGCACATCGAGCGCACGCGCAGTCGAAGCACGGTCAAGGGCATTTGAAAGACAGATCCTGCCGTCCTCACTGTCATTGGTCATAACACGAATGCACGCCTCCCAAAAGACTCTTACCAGCAGGTTGACCGTGCAGCTCATGCGATTCTCCTTGTTCTCATCCGTGATGATGGTGCGGTACTCCAGGAGTCTCTTCATGAGACGCACCACGATTCGGATGAATTTGAGCCCAGCGTCGTGCAGTGCAGTGTGGTTTTCGCAGAGGTCATACAGGCTGCACCGTGCAAACACCACCAATGTAATGTCCACATCTCAAGAACTAGCTAGAGCTAAAACAGCAGTCTCCTTTAATGGACACTACCAGGAGGCATCAAAAATTGGCAAGCAAGCATAGACCAGTTCAAGGAAAAAATGCATACATCTGTTGGAGGAAGTCCTGGTACTGCTGGTCTCCTCGACCACCCTCGACCAAGACGTCCAGTTTGGTTATCATCTCATTTTCAAACTATACGGAGGAAAAAGAGAGCACAACATTAGAAAAGGCAGAAAGTAGATGCAAAATCTAGAGGAATGGGTTAACACCGAATTCAGAAATGCAGGCCTGCAGGGGTGATAATTCCCCGTACCTGCTAGTACTTTTCCTCTAAAGAAATCTATGTTGCGAGAAAAGTAAGGTTACAGGCCACTTGGTGAGACACACCAAATGGTCTGTAAAAACTTAGTTAAGATCTCATTAAAATAAGAAAAGACGGCTCAACGACAGCATTTGTGACTAGAATAACAAGCGGCCTTGACCATAATAATCTGAAAGATACGTAGTGCAATACTAGGTTTGTGAGTGAAGTTTGGAACATGCATACAGGATACAGTGCTTGACTTCTTTAAGCCTCATGGGACGTGGTATTGTACCACAGGGTGCAAGACAAGTGTCACCCTGACAAAGTCGTTTCAAGGCTGCTTTCCAAGGAACAGGTGAACCTTGCCTCCTGAAAGTTGCCCTTGATGTCCAGGTTATGCACATAGCAGTCGTTCTGGTGAAAGGATATTGACTTGCGAGGGGAGTAGAACTCGCACTGCATCATGTCAAAGAAGATGGGGATTGTGGCCTTGCGGAGCTCTGCTTCCGGAATCATGGTCATCTCGAGGAAAGGCCCAATCATGCCTGGCACAAAATGGATCTTGTTCTGGCCTAGAGAGCAAAGAACCGGAACATCAAGGCATGGCCTAGAAATCACTTTCTAGAAAAAGATTCAAACTCAACCTACGCTATCCTATTTACATTTGTTTGGGACACCGTAAGTAACCACAATGCTACTAAAAATAGAACGAGTTTACCAGCTGTTATCAATAATTACAGTTAAGTGTAATAATTGAACAGGACTACTGACGTCCCCAATAATCATAAAGTTTAGATTCTCCTGTGACATTTACTCACCGAGGTTGAACCACATCTTGCGGATTTCAAAGCCAGTTTCTCTTCTCATGTCCTTGTACCTAAAAACAAGAAGCATGTGTCCAATAGTAGATGCTTATCTTGTTCTTACATTTCAAAGCTTTTCTAGGAAACAGAGCTGCACAATATCTGTTCATGTCTTACTAGCTTTCGGACCATTGGACATTCAGTGTTCTATTGTCTCTAAAAAGTCATTATTTCCATCACCTTTGTTTAAAGGGACACTGACACATTCCAAAAATGTTTATTTCTTATTTGTTGTCAAGTGATTTAATATGGTGTCAGGAGTCTACCCAATCAATATTTTGCTGCAGAGTCACGTATTATTTTAATACAGCCAAAAAACTTAACTGCTTCAAACTGAAACACTGCAGCACGGAAGCTCATGGCCGGAAGTCACGTGGCTACACACAACCACATTTTTTTTTTCTCTGCTTCTTCAACATGTGACACAGACGACAAAGTTGCGTGCACCGTTTTTTGTGCAATTGTTTCGCTCTTATTTCCCTTCCGCTCAATGCTCTGCACTTGAAGATCAATTGGCCAGTTCCGAACTAGCGGCCCCATGTCCGATGCAATGTTGGTTTGTCGTGCGCCGCCATTGTGTCGTCCAGCTTGCAGTACGTCGGCATATTGAGAATGACATGTACATGTGACCTGTGGAAATTTTTTTCTTTTCTTTTTTTTTTATATCAACATATTTGCAGTTTTTTGGAGGCCACATGGGGTTCATATTCTTTTTTTATTTTTAATATTGAATGCGTGCCTTAGTTGACCCACGATTTTGAATTTACAGCGTATTTTTCACCGCAAAAATAAACTACCATACTTATTTGAATATAAGTCTACCTTTTTTTTCGGAAGTATTGTCAGAAATTAAGGGTCGACCTACAATCGTGAAAAGAGAATTTCGACCTACATTTGTGACCAAATTACGCAACCCTACCGAGCGCATGGAGCTGACGAGTCAGTGAGCCAGCGTCGCCGTAGTGCTGCACCGCTTCTTGTTTTAGAAAGCTTTTTGTGCATGGAAGCAACCGAAACAGCAGCAGTTGGAGCAGTGGCAATCAGTTCATTGAACAACGTTTCATCGACAAATTGTTTCATCGACACACAATGTTTCATTGACAAATTCTTTCACTGACAAATCGGTTCATTGACAGCTTAGATTAGCCTTTTTTTATAATAAGCTGCACGAGACTATCGCCGCGAAGCGGCATGTACAGGTTGGTCAGGTGGGTGACATTTCTGCAACGAGTTGCCACAGACTGTCGCCGCAAAGCAACACATATGGCACAATGGTGCACACCCCAGCGATGCACGTGTGATGAAATGTCCTTACAGCGTGCAATTTGATAACGAGTGTCGATGAAATGTTTGTGTCAACGAAACGTGTGTCCATGAAAAGTTGACCACGAAACGTGATTCCACGAAACGAGTTTCAACGAAACAATAAGGACCCCAGCCGGAGCCCGTCGTAGCTGGCGTGCATCCCTCGGGTGTTGGGTTTCACGTCTGTTTGCAACTGCCGGCCACGCACCTTGCCCCTTCTCCTCCCATCCATCCCTCTCCCCCTCGCGGACGCGCAGCAAAAGAAAATGCAGAGGTTTCGTTTCTTGTTGTTTGCGGCGGCTCGCAGTGGTGCTCGCGTCTTTATATTTGGTCTTTCGTCGCTTCGCCACTCTTCCCTTCTTTCGTTTCTTGTTGTTGCCATTTTGCAACAATGTCAGCAAGGTATTGCTGCAAATTTATGAGGATGTCAACGAAGCTTCCCACAAAAATGACATGCCCGGAAGTTCTGACGATGATTAAGTTTTTGGAATCGCGCTGCGACTTAGCTGAAAGCACTGTAAATAAAGCTTTGTTTCATTTTTTTGCCCAAACTTGCCTCTGTTCTTAAGAAAAAAGGTTAACCTATATTTGAATTACTATTTTTTAATTCTCGGCGAGTTTAATATAAAGGCATCAAACTATATTTGTGGACGACTTATATTCAAGTAAATATGGTGTGCATCATTGAACGCTCATTTTCCGCCCAAATGAAGCGCTAGAGGTCTGAACCAGATGCCAAAGTTTCAGCACCAACTGTTAACTTATTTAAAAGTTATAAGTAACTTATTTAAAAGTTATAAGCAACTTTCTGAAATTCTCAATGAGAAAATGGTGGTTGATGCGTGTGGTTTTAGAATAAGCCTTCAGCTGTGTTCGAGACGCTGTGTGTGTCGTCCTCTTTTTTGTGTTCTTCTTTTTCCTTCTTCCAGTGTCTCAGGTTTAGTTATGTCTGCAACTCACCAGCCTGCCTCTACTTTTACTCTTCTCTCGGTTGATGGACCTCTCATAATACAGAGCTCTATGCCACCACTTACCGGAAACAGGCAAAAATGGGCCCCTTTGTCCCATTGAAAAAATAATAGTTAATGCTGGAATTTCGGCATCTGGTTCGAACCTCTAGCACTACATTTAGGCGGAGAATGAGTGTTCGGTAATGCATAATTTATTTTTGCAATTAAAAAAGAAAAAAAAAAATTTTTTTTTTTGGGGGGGGGGGGGGGGGGGGGAGATATTGTAGTTTGAACGCCACATGACCATGTAAGAAAGAGTGAGCACGACTGAAACCGGACAATTCTCAACCGGCTGTTTTCAGGCAAAACCAAAACGAACTACAAGCCACAAATTATGTTCTAGGTAGTTCGGCTGTTATAAGTCATGTTCAAATAAAAACCTTGGCAAGCATAAATACCCTGTCAGTGTCCCTTTACAAAAAAAAAAGATACAGCATTTGCTTAATTCTCACGCAAGTTAGCACACAATATGTGACAATCCCATAGTGTATTTGAAAAGCTATGAATCTCGGAGACATGGGCAGATAAAACAACAGGTTCCAACCTTGCCACTATCTTGTTCCTCTTGTTGTGAGAGAAGTTCTCCAGCTGCAAGGCATCTTGTGTGAGGAATGCAATGGCACAGTGAAAGTAGTTGTTCCAGACCTGGAAAATAATGGAAGCAATGCCAAATGAAAAAGTTAGAGAAGTCCCATAATGTTTGAATGGCAGCCAGAAGTATGAGCAGTGTACAAGTCAAATAGCGATAAAGCTTACCTGGTAGTCAAAAGGGTTTGTGAACCGGTCTCGTATTGTGTGCGAGAAGTAACGCAGGGCCTTCAGCATAACACTACAACAAATAAACAAACACAAACAGCTCAGTGCAGCTCAAACACATAAAAATAATTTACTCTACAAAACAAGAAATTAACATTTTAAAAATAAAATGTGACCTACTGTAGCCCACTTCAGGCATATAAGAGCACAGAGTTATTGCACAATAAAACTAAATCTGTCCATTTCTGAGATCAGTACTACTTACTTGTTCTGGAGCATGATCATGTCATTCCAGTCCTTTGGATAGACATTCTTGCTGACCAAGTCCTTGAACACGAGCAAGATCTCCATGAGAAAATCCAGGAGGTCAGTGTTGGTTGGGAAGTGATCCAAATAGATCTGGTAATGATGCTTGGACATCTGCCTCAGTATTGCCACCATAAGAGCGACAATATTGCCCTAAAAAAAAAAAAAGAATTCAAGTAGCCCTCATCGTAGTTTCCTTGCTTCAAGCACTGTATGTCAATCCAGAATCTAGGGGACAATGAAGAAACAATTCTTTCTCCCACCATACCACAGCCCCTTGAAGCGACGATGGAAGCTGCTCCAAGGAAAGATCAACAACACCATTTGCAGCCCAATATGGTCTTTCCAGACCTAACTTAAATGCTAGCAGTACGGTGTGAAAGACAGGAGTGTGTTCACCGAGCCCACATGCATTTCCAACAAGAGATTTCTTATGGCTACACGCACAAAGTCAATCTTGACTCTGGTAATATTTTTTTGATGCAAACTGATGCACACCCCCCTGCAATATGAAAGACCAATTAAAGAATGCATTTTAAGGTGTATTTGCCGAATTCGCTTTGACAAGAACAACACTTTTAGAAAACAAATAGACTAACCTTTGTTCTTTCTCCTCCCTCCAACTTATACGTGTTTGGTATGTGTGGACTTAACACCAACGCATAAACTGAACAGGCGAATGGGTCTTTCATATTGCACGGGGCTGTACAGGAAGCGGCCCTTAGAGCCAGCACGTTTGGCACACCGGGAAGGAGTGGACGCGGCCAAGAATCTGTGGGTGCGTTATAAGAGGTCGGAGCAGGCAGCGTTTCACTATGCAACGTAACGTGGACCTGTCGTCGGTGGCACTGCCAATCAGCTGCTAAGGTGGAGCGGCGCACCCCCTTCATGTGTCACACGCTCCCAATAGTACCTAGTATCTGCCCTTATCTTAGAAAAATCTCATGACTACATACCACAATAGAAAGGGAACGATCGGTCTTGATGACTGTCTGGATGACCGTCCGAAGGACAGAGAGCATGACTTGGGAGATGTCGTCAACAGTCTGGGCACGATCATGGCCGTGAAGAACCACCATGATATCGCTCAAGATCTTGACGCAGAGCTCTAGCTCATCACCTTTCTCCATGAGCAGCTGCACATGACTATTGATCATGGGTAGTAGAATTGCTCGGCACTCTGAAGAAAAGTAATATACAAAATCAAATAGTATATTCATCAGTTAACTCCAAGGCTATAACAGTTTACACCCCAAAGTACTTCCCATTTTCATATCACAAAACTGAATAACCCTATGCCACTCTCTGTTACCAATCCACACAGCAGGAAGAGTTGAGCCGTTCCTCCAACCCAAACAAAAATTATTTACTGCTCTTTACTACAGCATAAAATCAAGATATTAGGCAAGTGCTCTAACACACTTTTATCAATGAAATAACTTGCCCGATCAAACTGTGACCAGCATAGATGCTGAAACATTTCTGGAACTGTGCGATTGTCTGCATTGTGAATAGTATGTGAATAACTTGCAGCCTAATTTTCATTGCTATTTTTTTCTGAGGCAAGTTGGAAATAACTTATTTTTTATATTGTGTATTAAGTTGAAAACTTTTATTTTTAGTATTGTGCTGCCATGACTAAGAGTGTAATCATGTTTATATGTTGACTTTTATTGTATTTAAATGAAATTACATTAAACACACATGCAAGTATCACTAATGTCTATCTTCTGTCAGATGTAGAACTCAGTTATGGAAGTGGCATTTGACTTTTGGTAGCAGCTTTTGTAGCAGGCAAAATATTGATTTGGAGCAGCCACTGATGCTTTTGGAGCAGATGCAAACGTCTGTTAGCACATCACTTGAACATGAAAAAGGTTGCTAAATGGTTCATCTCTGATAATGGTTGAAGAAGGCTTTCATATTAGACCATATTACTTATTACCTTTGTAATAACAATAGATAGGGTGCAAAAGGAACACAGAGCCTTCTTTTTAGAAATGAGGCTCTGGTCAGAGAAAGTTCCATTTAAAATGGGTACTAAAATTAACAGCTTTCCACTCTGGCGAAGAAGGAAGACCAGCGAAGCTGTGCCCTTGTTTCGTGTGTTTCTACTTCGTCCTTGTCTGTTTTGAGTGCTGTTTCCTATGATGAATTCCCACCAAATAGCCCAACTATCTATTCTTCTATAATAGCTTGAAAGGTTGCTGCCGTCGCTCATAGATGGCGGTAGCTGTCCAGAGTTTTGTGTCGACATTTGTTTGGTACCGGACATGAAACTGGGGAAACTAGCCCTCCGCTGAAAAAATTGCTGAAAATGAATCGTAGCTCAACACTTCAGTAGGTATAGAGCCTCTCTCCCCTCCCATTTTTACACATAGTTTATTTAGCCTGTAAATATAATTTCTGTAAAATGAATGCAAAAACCAGCACGTGAGCTAAAGTATGACTCAATAAAAATGCACCTCCCTCGCCGTTCGCACCCCCACCCCTCAGTTTCAAGAACCTACCCAACCTCAATACTCTAACGTGATAAACCGCAAAAACAACCACTCACAAATAATATAAAAACCGACATTTGTACTTTAAAATTAACAGTGCTCTGAAATAAAGAATTATTATAGCATATGCAGAATGATGTTGTGAATGTAAAATAAGAATTTCTAATCCAATAATGAATCTGTTAATAAACTCCAGTACTTTCAGGAAATCAAAGCTCATTTAACTAATAAAGAAAGCACAAGTAGGAGAGGGAGTTTGGAAAAAAAAAAGAAGGTTCCATATTAGATTTTGAAATGGGGCACATAGTATACAATACCCTGCTGAGATATCTCGAGAGCATGGAAATGCAATCAAATCTCCAAGATGTCATGTACTTCAATGGGAACAATAAAATCTAAGATTGAAACACATGCATCAACTCACTTGGGAGTGTAAAAAGCTCACTGTGAACTATGTCATTCACACACATCATTTTTTGCTTCTTCAACCTCTCAGGTGGCAAGTTGTTGATTAGCTCGGTAATGATGTGACTGCAGAAAAGAATGCACAAAGCTGGTCAGTGCACAGGAGACGACCACGCCTGAAAAGCGGTACTCACCTCAGCTGTTCTGCGTTGAAGACCCGCAGGATGTCGGGAATGGTGGCTGGGAAGTACTTCAAGCAAGCTCCTTGGATCAACAGCACCGCATCAGCCTTGTGGAGCATCATCCCTGTGATGGACTTCAGCAACTCCTCAAGCGATTGCTCAAACAGTTGCGTGCCTTTCCCCTCATTCAAGCTGAAAACATTTTATAAATGGACCTCTTAACCAAGTGGAAAAGTGCACTCCTCCAAGCCAATGATCAAGCATTAAAAGACCCTTCCAGAACAATGGAGGCTATATGAGCAAGTTATATACTACACACTGGGTTCTTCCACATCCAGATTTCATCTCAGTGTACAGTTGATCACTCAACTGTACACAGATGGATCTGCTAATGATCAAGCATCAGCTTCTGCATTTGTTATACTATTTTTAGACACACATCATTCCTTCCGGCGATCACAGCAAGCATCCTCTACAACAGCTGAGTTACGTGCTATACTGTCAGCATTACAATTTATTCGGCATGCAAGCACGATAAAGAAATGGGTCATATGCAGCAACTCTCAAGTGGCTCTCACATCCATACAATCAATGAACTGAAAAAGCAACAACAGCAGATACATTTACAATGTTCTGATTGAAATGACGGCGGCAATGAACACAGGCCACGACATTGCACTTCAGTGGGTTCCAGGACACTGTGGCCTTACGGGCAATGAAGCAGCAGACTGCCTCGCCAAAAAGGCATTCTGGGACAGGCAATATCAACGAGCCCCCTTCCTGGTGGAGACAGTCGGGAAATATTAAGAACAGTAGTACGCAAAAAAGTACAGTTCCACATAATTTCATGAAAACTTTAAATGCTCTCTTCTTTACGAAATCGACTATCAGATAAAATTCTGCGAGCCCATTTCTCTTCCACACAGCATAGAAACACTAATACACAGACCTTGTCGCAATGCCTCTTATATCGCTAGCTTTTTACACCGTATCCATCATGCAGATTCTCCAGAACGTGCATGTGGACAGTTGGTCAAAGATGAAACCCATCTCCTACTAGAATGCTCAACATTTGAAGTGTCAAAAAAAGCTCAATTTACGGCTCATGGCACTTGACGACTGCCCTTTGTTGCTAGAAAGGGTGCTAGGACCTTGGCCTACCCCAGCTCTACAAAAGAGGGCTCTGTTCCTTACGTGATTTCATCTTGAAAACTATAACAGCGGACAGTTATTGAGAGTAACATATCTCCCTCAAAGACAACACAGACGCAGCACAAAAGTAGAAACATCACTACAGGATAAATTGAAATTATATACATTCCTCAACTGTGAAATTCTGATACTATAGTCCTATACCTTGGCTTTATATTATTACACTAAAATGAGCATTTATTGTAAAAAGCGTTTGAGCAACCTAATGTGCATAACACCCCCATTAGTGTACATTGTACAGTACAGTACACCATGCATGTTTGAGTATAGGAATTATATGTAAATATAATAGCAGGACAAATCATAGCAACCCGATGTAAAAAGTGTACTTTTATAACCTGGAGTGTATTGCCACGTTTTCTGTGTAGCGTTTAGTTTATGTGACAACTGTGAACTCTCAAGTAAATGAACACTAATCATTCAAGTTCAAAGGAGTAGCCGGCACTGCCATAGCAGCGGCCAATGTCTCCTTTTTATTTTTTTTTTATCAGTTATTAAAGAAAGGAAAGCACCACTCACTGTGCAAACAGCTTTCTTGAGTGCACAATGAACTTGAAGATGTACTCAATAGATTTCATGGCCCTCATCAAAAGGCTTTCCGTCTCCTGAGTTTCCAGGTTGATGTTGTCAATGTAATACTTCAAGACAACTATCAGCTTGCTGCAAACACAAATTAGTACAGCATGAGTATTGCAAAAACATATTGTCTCTCTAGACTGCGTAAGCCTCTTTGGTTCAAGAAGCAAGAGTGTCGGCGTGCAAGTCGTCGACCTCTCATTCTTTGGTTGGGACAGGCAATGGTGCTGTCACACCTAGGAAAGCAGATGTGAAATGTTCTTGCAACACAGTGCAATCCACTTATAATGATACCACATATAACGATGCACTGCTTATAACAATAAGTTTCTAGACTGGAAACGCTCAGTTTCTAACCCAGATACAATGATAATCGGTTCTAACAATTGAATTTTCAGGTTCTTTTATTATCACTATAAGTGGATTTCACTGTACATGTAAAAAACTAAAACTACTGCATTATGTTGATCACTAACTAATACTTGGCTATATGAACACCCATGTAAGAACTCCCAATCTCAATCATAAAAGGTAACTGCTCAAAACTCGAGATTTGAATGCTACAGCCCCTATCACACATAAAATGGCTGCCCTCCAGCAATTACCCAACAGCCAAAATTCAATTAATCTCTATAAAAACATTTCTGCCAAACAGTCATATCAAAATTTTAAAGCTTGCACACTTAATGAACAAGTATTCACACGCATTTTGAATTGCAATTGTGATCCATATAAAAGCCACCCCTCAATTCCACAGATAATGTATTTTAGCAATAAGAACAACTATTACATAGGCATCAATAATATATACATTGTTACAGGCAATTGTCTGTTAAATAAACTTTCCCTAATAGGATGGTGACACTTATGAACTTTCCCTAATTGTCTCTGAATGAAGGATGCCCTATAAGCCTTGTTCTATTACCACGGTGCTGAAAGGCAAGAGTATAAAGACTAAGGCTATGAAATTAATTGATCAAACTTACCAATTAGTCTAATGCATCAATTTCCAACTACTTGCTTAACCAATTAATTGGTTAAAAGTGGACCTTTCAATACAGTTATCATGGGCACTACCTCAGTCATGCCTGTATTTATTATAATCATGAGGCAATCAGTGAAGTATAATTCAGTGTGACCTGATGTCAATCCAGTCTGTAAATCTTTGTTATTAACACGATGGTAATAAGCCCAGAGACTGGGGTGGAAAAGAGTAAAAGACAATGAGAAAGAAACAAAGGGGGGCAGACAATGTATTAAAGTGTGACATTTTTTGTATCTTCAAAGACCAGTGCCTCATAGACAACCTGCACTTATACAATATAAGCACACTTGAAGAAACACTATACTGTCAAGATTGGTTATAACAAAGTCAATGGAAATTGGAAATTGCTTCGCTATATCCGCTTCTTAGAAGCAAAAAAAGATACCACAGGTTGTTACGGGACATGTTTATCGAGCCTACAGAAAGCGGCCGAGGCTTCCCTGCACGTGTCCTCTGCTAGATCGGAGCCGCTTTTCGCCAACTGCGAGAAACCCCAATCGAAAAAAGATCCTGCAACGTACGGACCGTGTCGATAGCTGTGACGGCCCCTAAGAGGACGCCCCCGGTCGACGGCATTCTTTACATTTATGCGCACTCCGCTGAAGATGGCACGCCTTTGATTCAAGGAGATTGCCTTCGTCTTCCTCGTCAAGGCGCCGGCAATGCCGGGACTCTCCATCACTGAGTGGCGATGATTTGCCGAATCGGTGCTTGAGCGAAGTAGACTTTCGTGCAAGAGCGACCTCACCGACCGGACTCTGACACGGATCACGAAGGAAACAAAGAAGCGCGCATGGCGCCGAGTTCACGCTCAAGCTTGTCTGTCGTTGGTATAGAGAGCCTAGATTGAAGAGATGGGGCAACTGCTCGATCGGGGTCACGTGGTTTGTGGGTCATGTTTGCAAAACGAGCTTCAGCGTGCCAGGAGTCAAAACTCAAAAGCGTGCACCTTCTGCAAAGCAAACGCGTCTGCCTCTCCGCCTAGTTTCCTCGCCACACTGGCCACACACAATCAAATGCAGGCGTACTTACTGCTCCCTCTCTTAAATCTAGGCTCTCTCCGTCATCTCCGCCGGTACATTGTAGCCAGCACTCCGAACGTCCCTATCGACAAGCCACGACGGCTTCTCCGCGTCCGATGTGGTAAAGCCGCTTCCCAGATAAGGAGCGGGGAGCAGACAACGTTGCAGAGCCTGTCGCCAACGGCCTTTCCAGCATATTCTGCAGCCTATTCTGTTTGGCTTCTTGGCCGCGGAACCAAAGTGTAGCGGTCCGAGACTTACGGTAGTAAACTTTCCGAATTTTATTCTTTTTTTAAATGAACACAAAATTTATCTTTGCTATATACGCAGAACCCGATCAATTTTCTTCGCTAAAAACAAACACAAATGCATTGAGAAAGTGCAAAAGGGAGTAGGAAATTGTGATAGCTTCACTGTAGCTGCTATTTCGTTATAACCGATTTCGTTATAACCGGTTTTTATGTATCAAGAAGCTGGAGCGATTTTTGAATTTGAAAATGTTGCAAGATTTTGGATGTAGCCCCTTCAAATTTCACCGCAGGAGAGGAAGGGAAGAAAATGACGCCATCGGTCGTGTCAGGTGACCTTTGCTGGCCTTTCAGCGGGCTTGGAGATGCCAATAATGGCGTCCCAACATCTTTGACAGATCACATGCAGCAAAGACATGTGAAAAATTGCTGCACATTTTTGCCAAAATAAAAGTGGTTTATACTAAATCCTGCTGAACTTCAGGGGGCCCCTAACTTTTTTTTTAAGTGCTTTAGCTTTTTTTTTTTAGTAAAATAAATATTTCTAGGTAAATAAATACAGCTTACACTTTTCAACTATTACTTAAATAATACTTACTAGCTAGCCATCAGTAATAAGATGTATACATTTAAATTCTGCCCTTGCTACTTTTGCTATTAGCCTAAAGCAATTGAATGCATGCCAAGCAAATTAAATAATTAAGTAAAATAGCTCCATTAAAAAAAATCTTACCCTGCATCATTAATACTATAAAATCCTGAGCAATCGCCCACTCAATATTTTGAGATAATTTGTAAAACTGGGGGATGGGTGCTTCTCAGCTCAACAATAAGTAAAGATATGTCTTTACTAGGTATATTTTTTTATTACTGCAAAAGTGAGGGGTGGGCACTTATTGTGGAATCTGCAGATGCTCGGTATTTTTATGGTATACAAATCCCAGCAATTGTGCTAATTTCCCAAATGTATACTCTTAAATTTCTTGGTACTTTAACAACCCCATCAGCCTTCCCACTAGAACAATTAGCTAAATTCAGGGGTGGAACTCATGGAATTTACTTGGGAGCAGCCACGGGAGCAGCTGAAAGGGCTGTTTTGGAGCAGGTTGGGAGCAGCTAAAACTACATTCTGGAGCAGGCTGGGAGCAGCTCAGATCAGTTTTCATTGCACTTCAGCTTGTGTCTCAGGCAAGCACGGGGAGCAATTTCAACTGTGCTCAGCAGCACAGATGAACATGAGTGGTTAGGAACCTAGGTAGATCGGATAAAAGTGTAAGAGATGCAAAAACTCGAAACTTTGTGAGCCTTAATGAGAACAAAAAAGCAAGTACCATATGTTTCTGAAGATAGTGTCGTTGATATTTTCTGGGTGACTTTCAGCTGCTCAAAATGAAAACCAGCACTGCTTATCGCACAACCCACACGTGTTCAACATAGTAATTATATGTGCGAACCAGGTGACGTGCGTAGGTTGGTTTTGGGTTTTTTTGGCGCAGCAGCATCGGGGCCATAGTGCGCCAGAAACATTGTGTAAAGGAAGCCTACATTCTTTAAGGACTGGCTAAAGCCTCAAAGCAGACCTTACTAGGAACTAGACTTATAATTTCCGCAGAATATTAGTTTCACGAACCAGGTGACGTGCGTAAGCAACGGACGTGCAGTTGCGCGGAGGAACAGGGCAACAAATTTCGAGTTCAGTATCCTATATTGCAACTCAATATCGAAGTAGCAGACTACGATTACGGAGTTATCTTATTCAAAGCGATAAGCAGCAGCAAGGTTAAATAAAGTACCTCGAGCAGATCTACCGCTCGCGTTGGAGCGGCCGGCCGGCAAGGTTTCGGATCGGACCGCGTTTCAGTTCTATCAAATCCCGATTTATCTTTGCGCAAATGCGGTTCCAACTTCTAACGATGAAGTACTAAAAGGAATCTTCTGCTCATTCGTTTTCAACTGGCTGACGTCTAGATCCCGGGCTGCAGAGCCTCAGGCAATCCGACGCTTAACGACTCGACCTCACCTCGGGTGACTTGCTTATTAACCGCTTATGGTTGAAGAATAACAATCCAGTCGCAGGTGGTGTAGTGCTTGGAATCCGACCCCCGAGTTTTTTTGCGCGCTTCCGACTCGGGATACACAGGGAGAATAAACAGAACAAATGATTGCAAGACCGACTAAGCTAAACACGCTCATTGTTGCCAATCGAGTCGATAGAAACCGAAACCAGGACACAATAGTATTTTTTGGCGCACGTTTTGCGATTTGGCGCATAATGGCGCGAGGTATTGGCTGTGGCGCAGTTTCCGCAACATGGCGCAGGATGGTGCAGACAAATGCGTCTGGCGCGAAATGGCGCAAATGGCGCAGCCGTTCCACCCCTGTAAATTATTAATCAGTTAAAGGTCATTGATTAAAAGCTTAAACTTCTCAATTGATGCCCAGTCCCAACTGCAGAAATTACAATATAAAAATATGATTAGCAAAGCTTCTGGACAGCATTGTCTAGTATGTACACTCACTTGTAAGCAAGGGTGGCACTAAATGTTTCCTCAATGTAAAGGTCCAGTACTGGCTTAAAATGCAGGTACTTTCTGTCCGAGATGAGACAGATGATGAAGACCTGGAAGACAGGGTGTCATTATGAGTGTCATACAAGTTCCACCAAAAAAATGGCACAGCCAACACCACCAGCTTACCAGGGCCTCGAACACAAGGTTGTCATAAAGATCAGAATCAGAGTTCTTCATCAAAATGTCAAACAGTGCGTCCAGGATGTCTTGTAAGAACTGCAACAAAAATGGCCAAAGTCAAAATATAGATTACCACGAGACCAATTACACCCTCGCTTCTTTCCTCCTCGAATACCGAAAAAGGATAGCAGGCCCGAATCATTCAAATGTGCACCCTATAATACAGAAAGGTAGCTGAGAAAGGATAAATTAAACAAAAAATCCAATTAACTCTCAACTGCCATTAAAATTCTCATTTACCCCTATTCCATTTAGAATCCCTGCAAAAGCCTTGAATGCAATAGAGACCTCTAAAAGACGGTTCTACTGTTTATGTGCCCCTCTAGTGAGTGCACCTTTTTAATAAAAGAGATGCCTGTGCTTATCATATATATTTCCCTGTACAGCAGTGAGAACCACTTCGAATAAGCACTCAGTTGAAAAAAAAATTGCCGCAGATATTCCTGCAAGCACTTCCTGTCCATTCTTTTCAGACAAAGAATAGTGCTTGAAAAAGTATAATCCAACAAATGATTTCAATAACCATTAGATATCAGGCATGCCCCTGCTTCACAATTTCAATGGCAAAAAGCACCAGGCATTGGAAGCTACTTTTCTAATGAGTGGCACTTTCGCAACATTACCTTTACAACCTCCTCGCCATCGACCTTCATGAGGGCATGGAGGTTTTTCTGGAGGTTCTCAGGGAGAGTCCACCACTTCAACAATCCCAGCAGATCAACTGCATTAAACAAAAGCACATCAGTACTGAACTCGTCTTTTTAAGGGGTGATAGGACAATTTTAACTTGGAAAGAATTTCCAGCTTTTCCTTTTTACATTGTTTACCTTGCCGAAAAGGAGAAAAAACATGTCTCATTCTATTGAAATATTGTGATTCCGATGCGTAATAGCAAAGCTGAAAACAGGACTATTTCGCGATTAGCAGCGGCTATGGGAGCTATGGCACAACATCTAATAGGTGTCCTGCAATAAGTTGGCAAGATCTGCTATTATCTATTCAATCTAAGGCTATCTTCTATAAATACTGTTGTTGCAACACCACTAAATGGGTCATGAGCCTCATCATTGACAAAAGTTAATCATACCAAGTTTTAGTGGTGCCATCTGCTTGATGTGAACAAAACCATTCCTCTTTTTCCACGTCGCTACTAGGTCAGCCCGGCTTCTTTATGGCAAGGCAAGCCCTTTGGCTCCCCCTCAACCTCTCCACATCGCTCAGACCGTCCTTCAAGGTCGCCAGGTTTGTCGACATCGCCATCGCAAGCAAAGACAGCGCGCGCTGGAGACGCTCAAGACAGAACCCAACCGTAAATTTCGCGTCCCCAGAGCATACATCTTACATCACTGTGCACATGACTTGAGAAAGACGATGCACGAGTTGAGAGGCGCCAAAAACTTCAATTTTTGCCCTTTTTTTTAAACAAAAACTAAAGCATGCAGGCAAATTGGTTTCCAGTTCTTTACTCTAGATGTGATGAAGAGAGTGTCTCACAATTATTTGACCAACGTCCAAAAATTGTTGCAAGTCCCCTTTGAATGCAGACAGCAGGGGTTTGCAAATATGCAAAATTTCAAACACAAATCAAGTAGCACTTGGAATGGGCCTGAAAATACATTTCTGCTATTGGAAATATTCTAATACTTAGTAGCTTAAAAAAACTTAAGGGGGAACATTGATCTAATTTTTTCCTTTTTTTTTGGCCAAGCCCAATGAAACAGCACAAGCTTGTTTAGACTTTTGAGCTGATTTCGAATACTGTAAACGACTAATTTTTCACAGGCTCAATATTTCGCGATTTAGGTCGAAGCTGGAATTTTAGAAAAATTTGTGGGTTCTAATTTTCGTGACGTGGGGGGATCTCAATATAGATTCCAATGTGTTTACATTTTGCAGGAATCTTTCACGGGACCTATTTTCAACAAATTGCAGGCAATTTGTGAAATTCACGAAAATGAGGTCTTTGCAAAAATTAAGTCGTACACAGTACCTGTTTTTTTTTATTAGACGGTTACTTCTCAAGATAATGATCATTAATCAGACTGCTTCCAAAAAACAATAGAGAATTTTTTTTTTAAATAATATTTTAACACAGTCAAATGCTGCAAATTATGAAAAATGCAATGTTAGAAGCACCTTTTGGATTGAACCACTATTAGTGACATTACAACATATTGAAGTTCAGTGCTCAATGTGTGGCAACCAAGCAATAAAACATTATTTCAGTTAAAAATTTTCCTATAACTATATTGAAAAATCTGCTTCCAACATTGCATTCTTTGCACATTTAGCTACATGGCGCTAAAAAAGTTATCTTTCTCTCTGCCCTAGATGCTGAGATATCCCTTCTGAAAATTTGTAAGCCCGAAATGTGTGTTGTGAGAAAGTGTTGTTTTAGCATCAGCTTCAGGGCAATTTCAGCCTATATAAATAATATAAAGGGATGTTATGGCTCAAATATTATTCTTCAAAATAATAAACATGGCAGACCAAAAGAAAAGTAGCTGTAGATTTCAAGATCACAATTTTTCAAAAGACAGTTTTTTTATAGAATTTTGGCTCCAAAGACCGATGTCTCCCCTTAAAAGGCCCCTGAAGAGAAAAAAAAATTTTTTTTTGAACAGTCTGGTTGGGAAACGCGTGTCAAAAAAAGTTGGGGCTCCAATCCACGCTGTGAAGGTGGTTAGTCAGCGAAGCTGTGGTATCACTTGCAACGATTGCCTACTGCACTATACGAAATGCCGCTGCCGGTCGCAGCACGCCACCGCTAGTCGTATTGCCGTTTCTTTTTCCTTTGCTGCTCCTAGCATTCACGCCGCTCCTCGGGAGTCGTAATTATGCGTGGCCTATTCATCGCAGTGCTGCAGCGACAGTGAAGTCAGTTGCTATACTCTATTTCATCTTCCGCTTAAGCGCAGCAGATATTACGAGCCATTGCATCCAATTGGAGGCCGCGTGACTGTCACGTGACCTTAGAGAGGGGGCACAGCGTATCATGGGCCACGTCCACAGAACAGGATTGGCTAAGATAGCTCGTAGCATCCGCTGCGTCCGGACGTAAGGTGAAACAGGGTATAGGTAGCTTCTTTTGTATATGAAAGACATGTGACGTCACTCCCCACGTTGCAAGCTGCCGTCGCCGCAGCAGGTTGGGCAACTGTAATCTTCAACGGGAACGTATGCAATGAGCGCTACGTGCTTCGCTTTGTTTTCAGGAGCTTCTTATCATTCATTATATGGTTAGAATGCTTGTTTTGTGCTTATTCTTTGTTGAAACAAATGTTGTGTTGTATGTTGTATGCGTGGTGTTTATGCTTTTCACTTCAATCTTCTGAAGTCTTTTTTTTCCGTGAGAACGCCGACACGAAAACACACGCAGGGAGAAGGAACGTGCTTCGCATTGTTCGCAGGCGCCGTTATCATCCATTATGCGGTTTGCACTTTACAAGAGGGCTTCAAATGACGTCAACCCCTTTCGAAGCAGCTGCATACCTAATCTTTACCGGAACGCGTGGGAGGGTGTTCCTATTGGTCACACGTGCCTTATCATCCATCATGTGGTTTTGATGCTTGTTTTGTGGTTTTCTTTACTGAAACGGATACTGAGCTGTATGCTGTATGCCTGATTTCAAAGGAGATATGCTGTTTTGCCTTCAATCGTTCGCCGGGAGTTTTTTGCTTACGACACCAATGACACGAAAATTTCCTTAATTCCTTAACTGGTAGTGGTATACATACAGCTTCGCAGCAAAAATAAATTTTATGCAAAAAAAAAAATTTTTTTTGTGCATTATTGTTGGTGAGATTTATTTGAAATTCTGCGCACAAAGCTCATGACGTCCCGGGTCATTCCGGAATGACCATCTCGGTTGTGAAGATGAAGCCGATGATGCACCTTTGGATCGGCTTCGTCGTTCTCGTAAACTCATCTTTTTTTTTTCTTTTTCTTTCTACTGCATATTTTTTGCCTAGTATAAGATTAACATGGAAATGAAATCTTCATGCGTGCATTCTCCAATTCCCTGAGTACGATATTACAATTACTTGTAGATTTCCACCAAATACCTTGACCAAACATGTTTTTTTTTTTTTTATTGACATTGCGATACCTTATACTTGCTTTTATCGTTTCTGGGTATAATGACTGCTCTTTTGTTGTTTGTGAGTACTTGGCACATGCTATTTCCTTAGTAGTGTAGACGTGATGTCTAAATTGTAACGAATATATTTTGTCTGCTTTGTTTCGTTTGTCCTTCAACACTGAATAGATGTTTGAAGAAAATGTTTGTAGGATTGTAAAAACCGAGTACCCGCATAAAACTATTTATTGTTTTAGTGGACTGCCCGTTCTCACGCACAAGCACGCAAGTGCTTTTGTGAGACGGTTTTTTTGTACCTTGATGCGGATCTGTGAATAAACTATTAATATTATTATTATTAACATTATTACCTCTTCTCCATGCACCCGAAATGCCGGTAAAGAAAACAAGTGGAAAGGAGGTAACTGCCGACTAAACCACGTCTCGCGCCATCAATATTGCAGTAAAAATGTTTTTGTTTTTTTTGCATAAAATTAATTTTTTGACATGCATGTCCCAACCAGACTGTTCTAAAAAAACTTTTTTTTTTCTTTTCAGCGGCCCTTCAATGGAAGCAGAACAGTCATCGTAGTCTGACAGATTTCTGAAGAATCATGTATTAGACAACTGTTCACAGCAACTGCCACGCATTACTTTTTCTGTAATTTTTCAAGCATGCAGTAGCAAGCACACAATATGGCGATGCTATCATAATGTATCCTGGTGGCGGAAACTAAGCCTGAAAGTATGGACAACATTCGGCTTGAAGAATGCACAAAAGACAGTTTTTGTTCTGTGAAAACAAGACTTTATCCCATATAGCACATTAAAAGGGTAGGGAAACGAAATTCCAGCGCTCATTTTCTCGCTTGGATGTGTTGCATGTTGCACCTTAACCTCAAAAACACCAGTCTTCCGTTGAAAGACTCATGAAAACTAATTTTAAAGCTAAATAAACAATCTTTCAATGTGCACCTGGTGGATGCACGCAGAGCCTATTTGGGAGATACTCTAGCAACGTTGTGGAATCTGCTACGTAGTCGTGACGTAGCAGATTCTTCGGAGCAGCACCGCTCTTTGGCACTTCAACATTTTCCCTCTTAGCTTTCCTCCTCAACTCACAAGTCACGCATTGTACCAAACGGTCCAAGAAGACAGAAAGGAAGGACTCCCCTCATTCTCGGACCCTTGTTCGTGCAACCGGACACAGCCATTCTCCCCCTAGAAGATTAGCCCGTCACTCAAAACTCAAAGAAAAGTTGCTTTCCCCACCCCGTTCAGCCCTAAGCTGACAGTGCTGTGGAAGCTACATGCTCCTTGGGCTAGCCATACGCTCGTCACCCCACGGGTACTTCGAACGGCTCGGTGGTAACGCGGTGACGCTATTGACACCACCACAACGCTGACAACGCCACCAACGGCAAAGCTCATAACCACGCCTGCCTTGCTACTCCACGAACGCGGGAAATCATTTCTTTCTGTTTTTGTTTGCGCCGAATATCCCATGACGCATCGCGCTCTCCGTTCGCTTCTCTTCAAACGCTTGCTCGAGTGCACCGTTTGGCACGAAAAATGTAGCCAGTCGTTCAAAATACAAACGTGCGATTATCATTTATGGTTATTATCCGTCATGCTTAACTCATTCCCGTACATATTTTGAATATTTAAAATTTTTGTTTGCGTACCGCTTTAAAACCTCACACACTTGCTGCATTTCTCCGGTTGTTAGGTTTATGAACGCCGGTCTCGTTGAACTCCCATAGGGATATGTGTATCAATTTCCCGTTTACTGCATTTGCTTTGCCAGTTCTTATCCACAGAAATTGCCATCTGGCAATTTCTGTGGAACGTGTGCACCAAGCTACACTGTGTTGCACCGGTGCACGTGTCAAATATCGCCACCTCTCAACAGCATGCAAGGAGCAGCGGTTGATGCGGGGAAGCAATTGGGTTAGCTCTGTGGGCTCAAATTTTGCTCCTACTTGCAGCTTGACATTCTGCGATTACCACACTTTCCAGACAATATTCCGCGGACTGTGTATACTTAACAGTTTCAATTTTATGCAGTGCGTACAATACAATAATATTTTTCTACACCGCTCATTAGGATGAGAACTAATGAATTTTGTGAGTGACAAAGTATGTTAATGACAATTTATGTCTGAGGGTTGATCAATAAGTTTTGCCCCCTAGGCTGCTACTTTTTTTTTTTCAGTGATGAAATTGAAAGGTTACATTCAAATGAGAGTTTGGAATCTCCTCTTCTTCAGAAGCACACAACTTTTTAATATAGTCCCCTCCAGCGGTGATGCCCTTCCACCACCGTTGCACTACTCTCCGCACACCGTCATTTTTGCTTGTGTTTGTTGTTAGTTCTTCATTGATAATTTCTATTTTGTCTTATATGTATAATAATTTCCCCATGTTTGTGCACCACACAGTAGACCGCTAGGTTGTTTGTGGGCACTGGAAAATAAACCATTATTATTATTATTATTACTGTTATTATTATTACAGATGATTGAGGGCGGCTATTGGTGAGACCAACGCAGCAGGGGAAGAGCTGAAGTTCCAAGATGTTGTGCTTCATCCACCTTACAGCCTGGACCTCGTGCCATCAGACTTTTGGCTGTTTTTCAAGATAAAGGAACATCTGAAGGGTACACGGTTTGCATCCGACAACGAGGTTACCGATGCAGTGCACCGTTGGGGTCATCAACAGCCGCCCTCAATCATCTAAGATGGCATGCGCAATAGTGCACCGGTAGCGGAAGTGCATCGCCACCAGTGGGGACTATATTGAAAAGTTATCTGCTTCTGGGAAAGATGAGATTCCAAACTTTCATTTGAATGTAACATCTTTCGATTCCATCAGTGAAGAAAAACGTTACAGCCTAGGAGGCAAAACTTACTGATCAACCCTTGTATAATACAAGCTTTTTTGTGAGCTATTAAAGGTGCGTTGTGCTAAAATTTCTTATGTGTGGACTAGGCACCAGAGGCATTTAGTCCACACAGAAGCACCCAGTATGCACCAGGTGCATACTGGGTGCTTCTGGCCACTGCTAGGATATCATAGCCACTGCTGCTCAGTGGCTATGATATCCTACTGCCATCGCACCAACCCAAGTTCGAACATTGGCGGGGCTCTAACTTTATACATTAACTTTAGGTAACCCTAACGTCAGTAACGCACCCAGCATGTCGCTCGTTCGTGACCATTTTCTCACAGGAAATGCCCCACAAATGCCATTCTTTGTTAAAACAAGACTATACTCCTGAATTTATATTTTGGTATCTGATTCATATTCAACTCAAGTGCCAGACAGCGAACTTGCAGAATATTCCACAAGACTATAGAAAAAAACATTAGGAGGACAAAAATCCGTTGTGTCATACCATTTTGTGTCAGCTTCGTGGAGCAAACAAGTGTCGAGATCTGGAAGGAATCCTTGATTGCCAGGCTGATGCCTCCTGCTTGGAACGAGGCCAGCTGTGCTTTGTTCGGTTGCACGTTGGGAGTGGACGAATTCTGCACAATGGCATTGAACTCCGCTCGGGTGGCAGGCAGGGTGAGGTAAGTAGTGTCCGTCTCTGCATGTCGCTTGTGGTCCAGCTTCAAAAAAATGTCCAGCGTGTTAGTGCAAATCACTGCTGGACCACACCTTGCACACACCACACTCAAGAACTGAAGGCAACTTTAAGGGGGGACACTACCTTGAACTGCACCTTTTTTCCAAAAAATGCATATTGAGAACTGCAGTTTTGGCATGCATGGATGACAAGGAACACTCTCACAAAGTCTTGTCCATGAGCACTGACAAACAATGTCAAAAATATTTATTCTTTATATGTTGGTGAGGTGTGCTGCACTGCGTAGCACTCGTCATCCACAAGTGAAAAGAGCTGAAAGCGATGTCAGTATATCAGAAAAAGTTTGAGGAAGACATCACCTACACTGCTGGAAAGAAGTTCTGACATTTAAGATGCCAAAAGAAAATTTTAAAACGTCATCTTGAAAGATTAAGTGCATTTATCTCAGCTTCACTTTTGGTAGCAAATCCCACCTTAATAAAACTATTGTTTCAATATGAAACTACCGAGAGACTTAATATTTGCGGATTATAAGCCGAAACTTTATCGAGTCGGTTACCATGAACTTAGATTTTACAATTTCATGTTCCTTTATTATGAAAAATTGTAATTTGCAAAACTTGGCAAATGTAAAAAAAAAAAAAAAAACTTTCATAAATATTTTTTTATTTGAAAAATGCATATTTTCGGAAATTTCTCTTCATAGTTGACCGGCAACAAGTATTCCAGTATGCATTCCACCAGAAAAATATGGGGTGATCAACACCGTTTCTCAACGATAGATTCATTGAGCAGATTCCACACAAAGCTACGTTTTGGGGGTATAGTACTCATAAAATTGGTTCACAGGGCTGAAACTTTGCATGCCCTCCTTCTATATGGCTACAAACACCACCTGCAAATTTCACGCCGATTGAGTGAGCAGTCCAAAAGTAGACATGCCCGGGTAGTGTCCCCCCTTAAATTCTGGAAGACACATGGCTCAGCTTTTTTTACACATCATACAGGCTGAATTATGCTGACTGCAGAAAACCAAACATCAACTCAGGCCAAGTCTCGATGAAAAATATTTGAACCTGGCTCGATAGTTCACATTAAACCAACTGACGCAGCATGCATTACATATTTCAGTTGACCTGTTTCGATCTGTTTGGACTTGTTTCATCTGCTTTGCCCGTTTGACTTTCGAGGCAATCTGTTAGGCACAAACAAATGACGCATTTTGTGTCAGTCGGATTTGTGCGAAGCATCAAGGAAAGTTCAAACTTTTCTTCATCTCAATGCAAGAACATAGTAATGTCACCATGCGAGCCTGGCCACGTGACTATGTTCACGTGATTATGCAATGTAAAATCACGTGACCCCTCTCGACATTGGGGTGACAAATGTTTTGCACCAACAAGAGTACACACCAGTTGTAACGACATCAATCGAAGCTAAGTGTAAGGCTAGGCAACAGACCACCGAGCGAGAGGTCTGGGCTTCGAAGTGGTTTTTGCAAAGATACCAGCTTGTCTCCCAAAAAAGTTTTGTGTTTTTTTCATCGCAAAAATAAATGATGCATAGCCGAACGCCCAATCTCCGCCCAAATATAGTGCTAGAGGTCCAAACCATATGCCACAGTTTCAGCATTAACCGTTCTTATTCAAAATTTACGCGATTTTCTGAAATTTTCAATATGCAAATGGGGCCCATTTTTGCCTGTTTTTGGCAACTGGCACCCAAGAGCTCCATGTATTCAAGAACTTTGTCGGTTGCCATTTTCCCACTGAAAATTTCAGAAAATCACTTATAACCTTTGAATAAAATATAGATTCGGGCTGAAACCTTGGCACCTGGTTCGGACCTCTAGCGCTACATTTGGGAGGAGAATGAGCGTTTGGCAATGCATAGTTTATCTTCGCGGTAAACAAATTTTTTTGAGGGGGATAAGAAATTTATTTTATCATCAAAATTTGTGCCAAGGACACCAGACAAAATGCTTCCAATAGGAAACTTGACTGGGTCTGGTGCCCTTGCACATACGAACATGACACAATAACATAAATAAAACGACACTAATTATCTAAACAAAAATAAGTGCAGTGTTTTTAGTTAAACAATTAATATCTTTGCAGTCAATAATGAAGTTTTTAAGCAGTGTAGGCAGGCTATGAGATTGAAGTGCATAATTAGTGCATTCCTCATTAACAAAAAAAAGCATATACAATTATAATAAGCACTTCTTCAAAGTAGGCTTCCATATCAAAAAGACCCATTCTCTCACTTACTCTGTAGACAAGCAGCTCGTGAACTTCATCATTAAGTGTTGTACCGTTCTCTTGCATCAACTTCACAAATGACATGGCAAAGGGCTTCTCAGCCCTGTCCTTGGCTGTAAAATCAAAGGAACCATCGCAAGCAGTTGAGAAAAATTAGCTTCAAATCTGTACAGCATCCAGAAAGACGAGGAACAATCACCTTCGTTAGAAGATCTGTGCTTGAACATAAACAGCAAGTGTGCACTGTAGAACAGTTCAATTGGAACAGCAATCTAGAAGAAAGAAAGCTTGTCACTACCCCTGTTGTCAGCAGTGGCTCCGGAAATGTCAAGACCCTACAGTGCCAAAACGTTGAGGGGGGGAACAAATGAATTCTCCCTCAGCCACACATGCAACCAGTCATCTCATAATCTTCATCGCGTAAGGACGATTCCTTTAACTACAGAATGCCAAACAAGTGCCCACACAAAACGGAGGTAACTATGACAAAATTTAGGAAGAAACACCCGTTTCAGTCAAATTTATGTGTATTTCATACGCAGGGTGTTTATCGAACCCGCGCCAAATCGCTCCTTAAAAAAGTATGCACCGCACACAAAAAAGGTTCATGTCCTATTGGTTTCTGCCAAAGGGCCTATTTAAGAAAATTAATAATGTTTGGTGTAATTACCATATTTATGATAATCTAGGCCTATAGTTCAACGAAACTGTGGAAACTGAAACTTGGGGGTTGGCTACTAGAAAACATTCTACTCCACTCATTTGCATTAGACGGCAAGCCTACAGGATCAAATCCTCCCCTATCGGCAAGGACAGCCCGTGTTCAAGAAAATGCATGCGCATCGCGCTGTCCATGTTGTCGCGCTTTCGTGCTGCACCGAGAGAGAGGGATGCTGCCGATGCACAGAGATGCCGGATTTGCCAACATATCAGAAACAACTATCTCCGCTGTCTCGAAGTCTGTCCACAACGAGAGAGGACTGCAGTCATCTCTCCGAATTCAAAGGGGGAAAACCCCGAGGTTGCGTGCGTCCAGCCGTTTTAACTATGCAAAAGGTGTCAGCTCCAAGGCCATTGTATTTTCCTGGAGTAAGATGCATTCCCTAGTAAAGTATTTGGCAACGCGTTCGTCATCGCCTTGCAGCTCGTATTGCAAATACAGCCCATATAACACGGAACACCGATTGAGTACTTGGAAACACCAACATGTAGGCACACTACCGACATGCCCGCAACGCCATCTCGACTATTTACATGGGAAGGCTAATGAGCGGATGATGCAAACCGACGAATCAATCCCATCAAACTGCAACTTTCACGTGAAAACTGGTTTTGGCACCGAAAAATTTGTTAAAAAGCCCAGCAAGGCTTGGGTGTGAACGAAAAGAATGTGCGCCGTTGGAGGTAGCGACATGCTCTACTGTTATACTGTGCTGCGATAAAGATGGCGTTTTCGAGACAGCGGAGAGGTTGATGTGATAAAGTGGAAACTGAGGTCGCAAACTTCACTGGAACTCAAAGCAACGGCACCTCCCATCACCATGGAAATCATCCAAGCAAAAGCGAGTGAAGCTATGAAAGCACGAGGTGTGTCCCGAATGAAGTTAAAAGAGAGCAGCTGGATTGCAGCCATGTGGGATGATGACCCGAGTGACCCGATGGTGAGATCGTTCCAAAAGTGCTGCATTTCTAATGCACCGAACGAGACGGAGGGCCACGCGCAGTCTTGGGCAGTAACTAGTTACGCGTTACCGGTAACTAGTTACTTTTTCCGGTAACTTTTGCCTGTAATGCGTTACTCTTTAATACTGGTAATTTGTAACTGTAGCACTGTTACTTTTTATTGGGTAACTGTAACTGTTTAGGCCGTTACAGTTACTTTTTTTTACTATATAAATTAGAACCCACTGCCCAGGACATTGTGAAATTGCCATCTTGAAGCATTTTTCTCAAAACTCCTCGATGACAAAAAAAAAATAATAAAGAGAAGCGTGGTCACGCATCAAACAAACAAAAAATTGCCTGGCTTAGCCTACGACCGAGAATGGACGAAGGACGAGTCAGCACGAAACAGAGATAAAGGAAGCGGCGCCTGCGGTGGTAGGGGCAGCAAACAATGTCTGTTTCACCGACTTTGGCTCACTCTTCTTTCGTGGGAACCATTTGCGGGTTTCGGTGGTCGTGTGATATGTCTCCGAGTATTCCAGCTGGGCTGTGTCCGTGCTGTCGTTTTTACACCCAGCCGTTCGCCGTTTCCTCTTCCCTATAGTTCTTTTCATCTCAATAGTTACCCGACCGGCGGACAGAGGGCGCTGACACACTCGGCGCCATTGGGTGGCTTCAATTTGGTTGGTTTCGGTTTTAACGCGCTCTCGGCTGTGTTGTTGTGTTATGTCATTCTTGCCTAATTTCGTCATACAAATGTACCCGTTATAGCGCACAACTAATAAAACTGTGGTACTGAGCCAATTCGAGAACCACTAAGTGGTTTCGAGTCATATTCGCAAACTTTTTTACGAACGCTTTACGATGCATCTGGTCATGTTCGTCGCTAATTTCGGTCAGGCTATACGTATACGATGCACAAGGAGTGTTCCCACCGTCTACAGCCTGACCCACTGACCTTAGTTTCCAAAAATAAACTAATGAAAAGACTAATAAGTATATATATAGTAATAATGCAGGTCCACAACCTAATTAAAAACCTCCTAAATCGCAAAAAACACACGAAGTCGCAAGTTCACTGACTGATTTTCGCGGACACCAACTTTCTGTGAACTTTAGAAGCTCGAAATGTCACCTATAATACGCAGATATTCTAAGAAATAGGTAATATAGTCTTGGGCTTCTTTTTTTTTTTTTTTTTATAAGTACTCGAGATATATTTTGATAGTCCGCGTCCTAGGTCGGGTGTGAAATTCCTTTAGCTATTGACCTTGCTAAAGTACTTATTGACAGCATTTAACAACGTTGACGTTAGAAAAGAACTATTTGTTTTACTGACATTTGATTACGACGTGCTTGGCTCATCGGATAAGTGAGGCCCATCAAGTGAAATCTGAAATTTTGTCTTTGTATAAACTTTTCCAAATAAAATTAAGGGTACGAGAGAAGTGCTATCTCGTACGTTTGGTTGAAGTCGAATTCTAGGCACGACTTCATGAACCTTCATGACAGATCTCCATCCAAACTGATGCGATTTAAAATCAACCCTGAACTTGTGTGATTTTGATGTAGATGGCTTCTTTTCGGCCTCACATAATGCGAGCCCTAGGCACTCTCAAGCTGCCTGCGACAGATTATTTCACAGGGGTCTTTGTGTTTAAAATAAATAAAATTCATTAATCAAATTCTGTATAAAAATGTTAACACAATGTGATGACTGCTGATGTGTGACCACTAATAAAGTACAGTTTTTCTAAATTCATAAATAAACAAATCAAGCCAACGTTTCTATTGCAAAAATCGATTTAAGACCGTCTAACAGATTTAGGTGTAATGTCGTGAACAAACAAATCGCCCGATGTGGACGTTACCATTATTCCAAGCATCAGATAAAATGTGAACGTTCGTCATCTGTATATCTTATGTGTCCCATATAATCAAAAACAACTATTTAGAATTTGTTCTGAAGGCAAGGCCGGAGGCTTTCGGGAAACACACATTGCTTCATATGCTCAGTAGTATTTTGGCCATATTCCTTAAGATTCTAAATGCGAGATTATACATATACATTGCGCTATACTTATTTCGAATATTCCGCCACTACCACTGTGTAAACTTCACTTGTCATAAATAATTGGGCTCAATATGCGCCAGGTCTGACCCCCCTGATTCCTGTATCTCCTCCCTCTTCACGCGTATCCGGTATGCCTATGGTGAAAATAGTCAAAATCGGTTACAAAATTAACTGCATATGTCATCGTGAACATAATGATCGCATGCAATTAAGTTGTAAATGTAAGCATCGGGCGGCAATTTACAATAAGGCGAGAAACGCGGTGAAACACGACGAAAAACGCGAATGCAACGCCTTCGCCAAGTCGCAGAGGGGAGAGCGGAGCGACGAGTTGAAGCCACCTTATGGCGGCCGTGTCACGTGATTCCAAGATGGCAGCACCCATGCGACGGAGGCCGAAAAGGTCTATTAGTTTTCAAGGAAGCCGTCCCCATATTGTGCAGAAAGCCGGCGCTTGTTTAACTTATTCATTCTCTTCGGAGGCTCTCGAGTGAACACCACGTCTACAGTTGGCGTTTCGGACATAGACGCCGGGGTGGTCACCGTACACTCGTAAAGCACCAGAAGTTAATTGTCTCCTTTCCCCCTTTATTCTTTCGAAGCTGTTTGACCTGCTATGTTTAGGCCTGCTTCCAAGTATATCCCATAAGGTAATTATGTGACTATATCTGTCCTCATTCGTTTCGGAGTGAAATATAAACCAAAACGTTCACTGACGCGTGCCGATGACAATTTAAAAAAACGGTTGATTCTAGGTTATAACAATTATTGCAAATAAATTATGCACATCTAAATGCTGATATGGCGAATGATGCAAAAAAAGAAACACCCTTCGGGTTTAAATTTTTCTAATATCTCAGTTTACCTTTCTTTTCACTATAGTGTAACAACTAAATTATTATTGTTTCGGTTTGGGATTTCTTGTGTCCAATTTTCGTACTGTAACGAGAAAGTAACGACGTTACTGTTTTTGCAGTAACTGTAACTGTAACACATTACTTTTTTGAAACCGGTAACTGTAACTGTAACAGAGTTACTTTTTCCCCATAGGTAACTGTAACACTGTTACTTTTTGCTGGTAACGTGCCCATGACTGGCCACGCGCCATGGCAAGTGGAGAGCGACAAGGAGCCAAGTGACAACGATAATCTATGAACGCACTGATGACAACATACAGACACCACGGCGGTTTCGAAGGTCTTGCGAGTTTTCCGCATCAGAATAAATATCAATCCATTTTCAAGTTACAATCTTTTTTTTTTCCTCTTTTTGATTGGCTCAGAATCGGATATATATATATATATACAGGGTGTTTTTTTTTAAGCTTAACAGATTTGTTTAAAAAAAGCCGTGAAAGTTACACTTATGCCGCTTGTGGAGGAGAGTTATACGGCGAGGGGGACATATTATAGGGGGCTAATCGTAACGATCAGTCGTCTAATTAATTAAAATTTGTTAATTAACTTTTTAATTAATAAAAATAGAAATATGGTTCCAATTAGAAACTTGCTTAGCGTCATCGAAAGCCACTAAATCAGTCATTTTCAGAAAGACTTTCGGCGCGTGAGAAGCGTAGTATTGTACTAAAGTCACCACTCGTGGAGCAGGTACAAGGCTGGGGCTAAATAAGAGACGGAAAAATCGCACGGGCGCCTTATCACACCTGCTCCATTTTCGTCTTCCCTTAATTTTCCCTGTGACCAAAGTGGTTCTTCGCAGTGTGATGGGCATCATATAAACGTCACTGCTCGTTAAAAGAACTGTGAGTGTCTGTCCCTTGTATATTTTCAGTGTTTTTATTCTTTCTGTGTGAACTGCAGTCTATCCAACGCGCTCTGCTACATGTACCTGATGTTGCTTATTATATATTTGGCGCTATACTTTCTTTTCTAAAACACCTCGAATGTCGCGCAGGTACGTCAATATGCATAGCAAATTCGGTTTCGCGTGATTGATTTTTTGTACTCAACTACTAAAAGTTATCAGCACTACAAACAATTTCGCCGGTCTCGCAAACTTTGTTACAATTCGCTTGACTGTACTTAGAAGTAATTAAGGAAATAATTACATGAGACATTGTTATTACCAAAAGGATATCAAACTTTTTTCCAATGCAATGCATACTTTTTGCGGGAACTATTTGGCCCGTGTTTCGAGAAACACACTGTATGCCTATGAAAAATTGGCTCCATATTTGATCATTCTGCCAAACACGTGCAGTAGCTTTATAGGGTGGGTGGTGCTCTTAGTTCGGGCGGTGCCCAGGGCAGGATGACCCTTAGTCTTTCAGTGCCTGAGGTGGGTGGTGCTTAGTTCAGGTGGTACATAGGGCAGGGTTTTGTATGGAAATAGATTACGTCACACCATTGTCTCTTTGTGACGCTGCATGCAGTTCCCCAGCACCACCCAGGTACAAAATCGTTGCACTGAATTTTCTGAGTCACCAAGATAGAAGAAGCGTGCTTTCCTGCCTTTCCCACTCTTTGTTCAGCACACATTCTACACCACCTGTTCCTGTTCCTCTTTCTTGCCCTTTCCAACCCTCTCCTCTCCGCACGCTTTCTCACACCACCTACTTCTGCTCCTCCCATTCCTGCCTGCTGGGTTCGTAGCTCAGTCAGCAGCGCATCGGCTTCCACGCTGACGACCAGGGTTCAATCCCTGGCAGTGGTTTCAGTTTTTTTAGAGCCCAGCTCTTGTGCACCCGTTTCCGGGTTTCGCGGCTTTGGCGTAACCGCGCTATATTTAGTGGGAAAATTAACGTTACGTGACCTCAACACCAATTCAGTTTCCCCGCTAAATTTGGAGGGGAAAATGGAGTCACATGACTTGGTGTAACGTCACTTACGAACAAATTCAGTTTCTCCGCTAGATTTAGCGGGAAAATTTACGTCCCGTGACCTCAACAGCAATTTAATTCCCCGCTAAATTTAACGGGGAATTGAATTCCTGTTGAGGTCACATGGCGCCAATTTTACAGCTAAATTTAGCGAGGAAATTGTGGGAGGAGGGGAGGGTACGGAGAAGGGGATGGAAGGAGGAGGAGGGAGAGGAGGAAAGGAGGGGAGGAGGGTATGAAGGAGGAGGGGGCATATTCTCCCCTCCATACCCTCTCCTCCTCGTCAAGAGCTGCGCTCTAATTCCGCATTACAGATATTTGTAAACGTCTCATTTTTTTCACAGATTGTTTAGCGGTTACGGACTGACCGACCTACACATTTTGTGCTTGCGCAGCCCCTGAGGTTGGTGGGCCCTATAGAGCTACCACTTTAAAACAGATAGTTTCTACAGCACCAGTGTGCATGCACACTTAGTATTTTACAGCAGACACACATTATGATGCAATGCCTGTATGCCCGTCCACTTCTCCACACTATGCGAGCAGAGGCCACCATTGCAATCTCCAGACTGAGCCCGGAGCATGACGAAGCACAGAAAAAGCTTCTTGGGCTTGCCATTCACAAGGCTTCCTCATCTACTTTTTGCGACATATCTACTTCCAGAAAGGAAGTAGATGTGCCACAATGTTGTCACAATGCCGATGTGTCAAAATGTTGTGCAGGTATTTCACAATGTCCCACTGGAACACTAAAATGCAGTCTGTGCAGCGAATGCTAGCATAGCACCCCCAAAAGAAACTCAAGCCAAAGATTTTACCTTGAATGTTTCCATCCAGCGTGGCCTGTCCTCGTGATAGTAAATGACACTGTGATATTCATCCAAGTTTTCTGAACCTGAGCCTACACTAATGACCCCCTAGAAAGAAAAAAAAAAAAATTAAGGCTTTAAACAATTGGATGGCAGTGGACTGCAGTGGCTTCCAGCAGAGGTCAACCGTTTTGCCACATTAAGGCCAGCAACTAAGAAACAGGAAGCAACCAACAGACGAAAAAGGCTGAAACGACTCAATTTTCACAAGGACTTCATTTTCCCAAATTTTGTGACTTGAAAAATATTGCAAAAAATTGTCTCGCGGATATATATCACCCTATGGTATAAATGGCAGTCCAAACCAGACAGAATTCCCAGCTTGCGATTAGAGGAACATGGAAAGTTTTTACGGCCTCCGGGGCCTGCAGCAGGTTTTTTTGAACAACGCACCAGCACACCGACAGCTGGAGCAATAATGAAGTGACGTCACGGCGGTTCTTCAAGTGGCCAATCAAAATGTGTGTGATGTCACGAACAACGGCCAATGGAAATCAAGTGGGAGATTCGAAGCTCAATGCACTGGCCACAGTAGGAAAGGAAAAGAAGTCCTTATTGAGGGAATTTTGAGTGGCAAGCTAATCTTATCTTCCAGGAGGAGAATAGAACAAAAGCGACCGCTCCTTAAGCCTCCCTTTGTCCTTTTGTGGGGTTTGCGAGAAGCGAAGAGCGTCCTACCCTTCACGCTCCCGTCCGGTCATTTCGGGGCCCCGAAAGCTGAATTAAATTCAACTCCCAAGTTCCGCGAGTAAAAGCCAGAATGAGACACTTGTGACGTCGCACTACATAAAGAAAATTTTACTTCTGCTAACCACAAGCCGCAACCATGTCTGGTTTGGACTGCAATTAATGGATATATAGTGTATCACTCCAAACCACAAAATTTCGTTCCCACTAAATAAATATTCGCACACACTCCCCAAACTTCGCAAAAAATTGAGCCCGCAAAAGTAAAGTCGTTTACAGTATTGACCATACACTTCCTGGTTTTAATAGGAATGTGTTAATAAATATCCAATGATAGCAATCTAACAAAATCAAAGTGAAAAACACTGGCTGTCCAACCACACAATTTAATTACTTAGATCAGGGGTTGGCAACCCGCGAGGCAGTTTCATGTGGCCCTAAGCGTGACACTAGAAAAGCCCCCCTGCTGTTTCAGCACACAGATTCAAAGACCATACAGCAGCTTTAATACCAAATGGAGCCACACGGCAAATTTAATGTCATTTCCATATAATGAAATTATGGGATCGGCGGCGAATCAGCTCGCCATTCTGACTACGAGCGTCGCGCATGCATCGCATTATGGCAGGAGTGGCGTGCACTAATCGGGCGATCACATAATCTGATTCGATGGAGATGACATTAACTTTGCCGAGTGGCAGGGGTATTAGACAGAAACAAAAAGCATATCCGATTGGCAAGAGCTTTGGCAAAAGCAACTTATCGTTTACAAACAACAGCTTTGATGGTGTGGAAAGAAGATTTTGGTAGCTTACTGTCGGCATGCACAAAGCAGCACCAAACACAGCAAAGGTGGTCAGTGAATATGTCCTGTAGTGCCAGTGTAACCAGAAATAAGACCAGAAACGTACGGGAATGATGGTTCCTTTCTCGTTGCACACTTTCACTGTGACCTCGATGTTCCTGTCCGAAGATTTGGTGCCCTTGGAGAACTCGGCTTGTACAAGCGTCAAATACAGGTCATTGCGAACGTCTCCTGTTGAATAGAAGAAAAATACAAAATGTAAATTGCAGCCCTACTATAGTCGGGGACAGGTTAAGAGTAAACCACTTTCCACTTTAGCAGAGCACACGCTGGAGAGGTGGCAACCTCCTCTACAGTGTCCGTTCTGCTAAAGTGGAAAGAGGTGGGAGGAGCTTCCACTTCATGATGCAATATGTCACAGAGTATGTATATACACCAATGCTTTGAACCCACTTTAGATGGTTTGCAAATATTGGTTTCTCAATACATCACGCACAGATTTATTACAGAGGCGCAGCTAGGTGGTGGAGGTTGGAATCAACGGATGAACTTGCCTGGCTCAAGAGAACAAAAAACCTGTTTAAGGTCATTTACAGTAGCATTTCGCAGACGGTGGTTGCCTACTCGTATGTGCTGGCAACCACTGCAGACAGATGTCGGAAGCATCAAGGGCACGTCGGCACTGAGCTTAGCAGACAATCTTGCAAAAGTTTTGACAATGTTTCCTTCAGCATGGCACGCGTCTCTCTCATATACCTACTATTCTACAAGTGCAATAATTTATTTATTTTTAAAGATAAACAATACGCAATAAAGGGTCCCGCAGGACCACCTTCCTTCCATCCCATTTCTTTTAGAGATGATTGGTAGAGGCGCTGCATCCTCTCGTAGGGAGGCTATAGTGACGGTGGGTGAAACTCAAAACCTGGAAAGCATTTGCAATTTAATGACGGCGCCCGAGAGAGAGGATTCGGGAAAGGATATGCGCCAATGTTGCCTGCACGAGAGCAGACGCCCGCTCTGTTGCAACCCTACTGCTCCATGCGCCTTTCCTCTTCTCGCCTCCCATTGCAAGCAACGAATGCCTTGGCACAGCCTCTCTCGCTCCGAGAATTGCGAACATTGAGAGGAGAAAGCAGGTTGCCAGACAAACAGCAACGTCCAAGATGGCGGAATTTACCAATTTTCGCATTAAAAAAATACTTAACTTATCGCAACAAAACTGGTGGCTATGGAAAAATAATCATTTATACCTTGTGTAAATTATTCAAGCACCTTAATGGGCTCTTATGACCCGAGTTAAAAAATAAAACAACCTCTTGCCCCACAGACTCCCAGCAAAATTTAGCAATTAAATGGCGTCCATGTCCCGTGATCCCTGATCTAGCAGTTGCACCCACCCTCACTTGAGCCTCCTTATCCTCTTGTACCTCACATTGCGCCACCTGTTGGCAGCACATACAAGCAGGCAAGCACCGTCTGCAAAATGCCACCCTAGAATGCCTGAAACAGTTTTTTTTTTATGTTTCCTTTTAAATGAAGTAGCTTCAACTGTTTATATTTTCACTATAACCTTAAATGGGGGGGGGGGGGGGGGGGGGGGGGGGTGCAACGATTTCCGGACTTCGGTCAAAAATTCGTGGAAGTTGCCCTCAGACCCTTGTAAAGTAAAGAGCAGAAAAACGATTTCGCCTGCATGTCCTAGTTTAAGCAAGGGTGCAGACAAGCTGGTTGAATGTACATTTTAACCCTGGAGAGTGGGGGCAAGGAGGACAAAGACGACACAGATGTGTCGTGTTTGTCCTTTCTGTCCCCACTCTCCAGGGTTAAAATGTCTATGTCCTAGTTGCTGTGTAAAAAAAAAAGAGAAATATTGGCATTTCTGGCACCCCTTAACTCACTCCCAGTCTTCAGGGTCACACCTAGTCGCACTCCTAGTGACATGATTTGGGGTGCTGTGTAGGTTCCCGTTTGCTCTCTCGGAGGACGCTCCCTCTCCCTCTCTGTGCTGACATTAGCGGGAGTTATGCTGCAGCTTAGAAGCGAGCGAGGTCACGTAAGCCTCTCGCCGTAGTTCCTTTGGCTGCCACTCGCAGCTGCAGGTGGGGGAAGAAGCTTGATTTTTGCTTTGCAATTATGCAGTGGAATCGCAACATTTTAGGAAATGTTTTCTCTATCCTCGGGGCACGATAACCAACGTAAATATGACGAGACGCAAATTCTTTTAATCTTAAAATCGTTGCAACCCCCCTTTAAAGGGCAAAACAGGTTTATTGGTTAAATAAATAAATAGGAAAAGCAATGCAGGTATTGTTTTTATTAGTAGAATACTTCAACTTGAGCCCAATACCTAAATACAAAAAAAATATATCTAGGCATAAAATACATGGGCAAACATGCCTGCGTGGAAGGTACACTTTGCAGCGCTCTAACCTTGAAGAAAACAAAATGATGCAACATGTTTTTTTATGAATAAACACAAGAGTATGGTAAAGAACTATCACAATAATTTTCAAAAAAATCAAAAATGTTTTTTTTATTGCCCTTTGAAGTTTTTTAACATCATACTCTAAAACAAGTTTGGAGCACCATAAAAGCTTAGATGTTTTAGAAAAAGGAATGATTTACACATCATTCGAAAGAATATTTTAATAAGAATGCATGACAAATTTTAATGTTGTAGCTATACAATTTCTTTAAATAGGGTCAGAGATCTAGTGGCAAAACATCAAAAGAGCTATGTTTGCACATTTTTGACTCGAAATATATAACCTCCGCCACAATGATGTACATATTTAAACCAAATGTTCTTTTGATCTATTAAAAGTGCAAAATATTTTAGATTTCCAATATTTGTAGTTTGCATAGTAGTAGGTGTCGCCAAACATGACAACGAAAACTTAAAAAATCAAATTTCTATTTGGCACACCAAAATGTTCTTGTTCTCTTGAAATTATTTTCTTGCAAAGTCTTTTTTGATTACGTTTCCTTCACATGTTTAACAGTAACATCTAAAAAAAATTAACAGAAACAAAAAATTTGTCCGGACTCGCGCCCATGATACCAACACAAGAAACTACTTTTCAGAACAGTAAAGCAAAGTTGTGGTAAGCTTTTAGTCCTGGTAAAGGCACTTCAGCCAGAAGAAAAACCCAGTGCAGCAGTTATTCCCACCCTATGACTGTCAACTTGCTGCAAGATTAAAGGGGAGCTCCAGCAGTTGTCAGAGCTACCCAAACAAAACATGTTTGCATAATAAATAGGCTGCATTCTTTCCGGCATACTATTTATGACCTCTAAGTTCAAAATGGCTATTGAGAACATGACAAATAAAGGCTATGCCAAAACCAAACAATCAAATTTTCCCGCACTTGGGGCGACGTCATGTTGTACAACTTGCAACATAAGCAGGCAGTCAAAGCATACTGCACTGCTGGCATGAGTTTTTCTAGCATTCATTTCAAACCACTGAACTTCTTGTAACCCGTCAGGAACATGCCATACTGCCCTCCTATTACATCGTCTGTCATCACATTTGCAGTTTTGCCAGTAGAGAGTACCAGTTTGAAAAAAACAGTGAAGACCAAATTTAAAAACTTTTCCTTTGCAAAAAAAAAAAAAAAAGAAAGATTATTGCAACCTCAAATTCGGGTTACTAGTTCAAACGTGTCTATTATTGTGTTGAACCAATTTCAAGGCCCATCAGTTAGTATCATAATTTCACCAGAGCTCCCCTTTATTTATTTATTTACAATACTGATAGCTCTTTTGGGCTGTCTCAGGAGTAGGGATGCCGCTAACTTTTTTTCGAACCAAAGTTTCAATGATCGAGTCAAGTGGTTCGAAATGTTTGAAAGAATTCGAATTTCCTAACTTTCTATATCATAAAATTCGACAGAAGTCGAATTTTCGAACTTGTTAAAATAAGAATTTCAACGCTTTTCGAACCGTTGAACTTATTACGCTATAAAATTCAATCCTTTTCGAACTTCCTAGCTTAATGCGCTGCAAAATTTGATGTTTGTCGAACTTTCGAACTTGGTAACACTAAAAAATTCGATGATTTCTTAACTTTCGAACTTCTTGCACAAGACAGTTCGAAGCTTTTCGAACTTTCGAACTTCCTACGCTAAGGAATTAAATCATTTTCGAACTTTCAAACTTATTTATTCAGAGAATTCTAAAAGTTTCGAACTTTCGAATCCTAAAAAGTCAAAGGTTTGATGAACTTCTAACTTTTAGTGTAAAAGTTCGACGTTCGTCGAACTTACCGGCGGACGGTTTTGTTTGAATTCAAGTAGTGAGGTACATTTAATACAGTCATGGAAGTGCCATTTGACCTTTTGGAGCAGGCCTTGTAGCAGGCAAAATGTTGTTTTGGAGCAGGTAGTGGCCCTTTTGGAGCAGGGTCCGGCATATGTTGGCATATTACTTGAAAATGAAATAATGCTGGATTGCCATATAAAGCCCATCTCTATTATTGGAACACAGCGCCTGTCGCCTTTTTAAGACAGGGTATACCAAATTCAACAAAGTAAACACACACAAAAAAAACATTTTTTTAAATAAAGTGTATCTGCTCGTCAGATAAAAAATACAATTAAATATGTCACACTGAGTTCTGATGGTACAGGATATTTAGTTTTATCAGCCTGCACTTCTTTTAAGGTATCTGCAGCAGCATCTAACGACCCTCACTGTTGTGGAATGTTTTAGTTCAGATTAGAGTTGTCTTTCCGGCAGCAGCTTCAAATATTGCGATATCTGATATTCGCTTCAAAAATTCCGATTCATTTTCGATGTGCTGGCGAAGTCACGATCGGATTACGGCGAGTTAACCCGTTGAGTGCGCTCCTTGGCATGCACCGACGCGCTGCAGAGAAGCGACACCCGCGGAGCAGATACCGCAGTCGCGCGAGTCGCGCAGTGCTTTGTGCACCGAAAAGAACGGTGAGGCTTTACCAGAACTACATCCAGAGTTTGGTGCAACTCAACTATACTTCGTTTCAGCTTCGGTGTGAGCGCAGCCAAAGTTACAAGCGCGCCGCGCGCATGGAGCCCGTAACGGTGCCGACGCTGCACGAGCCCACGCGCGAGTCAGGAATGCACAGAGCATTGGGCTCGCGCTAGCTTTGACTTCGCTGGTAGCTAGCGCATGGGAACAGGGCGGGCCTACATTAAAAACATCCCCAAGCTCGGCCTTTTTTTTTTTTTTTTTTTTAAATAGGCTGCTTAGTGGGATGATTCTTCGCTTAGCCTCTGCGGCTTTGGTTTCAGATGTTGTTAACGTTGTTCCTTTCAATGATGATGATGATAATGCACCCTCGCAGTTTCGGTTTGCGTAGCAGTTGCGGCGCGGAAAATACCGCGGCACCGCCACGCGCTCTGATAAGACTTCAATTTTTATTTTTTATTGCAACATCTCATCTCGGCGCAGGCATGGCGCAATTCTTCGGTAAAATGACAATTTGGCGCTACATGTAGCAGGATTGCGTCCTTGGCGCAATTTGGCGCAATTGGCGCAGCACTTCCATCACTGTTAATATTTTTTTCTCGAATTTTTACATGCGGTGCTGCGTTCTGGCATGCTCAGTTTTAAAGAAATGAATTCCCGAAGGGGCGACGAAGGACGACGGGTTTTTGACGATTGTCGTTTGTGCCAGATTTGAAGCGTGCATAGCCGAAGCTATTTATGGTAGAGATGTTAAACTTTTAAAACATGATCTATGTATAGCCTAGGTAAGTGTCGTTTTAAGATGTAATTATTGTTATTCAAGATAAGTTTCGAAGAAATGTCCAAACATGTATCTACATGCAATTATGCCCTAAACTTGGTATTTATTTTCGTCTAAGTTGTTTGAGATATCGCATTTAAATTAACACCACAGACAGTACATATCATTGCCACCTGTAGAATACAAAATAATGCATTTATTGTTTTTTCGCGTTAAGGAATAAATTAACTCATGGGAGAAGATTTCTAATATGCAGCATGCCATTAAAAAAAACTTTTTTTTTTTTTTTTTCGTTTTACGTTCCTGAGACGTGTTTCTTTTAGCCTGTACACATTTTGATAGGAGAAACTTGTTTCGAAGTTATGAGCCACTGAATATGCATGAATACAACGCTTCCCGGCGGGTTCTTTACAGTTCTTCTTTCCCCAGTTTTTATCCCCGCATTTATTGCTATGTTTATTATTTTTATTATTATTAGTTATTTTTTTTCACCAATGGCACAGTTATTTAGGTCGAAAAGACATCAACTTGAACTTCCGAACCACTAAGCATGCCATGTGACAAGTAGTGCCTTCTGACAACGAGTTTCCAACAATGACCATCTACGCAATCTTTTATGCAGTGAAGAGCGACGGTAGCTATACATATGCATAAATAATTTCAGATGAAAATAAGCTCGACCACGCCCTATTTCCCCATATTATTTTCTTTAACAGTCCGAAATATGTGGAAGGGGGGGAAGGAAGGCTGAAGGCCCCCCCATTTTTCATCTTCCGAGGCCGCTGGTATGGTAGAGCACACCCCGACCTCGAGTTGTGTCTGCTTCTGTGCTTTTTTCTGCGGCGTTTTCTCCGTCCCGGAAAATAAACCTCCAGGACAATTACAAACTTAACTTACTATATGCCAGCATCACTCGGGTGGCGTTCGATCTGATTACTACCAGAGTGCAAGGGGTGGGGATGCCAGGTCGCTTCAAGGTTTTTCTGAGCCTCAACCTCCTGCCCGCCCCTGGCCGTTTCGAACTGGATGAGTATCGTAAAACAGTGCGTTAGTGTGATCACTACTGCATGATGCACGTTAAAGACCCCACCCCCCCAGGCTGGCGGTCACAATTACTGATCTATGGTCACACGTCACTCTGCACTGGGAAATATTCCAGAACATCTGGGACACTTGTCGTCTCATTTAATTGCCTGACCAACTTCACGGAGTCTAAATATCGCACCCTAACTTTTCTAATCCTGATGTCGTGAAAACCAGTGAGTCATGAAAACGTTATTTGAAACTGAAACCATGGAGAAACATCAAAACCGGACTTCAAACTTTAAATCTTCAAAGTTTTTTTTTTTTTTTTTTTTAATTTAGCCTTAAAAGAGAATTTGAAACCTTCGAACTTTATGTAGAAAGAAATTTGAAATCTTCAAATTTTTCGAACTTTATGTCTATAAAAATTCGAAGCGTTCAAATGTTTCGAATTTCATATCTAAAAAATTTCGAAATCTTCGAATTTTTCTAACTTCAGATCCCAAGAAATTCAAATTTTCCGAATGTCTCGAACCTCAAGTTAGGAAAATTTGAAATCTTAGAATTTATCGAACCACAAGTAAAAAAATATTTGAAATATTCAAACCCAAAATTTTAGAAATTGTTAAAGCTTCAAACTTTTCGAATTCGAAACTCCACTGTGATCGAAAGTTGTGAACTTTTCGAATTCAAACCTCGGTTGGTACAAAAATATCGAGATTTTTCGAATTCGAACCTCAGTTCACTTAGAAAATATTGAAACCTTTCGAAATCGAACCTAGGGTGGTTCGCAACATCCCTACTCAGGAGTGTGTTTTATTTTAACAAAAATCAAAACTACAAAAAGAGAACAATAACCATAATGCATCCAATCACCAAAAATCAAATGATCATTCAAGTGATTTCCCAGCTAAACTCAAGCGTCCACAAAATCATTGTCAACATTGTTTCAAGAAAACTAGCGAGTCCTTGAATAAAAGTCAAGTAACACTTTTCAGACCGACCCATCCACCCTTCTGTATGTACAGGGCACTTTGAAAACCATAAAATATCCCAATGATCAAGACCACACTTACTATGCCTGAGCCAACTCTAAGCAGACAAATGAAAACTTAGCTGATGGAAGTAAGAGTGTTCAGGACACACCACTAACTGACAACCCAAGAAAGGAACCTCACCGGGCAGAATGACCTCGGGAAAGCCCATTTTGCGAGCGACTGCCGTTGTTCCCGAAACAAGGTGCGGGTTTTCTTCGCGCACTTGCTTGTTGTCTCCATGCAGGAGCTTGAGGCAGATCCACAGGCCCTGGCCCTTGTGCTCCTTCTGCGTGATCTCCTTAGCCGAGAGCGCCTTCTTGATGGCCGTGTCCAGGAAATCCCTTTCCCCGCACCTGCCACCAAGCAGTTCGTGACACACCTGGCATTTCAAGCAGGCTACATGCTTCGTGTTTGGGAGGTCGAGACAGAAACAAAGGATGAAGAGGGCAAGTACCCAGACATAGCTCAAGCTTAATCCATAAGAGACAGATTTGTATGAAAGGAGTAAAGCTTGCCAACCTCTCAAGAGGGATTCAGTTTGTACAGAAACATAGAAGGGCTAACAAATGGCCTACAACTGGTTTTAGAAAATGGGCACAGTGTGATGCATCTCGGAAATTTTTCTTCGCACAAGCTTCACTTGTGAGGATGATAATGGGTTTTCGAGGTAGTATTTGTATAGAGTACAGCAGCATCTAGTTTCACATAAATTTTGCTTGTCAGTAAGAACTTGCCCACTTCGGAAGGTCTAGCTCGACGTACTGTTTTTCATTGGGTAGAATTTACATTGGGTTGCTTTCACCACCTTATCTTCCCTTCCCTCCTTTTGTCTGAATGAGCAAAGAACTGAAGCTTTTAAATCATTCATGACAATTTTGATTTACTGTTGTTAGTTGAATAATTTCCAGGTTAGCAAATGGGTGTGAAGAATCCTATTTTTGAGTTTGGAAAAAACACAAAGTAAAGCATGCTAGGTAGGATGAGAAATCAGTACATCCAAGTGTTATGTCTTATCCTACACTGGACATCTTATTGTACTCGTGCATTCTATTGCAGTCCTCTTTGCGTGCCAGCGGTCGCTGACATCCGACATGCTCAACTTTTATGATCTGTGAACCAAGTTGAACAAGGGGTAGACTTCATTTCATAAGTGCTTGGTGCAACTCACTGAACATAGGGCACGAAATACTGCTTTTCTTCATCACTGTCGATTTTCCCACTTATGATGTCAGAGATGTCCATAGCTGAAATGAGACCAGAATTAAGAGGATGGTGTCAGATGGTGTCAGAAAAAAGGGGAAATCTCAAATACCTAACCATGACCGTAATTTAACAGAGTACCCAATGTGACATGCACAATTTTCTAGTTTTTGGTCATCTCGCACACCGGTAAAGAATTGGCCAATCAGGCCTTGAATCGAAGTAACAAAGTCCTACCAGCAACACCAAACGGCCGACGCATGCCTTCGGACTCTACAGCCTTCTTGGAGTAAAGGGTGGACCTCTTGTGGTCGGGCTCCTTTAGCTCCATGGCACCTGGATGCAAACAGTAGGCATAAAAACATAGAAGTATCCTAATCCCAGAAATTGGGAACTTGCCAATGATACAGGAATACAACTTTATATAAGAGAGGACGCAGGCATAGAACTTTTAATAAATCAAATTTTTCCACTTGTCAAATTAAACACGCATCTTTTTATGTCTATCTCTAACCAAATATCTTGATATTGAATGGTTTCCGCTTCCCAATTTTTTTTGTAAATTATATATTCACGAGAGTGTTTTCCTGTCAACTGAAAAACGTGCTGGTAAAACTGACTGACCACAAAAAGAATAAAACAAACTCGGGACGAAGGATTTCTTTCATGAAAGAAATGTTTGTTGTCCTTCGTCCCGAGTTCTTTATTATTCTTTCTGTTGTAAGTCTGTTTTCTTGTATAGTGTCTTTTTTTTTTTTCTTACTCTTTCTTACAACTGTTTTGCAAGTGCTTTTTGTGTATTATTTTTATTATTTTAATTTATTTATTTCAGTTTTCATAACTTGTGGATGTCCAGGATTTTTCTATTATGTTTTTCTGTTGCATTTAGGGGGTTTGGGGCTTAGTCAAGCTGTTTTAACTGCTTTTTTCCCCATTTTTCCACCAACACTGTATTTTTTTGCTGGAAAATAAAAAAAAATATTATTATTACAATATGCGTGTTAATTTTTCCACTGAGTAAGCCTATTAGAAAACTTGCCAGCACAAGAATACCTGCTAGATAAAATTAAACTTTACAGAATTAAACCCACCAATTCGAATGATCTGGCAGATGAAGTTGACTCGTTCACGAGAGAGGTCACGGCTGCCCAGGTCCTACAAGGTTGAATTGAAACAGCAACATTTCCTCCATTCATGAACTCATCGAAACAAGCAGCAGTTATTTGGTAAACTCACTGTGAACAGAACCCTTAGATTGTTCAGCTGGTCCAAGTCCTTAGCGAGACCAGACTTTCCCCACTGAACAAAGTAGTTTTCGCTGAAAATTAATTTGCAAACACAATCACGTAAATCAAGGGCAAATACAGAAAGGACTCCACAAGACACACCTGATAAACTTCTGCTCCTTGGCGTCGTACAGAGTCATGAGGAGATCAGCGTCATCACCAATGCGACAGACAAAGTTCTTCAGCACCACAAAGAGATTGTGGCAGTAGCGGCTAGATGTCTTGGGAGATCCCATGTCCGATTGGGCCTACCAGAGCAATCGGGATGTTAACAAACTTAAGTATGATAACCAAAGATCCAATAAAAGTTTAAAATTGACTACTAAGCATAATCTAAACCACTACTACTGCCTGACTATAGATAGGGCATCCACTGTCTCTCTACACAACAGAGGCATTTGAAAGAAAAGTTTTGGCACTGGTGCAAAGCTGGCTTAAATTAAGTTCTCATCCTTGCTAAATTAATGTGAAGGCTGCAACAAAACCATTCTGCCCAACCAAATGAAGCTGACACACTATCATACCGCACGCAACTCACTTCCTCACTAGCCACAAAGAAAGCCTTATGAAATACCCTAGGAATGCTACCACAGCTATAGAAAATTCAGACAAGGTGACTACTAGAAGCACTACATGAACATGGAAACCGCAAACTCTAAAAACTTTAGCATCCCATTTCCCCTTGCAAAGCCTTTGCATACTTAGCTCCATTTCCAAAAACGGCCCTCTTCCTGGAAAGACAAAATGCAACTTTTGCATCGTGGCTTTGCAATCCCAGGAACAATGACATAAGGAGAAGCTACATTTCGAAGATTTCTAACAGTTTCTGACATACCCGTAACCTCATGGCCTACTCATTATATTTCCAGCATTGCCTTTTCACATGCAAAGAAAACAGAAGACTTCAAGCCCTTCCGCAATTCACTCACTATTCCTTTCATGCCGGTAGATTGTATGCACTTCAGAGACAGCTGCTGTGTCAACTTCCAGCTTATATTTTGAGAAGCCAACCCCAAAATAGAAGCATGTTTTGGAATCACTCAAATGAGTCTCGCAACATAAACACTGCGCAAATGTATTTTTGGTTTTTTTTTTAGTTTATTTTGTTACATATGTGTCCCATGCATTTAAAATTTAAAAAAAAAAAAAAAAAATTTAAGGACTTCAGTGTCTCTTTAAATGTGCCTACCACCCTCTAAAAATCTGGTACAGTATACATCCAGCAAAACTGCACAATAAGAACTAAAATATCTGAAGAGTGTGGAATAGTCATTTACAGGTCACAAAGTAGCAATCTGCATTTCCAAAGTTTATTTTGAAAAATAATCGGCATGTGTCTTTTGGGGTGTACTTTTTATCAGAGTATAGTCACTCAAATGAACCTGGAATCAGGGTGTAAATGCCAAAGCTGAAGGTTTCAGCTGTTTTGTAACTTCTAAACTCAAATGAAAGTACTTTGATCTAATAACGAAACAAAGAAATGATAAACAACTTTATCAATTACAGGAACCATTACAGGCTTCACTGTAAGCATAGCTTTACGATGCATTCCACACGTTTACCCTGGGACACAACTGAAGAGTCCACTTTCTCAAATAATGCGGAGAGCAAGTCGTCTGCTTCTTGTTCAGGGGCTGCGGTGACATCAGAACGATGCCGAGTTCTGACTGGCTTTGGTTTAAAGGATAGTGGGTAGACCTCAATGCTAGATGACTTGAGGTCTACCCAATATTCTTTTTCAATCAGCCAATAAGAGCTTGGCATTCTGACATCATCGCAACCCCTGTGTAGGAAGCAGACAAACTTGACCTTTGCATTGGACACTTTCCGATGGTTTGCGTGCGTAATCGTCAAAGTTCCACTACGTGCCCGTGTATTTTGTTTTTGTCCAGCCCACAGACACATTAAAGTTCTGTTTACCACATAAGAGGCAATAACAGACTTTTATAGGTTTGAGAAGTTATATCCGTGTCAGGAACACACAGTTATTTAAATTAGCTTCAAAATCAGAAATTTGTTTAAGGCTCTCCCAAATCACTCATAATGTGTTTGTTGAGGATAAAAACGCTGGGAAAGATTTGCACAGCATCATTCAGATAATTTGGGGGTGCATTTACTGATGATGTATATCTTTAAGATGATTGGCCCTTCATTTATGTTGCCAAATCTTCAGTCAGTAATTCAATATATTTTTATTAGCATCAATAAATTTGACTTTTGACTTTGTTGTTTTCAAGTGTCAAAGTGTATTTTAGTTCTCGTCTACTGCCCCCCTTATGTAATGCCCCACCCAGGCCCTTAAGGATAAATAAATGAAATGAACATAACCGCTTGAGACCGACATGGGAGGACAATACTCGAAAATATGCTAGCTGTTGAGTCTGCGGAAACATGCTTTTTTGTTTGCTGTTTGGCAGTGTGAAACACCAGGTTGCAGGGTATGCCAAAAATGACTTTGTGCTCACATGATAGATTGCAAGGCAAACACATGAAGTGTGCAGAAAGGGAGAGGTAATAAATGGGTATTTTTCTAAATAATCCTTTACACAACGCCTTACAGCAAAAAGAAATGCATAGAGATGCATGCAATGATATTTCTAATTATACATAAACAGCACGAAGGACAGACAAAGATTCTGAGAATCCTAATATAAATCATATTTGGGCATCAGCTTGCATGAGCTCGAAACTTCATGATATACTGCCTCGGGAAGCTAATTTCAGTTTTACGTGCACTTGTTTTGGGTTCTGACCTTACAACTCTGTTCTTTATCAGTCATGTGCCCTAACATTTCATTAGATTGCCATATATCATTGCGAGACTGCTATAAATACTGCACAACTTTACAATTTGGACATCTATTGCTAGTGTTGCAATCATCGCATTTCACCAGAAAGCTAAACCGTTTAACATGGTTTGCATCTGACCTGGGTTAGAAATTGATTGTTTCTAGTCTAGAAACGGATCGTTATAAGCAATACATTGTTATAAGTGGATTGCAATGTATATGCTGGTGGTCATTGCGAATTGTTCTTACTGAAAAAATCAAATCCGGTGGTGCAAAATGCACGCTGCAGAAGGTTTGCACTGAGTGCAAGCCATGTATTTGAGAGGTACTAATTATTATCCTTGGTGCATCGTCGTGAGGAACGGCGCAAGCGTCTAGCATCACGAAAAAGCGCTTTCTGGCAAGAGTATTTCTGCAAACAAAGTAGCTTCCAAAGCCACGCTTTCTGGTCTGTGCCGAAGATGCGGGGCAGACAAATCTTTGCAACACAGTACGTTTTTAAAACTAACCCCCCCCTCCCCCCTTTTCGTTTTTCTTTTTTCATTGCTCCTTTAGAGAATATGTTTTATTCCTGAGGGGCTGGCCTCTTCTGTTTAAAGGTAATAATTCAATAATTATGTTTGTGTGACTTGTTAACGGTAATCCTCCATTGCTTTTATTTTTCCCCTTAACTATGAAGTAAACAAAATACAGAGGTGGTTGAAACTTGGGAAGGAGCTTGAGAATGACACTCCTGTGAGACTTAGCTGCCACAAGGGTCCCTCTGAAACAACAAGGATCTTTCTTTTCAGGTATCCCTTCCGTACACACTTGCAGCTATATGTAAAGTCAAATTAATAAGTCACATTTAGTCCTTTCGATACTATCATTCTCATTCCCTTGAAACTTTACGTAGTGCTGCATTACATGTGTAAGCAAGAAAGAGTGGAGTCACAAACAGCGGAGCACTGCTAAATCAGTTATGTATATACAACGCCGAGTTAGCTGTGAGCTGTATGTGTGAACAGGCCTTTCATTATACTTACTGATTTCAAAACCCGAATTTCGTAATAGTTTTGAGAAAAAACGAATTTCTTTCCTATTATGAGCTTTTATTTTATTATTTAAACCCCCCTCCTTACCTCCCAATTTTAAAAATATCAAACTCAAGAGCAAAGGAACCTTGTATATTGAACCACCCCTTGCACTTACCGATGACATCTGCTTGATCCTTTGTGCAGCCTCGAGGTGTGCTCTGTACAGGTCAATCGTACTAGTGACATCAGGGTTCAGGATGTTCCCACTGAGACGGACAACTAGATCCAGGTCGAGTATCCTGCAAACCGCCATAGGATTGGAACATAATTGAGCCAACTATTATTAGTAAGGGGTGGTCGATGTCATGATTGCCACCAAAATGCCAAAACAAACTTACGCATTGCCCATTTCAATTTTGGTTGTCACTTTATGTTTCAACTCCCGAAGTTCATCCTGGAAGTAAAGAAACAGCCACCTCAAATGATGCAAAGAAAGACGGGTCTAGAAAAAAAGTGTCTATAAAGATTATTATACTGTAGCAACCAAAAAAAAAATATTCCAATTAAAAAATTGCGACGTTTACAAATCTCTCTAACGCAACATTAGAGCACAACTCTTGAGGTATTTTGATTTTGCAATATGCCGTGCAAAACAATTTGAGAAAGTAACATATATACTGTAAACGAATTATTTTTCGCGGGCTCAATATTTCGCGTTTTAGGTCAAAGCTTAAGTTTTGGAATAATTCGCGGGTGCTGATTTTCGCGACGCGGTGGGATCTAAATAGAGATTCCAATGTGTTTACATTTTACCAGAATTGTTCGCGGAACCTATTTTTCGCGAATTAAGGCAATTCACAAAAATTAGGTCCCCGCGAAAATTAAGTTGTTTACAGTATGTGCAAATGTGGTCGCCGGTGACTACAGAGGAGGAGGAGGAGAGGGTATGGGGGAGGATATGAACAAGGGGAGGATACGGAGGAGGAGGGTATGGTGGGGGCCCACCTCCTCTACTCCTACCCTCCTCCTCATACACTCTCCCCTCCTCCTCCGTACCCTCCCCGTTACACCGTCACCGCAAAACGCGGGAACAAGCACCCAAGAGCTGCGCTCCAAAACATTAATTCACGCTTTAGACGTTTTTGGCTAGGAAACACCAACTAAAATTATGACCAGGGTTCAAAGCTGCAAATATATGTAAGCATTAGATCTGTATCGTTGTTAAGCGAGCCAATTGTGGGCACAAAGCAGACGTACAACTGGAAGAGTGCCAGACATAATCTTCCTCCTGGAATCCATCAGCTCGTACATCATGCTTCGAACGGAATCGAATTCCGTTTTGTTGGTCTGTCAAGGAAAGAAAGTAGGGCATCATAAATCTTACAAATGACTTAGAAAAATTGTGAGTAAACAACAAAATTGCCCCAGTATTCCAAAAACAAAAACTATTAACAGGAAACACGTTTAAACTCATTTTGAAGCAACAAATTTTTTAAGGAGGCACCGAGCATTCCTTCAAGTTCACGAACTCTCCTGGAACAGTGCTTCAATGAGCCTTCGTGTGATTTAACCCCTTAAGTGCCAAATTTTTTTTTTTTCAAAAGTGACCTAAAAGTGCCAGATTTATTTTATTTTGAATTGTTACTCCTCTAGTATTACACATAAAATTTGAAAAGTTTATTACGCAAAAATCAGCGGAGGCGAAAAAAATATTTGCCAACTATTATGAGTGCTGCCATCTAAGATCAGCGCCGCAAAACTACTCGGACGAGCCTAGCTCGTTTGTGGAATTGAGGGGAACCAAAAAAACCGCTGGACGAGCTGAGCTCGTCCCCGGCATTTTTAGCCAGAAAGTGGCCAACGAGCTCAGCTCGTCCAGGGCACTTAAGGGGTTAAACATGCAGGATGTTGACTCCAAGGAAGCATTAGACCCCCTCTAGCTGATATAGATATGAAGAGTGAGTTTTGAGTGAGCTAATGATGTCAAGGACAAGGCAGCCAGAACCCACAAGGTAGAGCTGCTTCCAGATGGGACCCCATTCTCGGAGAACAGCTGTGATTTCCTTGATGATCGATGGCTCCTTTGGAATGACTACTTCATGAGGGCTGCAAAACAAAGCATGTTGAATAGGTGGACAAAGGGAAGTCCTCCAAAGAGTTTAGTACCCAGTCTTATCAATGATGGAGTCCTTAACAGCAATGTAGGACTTTGGAAAGATTCCTTTCTTGGCTTTACTGCTTGTGCAGCACCCATAGTACCACTCTGAAAGAAATGTGGGAAAACAGTCTTTACCTGCACACACCACAAGCAATTTTTAAATGTCACATTAAAACCATGTGCCCGAAATACTGAGCCATCTTGCCTGCAAGAGTGAAACTAATCAAGCAAACAGGCAAAAGCTAAAAGCATGCTTGAAAAAGAAGCCTGAATATTGTTCCCATGCTTATTAGCCTAATAATTGACTTCAAAGTCAACTAAAGATGCTTGTAAGAACTAACACAAAGTATGAAACACGTGCACAGTAAAATGAGCAATGGGTCATACGAAGCATCAGAAAGATAGTCAGATCCCACCAGGCACCGGCAAATCATGGTGTCATGTGCATGCACATGATGCCGTAATTGCCCAGCATGTGGTCAGATTTGGTCGTCTTCCCAATGCGTTGTACGACCCATCACACTTCGTTATGCATGCCTTGCCCTCAACTGGAAAAAAAAAATTGTGGGTGTCAAGTTTTAGCAACTATATGTGCCTGGTTATAAATAACTTTTAACCAACTATGTGTGCCTGGTTAGAAATAACTTTTAATAAAATGGTTGCCTCAAGTATTTCTTTCTTCTTAATTAATTGAATCACTAAGAAAACTCTAGTCCTTTCAGTATTGCTGACTTTAAATAATAAAAAGAAATTCTCGATCAATACCTTCACTTTCTTCATAGATGTAAACAGCATCCCCAACATTTAGCCGTAGTCTGTGCAAACCCTCTTGGGTAAAATTGGCAATCGCTACATGAAAAGAGAAGGACAACTTTTTTATTAAGAGAATCACTAGACACTTACCTGTACAGTTATAAACACTCGTAGTATTGATCAATATATGTTTAAAAAATATTTCATGCAGAGCAATGCATTTAATCTGAACTACAAATAAAGTCAGACTGAATTTAAGTTACAACAAATGAACAGTTGTGACAACTTAAAATGATGGTTACACACAAATGAACAGTTGTGACAACTTAAAATGATGGTTACACACAAATGAACAGTTGTGACAACTTAAAATGATAATTAAAGAATATTTCAACAGCAACAGTTTCTATCCTGAGTAATAAAAGTGATTCAGTATAATGAACAAACCCCAGAGACTACTTATGCCGCACTGTTTACAGTATGTCCAGTCACTGGGTTCTGTTCATTATGTTTAAAAAAAACACTGACACCCCCCCCCCCCCCCCCCCCCCAAAATTTTTTTTTTTTTACTTTTTGCCAGGCATTTTATTATGGTGTCAGGTGTCAGAAGACTACACAACCAATATTATGCTACAGCATCTTATTTTTAATAAAGTAAAAAAAAAAAAAAACTAATTACTCAAAACCGAAACTGAATTGGAGAGGAGGAAGAAATATAGAGGAGAAAGTTATCAAAAATCACGTGGCTGTGCAACTTTTTTTTTTTTTTTTACAATTTATTTGCAACGTTTTAGAAGCCTCAAAAAATTTGTGTCTTATTTTCAGTCTATTTTTAGTATTGAGTGAGTGCCTTCGATGATGTGTAACTTGGATTATCTTTGGTGGTTGTGTCTAAACCATAAAAAGTGGCTCGTGACCACAGAAAAAAGGGTAAGCGCGACTCAAAACGGCCAGTTCTCTATCGTCAATTTTCAAGATGAAAAAAAAAAAAAATTTTGAGTTGCAAACTGTGTTTTGGGTAGTTGGGCTCTCATATATAATGTACAAACAAAAACCCTGGAGAGCATTAATAGCCTGTTAGTGTCCCTTTAAGGTAGTGTCTGTTCTCTTGGCAGCCGGGAGAACAATTTCCCTGATATTCTACCAGCAGTCACCTCCCATTGGCCCATCGACAGCTCAGATTAGCTTTTTTTTCTGTAATGATCCACCCCAGACAGTCTCCACAAAAGCGGTGTGTACAGGTGGGACAGGTGGGTTAACATTTTTGTAATGAGCTGCCACAGACTGTAGCCGCAAAGCAGTGTGAATGGGTGGGCCAGGTAGGTTCACACGAGCCCCTGATACAGGTACAATGAAATGTTTCTACAGCATTCAATTTGCGTAATGAGTGTCGATGAAACATTAGTGTCGACGAAACGTATGTCTATGAAACTTGTATCCTTGAAAAGTTGTCAATAAAACGTGTTTCCATGAAATACCGAGAGAATAAGAAAGTCAGTATTCTACCGGAAGTTGTCACACCATTTCAGACAGCCAATGGGAGGCGACTGCCAGTAGAATTTTGGGAAATTATTGTCCCGGCTGCCAAAGGATAGACACTGTTTGTATTTAATCTACACCACCTCCATTGCACCCTTAACCTTTGTTTTTTAATTCAATACTTGCCTTCATGCCGAGCTGATAGATTATGACAATGAGCAGCGTTTAGAAGCACTTCTGGAGAGCAACACTCTTTAAGGCCCGTTCACACTCTTGCGACTGCTTGCGACCTCTTAAACCTGGGTTCCTTAAAACTTGTTAAACCAGAAAACACACTGGCACCATCTATTGGGAAGCAGTGTAAACTCGGCGGTCCGGCATATTTTTTTTTATTTCTCGAGCATTATCCGTTCTTTCTTGGCTCGAAAAACTTTTGACAATGTTATAAACGAGCCTTTCTATGGGTATTACGCACATTTGACCTCGAAAATCCCGCAAAACCTTCGCTCTTGTGAAATGCAGTTCCAGGGTCACCTCATAGATGGCGCCACAATGTCAGTTTGTTCCCTCATTCTAAAAACATTTAAGAAGTTGTAAGAGATCTCGTCTCTCTCAGTCGTACTCGGTCGTAAGAGTGTGAACGGGCCTTTATTACTTAATTGTAAACATGAATAGTTACTCAACTTTTGCTCGGAATCTGTGGACACGACTGCAGTGTAAATAAAAGTGCAACTCTGCACAATCGCGATGTTAAACCAGTGTGACCAGTAGTTAACATCTGAAGAACATCGCCCGAGGCGTACAGCGTCCATATCAGGACATCTTTAAAAGGTTAAAGGCCCGTTCACACTCTTGCGACCTCTTAAACCTGGGTTCCTTAAAACTTCTTAAACCAGAGAACACACTGGCGCCATCTATTGGGAAGCAGTGTAAACTCGGCGGACCGGCATATTTTTTTTTATTTCTCGCGCATTATCCTTTCTTTCTTGGCTCGAAAGACTTTTCTCAATGTTATAAACGAGCCTTTCTATGGGTATTACGCACATTTGACCTCGGAAATCCCGCAAAACTTTCGCTCTTGTGAAATGCAGTTCCAGGGTCACCGCATAGATGGCGCCACAATGCCAGTGTGTTCCCTCATTCTAAAAACATTTAACAAGTTTTAAGAGATCTCGTCTCTCTCAGTCGTACTCGGTCGCAAGAGTGTGAACGGGCCTTTAAACAGCACAAACGACGAGAAGCAGAGGGACACATACACAGCGCTGTGCATGTGTCCTGCTTCTCGTCTCTCGTTGTTTGCCCTGTTTTAACCTTCTAAAGATGGCACACCAACTAGCCCAAGCTTCAGCCTTAGCTATATCAGGACAATAAATAATACAACTGATCGGCGATAAACCATACAGGTGCGAAAACATTCGATGGCAATCTGTCCTCGACCGGTGTTTTTTAGACGAAACATGACTTAGCAGTTGGGAACACGTCAAAAGGTTAAACGCTAATTTGCGCATTTTTCACAACGATAAACGGTGTTCAAAAGATAAACCTGTGCGGGAAACAGTTCATGTGCAAAGCGTAAACAAGGCTACTGCTAAGCGCCGTGATGATCGCTTACTACAATAATCATCGACTAAATTAGTAATTATAAAGCTCTAGAAAGGCGTGCTCTTCCTCCCAAGAGCGCAAGCGATTTTCAATCAAAGGTGCGCGCAGGCGATAAGCCATGTTGAACAAGACACCGAACTACCTGTTGCCGGACGCACATTGGCGGCACGCTCCCAGCTCTAGGACACATTCCACACTTGACCCGAAATACTCATCCGTCCGCACTGTGGGAAGTGGGGAGGCATGGTACGGAAGTACGGGTTCCGAATAATCCGCAATGCTCTCGACGCCCAAACATACACACACACAGGGCGGTTGGGTCCCAAGTGACCGAATTCAAAACGTCAATTGCCTTACCGACTCCATACTTGCTTTTATCGGACACAGGAGCCCACTTCGTCATTTCGTACCATCAATTAGCACCAATGACGCGAGATGAGTACATTGGCTACACGTAAACGAGAAAAATGCATGACTTATTTCGCAACTGCACTCATTGCTCATCCTTCGTTACATCCGCTACTCTCATGGCTTCGGTGAACCCACTGCCCACTGCGCCCACTGTGGGTGAACCTTTCCTTTCCTTGCTTCCCTTTGCCTTTGCTACGCGATGCCCCTATCGCTTCTATCATCGTGAGGATCGTGAGGGCGTGGTTGCCATTCAAGAGATGAAGACTCGATCCTACTTAACCAAAATTTTAATAAATACAAAATTATAACAAAATAGCATATATGTGGTATGACAAATTAATATCACAAAAAGCTTTAACCTCGCTTAGCAAAAACATTTCACTTTCTAACATTCAAAATATTTGCCAGGTGACACGAGACGCCGCCCAATTCAAAACCTACGTTCGCATTGCAAAACGCTACTACAGTGGACAAAAAAAAAAAAAAATTGCAACTTGCAAAACGTGCAGCGCCGTGGAAAGAAATGGTGGGCGAAAGGAATGGTGGGAGCTTGTGGGAACCGTGGGAACATGGTCGGGGGAACGATAGAACCAGCAGAACTAGGTAGAACCAGTAGCAAAGAGCCGTAGACAACGTTCCCGCAGCAACCGTGCTACTCTACACATCTACCCCAACGCGTTGGCTACCCCATAGAGTTATTATAATGTACGCTAGAGGTTCAAGTGGCGCTAGTGCGCTGACGCAAATTGAAGCAGACAGCAACCAGTCGAAAATGGGCTTCCGGTAATGCTTTTCTATGGGAAAACGTGAGTGCATTTTCTCCCTGCGCTCGATCATAAGAGCAAATATCCCAAATAATTCGTACGTACTAGGTAGCTTGGAACATTTCTCAGTCAGGCCGACAAAATAATTGGTCAGTTACGGCGTTTTTCTTTCGAATTCGTCGCATTAAAAACGATGCTAAAACGGCTTCGTACGTGTATTTATGTGCACTGTCGGACACTGTTAGCGCGAACGCGGCGTCGGCGATTTCCAGCATGGGGGTTAGGCGAACGAAGGACATCTAAAAAATCAAGAGCGGCGGCAAGAACTACGCAGTCACACTGGATCAGTAACTCGCAGTGCATGTACGATCAAAATAAATTGAAGGCCACGTAATCTATTCCGATTTTAAATAAGTAAGTACCGCTTTAAATTCTTTCTGCCCTGAGCGAAGCTGCTTGTTCTCCGTTCAAAATATCACCCGCGCGCTCGATAGCTTTGAGAACAAGTGCACGATAAAAGCTGCCCGGCAGAGAAAACAATACGAAGAGACACCTTTTATAGTCCACGGACTTTATTCTCTACGGTTTGAATGTTTTTATCCGCTAATGCACGACGGAGTCATTTTCATATAGTGACAGGACTGGTATATTATCAATATATAAGCGTCACCGGAATGCTGGTGAACCTTGAACACACTCTATATTCCATTCGATTGCAATTTTGCTTTGAATCGTCGCTTGTTTTTACACACCTGCTGCGGAACACACGTTTTGGACTGAAATGTAGCGAAGTTAAATATCGTTCACTGATGAAGAAAAATGCGCTAACTAAAGCAATTACACTTTTACAGTGTTAATCAAGGTACATGCTATTCGGTACGACCCAAATAACCAAAGTGTTCCGTGTTATTTTCCGGCGAAGAGACAAAATGCACGCGCGTTTTCCCATAGGAATGCACAGGAGCACCGCAAAAGTAGACTGGTTGCTGTCTGCTTCAATTTGCGTCACGGAAGTCGCATAGACACTAGCGCCAGTTGAACCTCTAGCGTACATTATAATAACTCTATGGGCTACCCCTCTTTTCCCCAGGGAGAGGAGTGTACAGCCTGTACAGGACTTCGCGCCCGCCCGTACGCCCCTTGAGATTTTCCGGCGTTTATTTACAGGGGAAATCAGCGGATGTTTAGCAAAACTTGTTGCTAAGCTAGTTGGTTCTTTTTTTACGATTTCCTTTTTTTTTTCTGGAAGAAACTAGGTGAAAATTGTGCTTCTCCTTGTTCACTTCTTCGTGTTCAACCTCTGTAGGTGTTTATTTTTCATAGATTTCTGTTATCTTAACGGTAAAAAAACTTCACTAAAACTTCAGGATAAAAAAAAAAATAAAAAAACGGGCTTAGAGCAATATTTCTAAAAATGAATATGTTCCGATTTGCCTTTTGTATTTTCGACACTTCGATGGATGTTTTTCAGTGTTTTCCGGTCTCATCTGAAATTGTATTTTTGGCACCTACATATGTGTATCTGTGTTTTGCAGTTAAAACCTCCGAGCACAAAAGGTGCATAGAGGTTTCCGTTGACTTTTAGAAGAGGGAGAAAAGCGACAAAAGGCATTTACGAGGCTCACATTATCTTGAGCCACGAGATCAGTGGTCCCAAAATCTCAAGAGCGAGGCTGGACAAGACGTACCTGCAGCGTCCTTTGCACCTGTCTTAGAGGCAACCAGAGTACCAAAGGACACGGGGCTAGAATAGCTACATGCGTGCCAGTCTCCTATCTCGTACATATATGAGGTGACTTACATCGCACAAGCCTGTAAGTGAACTCTCACCACGGTACTCTGCAGGTGCTATGTAGACCACTCCATTTTTGCACAACATATTTTAGAAGGTGTGAATTGCTCAAGCAGTACAAAACACACGTTCCCTAGAGGCTGGTTCACAAACTTGAGTTTAGTTGAAACCAACTGCACGGGTGTAACTTTGTGCCCTCTTGCAATTTCGTAAGACGAGAGAACAAGCTGGCACCATCTATGAGGTGGCCCTGGAACTGCATTTCACTAGAGCGAAGGTTTGGTCGGACTATAGTTGCAATCGGAACGGAACAAAACGCGAACCGCCAGAACGCGTGGCCTTCGATACATGCTGCGCCACCTGGAGGCTGATAAAACTGCGGAGTGAAAAGGCGGCTGCAAGTGTGCGCTTACTTCGACATGCACACCCTCGCAGCCTCCCCCTCTCCACTCCCACTTTATCAGCCTCCACATGGCGCAGCATATGTATCGAAGGCCACTATTCCAGAGTTTGCGTTTCATTCCGGGTCGATAGGGCACACTATCGAACTATGATAAATGGCTGTTGAAAACATTGTCAAAAGGTTTTCAAGCTCATGATGAAACAATGATGCACAAAGTAAATGGGAAATATACAGAACTCACCAATGTTCTACGACTAACCGATAGAGTATTCTCAAGCTGAGACTGCAGTAGAAACTATGCCCTCGTTGAACCAGTCGTACACCCCTCTTTCACCATGTGATCACGCTCCTGCCCCTACCCGCGTGCAGAGAACGGGGTCAGACGACGTAAAGGAGGCTGCCAATTGTTCCGGCAGGCACGTAGCTCGATCACACCGCAGTCTCAGCTTAGTGTTGAACGGAGTATACACAACACTCAGTTGCAACAAAATTCAAGTGTGTGAATCAGCCTTAAAGGGGCAATAAATCACTTTCTGCAATAGTCTACAACTCAATCTATGTGCTCTTAAGCATCCTAAAAATACCAAACATTACATTCATACATGGCCAACTTCTTTATACAAATTGGTATAGAAATATTTATTACCTTAGAAATATGCAGACACCAGAAGGCACCGTTGTACGAGGAAGGGTAAAGCCCCTCTATCCTGGGTAAAGAGACGCCATTCATTGTTGTGGAAATGCCCGAGACACGTGCCGCGCGCCACTTCTGGGAAGAACATGGCGTCTGAAATCTAGCTCAGTGCTGCGCTGTGCCACCATTATCTTCCCAAGGGCTGCACGTGCCTCGTGCATCGACGCACCTTGTGCTACTTTTGAAACATGAAAGGGCTTTAAGGAAGGGCAGGGCTCTGCCCTTCCTTGAGTGTCTATGTAAATGCACGCTTTTGCACGAGTGGCGACATTTCAGCCATTTTTTCTGCCCAATCATTTTTTAACACACCTTTTCAAGTGCGCACAATCCAGTGTGACTCTGCTCAAGCACATACTCTTGGCTAATGTTTGGACGCCACTTTACCGCACAAGCTGCGCACTGACTGTGCCAGCACATCACGCGCTGGCCCACTCGGTGCAACAAAGCATGTCTTCACCCCAAGACAGACAGACATGTAGGCACCCTACCCTTCCTTAAGAGTAACTGTATAGGCTCTGCTTGTAGAGCCAGAGTATAGCATTTCTTTTCCTCTCACCGCCAACTCTGTAGTGGCGAAGAAGCGGTCATGTACGCCGAGCTGGATCCAACCTTCATACAGGAAACGACCAGTTTTAAGCGGAGCATGTTTCTCGCTTTGCGTTAGCGAAATATACATCCTACACTACAACCGAACGAACTGGAAGGTTCCTTGACCATTGAATATTGTGTAGTCACTGGATACAATATAATAACGTCGTTTTATAACGTGAGCAATGTTTTAAGGGGGGACATGGGTCTTTGGAGCCAAAAACTTCCTAAAACTGCATTCTTTTGAAAATGGCGATGGCTGTTGTTCTTCTGAATCTACCAGGCTTATAATTTCGTGAATGAATATTTGAGCTATAAGTCGATTTATAATATCTATGTGGGCTGCATGACCATTGAAGTTGACTCTAAAATATTGTTTTCACAAAACACAATTTTTGGACTCATTGAAAATTTACAGGAAGGATATCTCAGCATCTAGAGCAGATAGAAATATAACCATTCCTGAAATGTGTAGCTGAATGTGTGAAGCATACAATGTTGAGAGCAGATTTTTTGATTGTAAGTCTAGAAAAGTTTCCATTTGATCTTTTGCTATATTACTTGTTAGACATGCATTGAGCACTGACCTTTAATGTGTGGTAAAATCACTAATAATGAGTTTATCTTAAAAGTGCTTCCAATATTGTATTCTCTACACTTCATAGTATCTAGCAGGGTATCGGAACAAAACGAAAACCAAAAACGAAAAACGAAAAAAACGATATTTTTTGGCGGAACGGAAACGTAATCGAAACGTTCTTTATTATTTTGTTCCGGAGTGAAACCGAAAAATTTTCTTATCGGTTTTCGGTTCAAGGGAAAATATCAGGTATTTCAGTAATTCGTTTCACGCAGCGAAGAGACTGCCGTTGGTTTGTACCATAATTAAAGAGAAGACAAGCAAGCCATCGCCCCCCCCGTCTAAACTCCGGGCGAACAAGCATAGCAAAAACAAAGACAAAAAATACAACGAGAAACAAAAAACATGACTCAAGGCGCCATTGCTTCCCACCAATGAGAGCGCAGTGGCGCGACGCCTCCACACGCTCGCAATGCTCTCCTTGGCACTTGCGCCCTCTCCCTCCATGCTTTCTTCGGACGACACAGACAGACAACAGATCACGGCAAGCGCGGGAAGTTTGTGACCCGGCGTTGTAGAAGTCCATCTTTTGTTTTTCTACGGATACGGCAGTCTGAGACTCTGTTGCAAAAGTGTACTTCTTCATTCCTATGGGCCTTCAGGGCCTTCTCGGCGCTGAAATTTATTTTATCGGACCAGAGGTCCTGCCTTTCACCGAGCACACTTGATGACGTGCTGCTTCTGAGATCATGCTCGGTGCCTTGATCATTATCTCATGCTCAAGGCAATGAACATGATCTCAGAAGCAATGTCGTTTCCGCAGATTCCTCTGGAGCGCCTGAATTATCTATTTTTGTGTAAAAATAAACGTTACGTTCCTTTTAATTTTTGTTGCGATTTTTTTTATAGAAAGAAACCGTTACGAACCGTTACGGAGCATTATTTTTTCGTTCCGGAGCGGAAACGGAACGGAAATTTTTCGTATGGAACGAAAATAAAAACGGAACGAAAAACATTTCGTTCCAACACCCTGGTATCTAGCCATGTGTTAAAAAGAATATTTTGTTGAGCAGTTTTTTTTCTATCGTTTTTCCAAACAAAGGCAGGCAAGTTTTAATTATTTTGAGTACAACGTTACTGACTGAGAAAATGACCAGATATATGAAATCAGCACAAAAAGCTGAACAAGCTTGTGCAGTTTCATTAAGTTTGGTCATAAAATAAGAAAAAAAGCTCCAAGACCAGTGTTCCCCCTTAAAACATGTTTCCAAAGTCTGGGAAGCAGACGACATGGAGAACTATCGCATCTGCGGAGCTGGCAGAGTGATACGCAACCAGTACATCCGGGCACCTCGAACATCACAACAACGCGCAGCTGCAGCTTGCATAGGGACAACGTTGTCGTCAGCTACTACGTTCACCAAGGGCATAGAGAAATAAAAGACAAATGACGGGACAACGGCTCTGCAACGTGTCATCACAGTAAGTCTTCTCTACTCCACATGCCGCAGCACGCCACCTCACAGCCACGCCATCTGCACCTCCAGGTCTCCTGCAGAAGCGACAGTCGCTTCCCGCAGTTCAGCTTGGATCCAACATGGCCACCCTGGGAGCACCATTGCGCTACTCTGCTCCGCAAGCGGAGCATACGCAGTTACTCTACCCTTCCTCGTCCACTGGCACCATCTGGTGTCAATCTTTTGATACCAAATTTAATAGAAAAATTGGCCACACCTGGATGTAATTTTTGTTTCATAATGCTTAGAGACCATAGCAATCTATGGGCTCCAAGCATTCTAAATTACATCCAGGAGTGGCAGATTTTTCTATTAAACTTGGTATCAAAAGATTGACACATTGACAAGTACTAAAAGTTGACCATAAACTGTCACAGAAAGTGGTTTAGTGCACCTTACGCATCTTGGCACATGCACTCATTACAGTCAACTCCAGATTTCAACTCTGGTGCTGAAGGTCCACTAACCCCCATTCCTCCTTGAAAGACCATTCCTAAATGTGCAAATTAGATATACCCACTTAGAAAACCTTTTCAGACATTTTCTACTTTGATTCATGCATTGCTCACCTTGTTCAGCGTCATGGTCAGCAAAGTTCACAATGCGCAGCACTATAGTGCATTTTGCGTAGTAATGAGACGAAGCTGGGATTCAGTTAATACTTCAAGTTTTACGGGAACGAAGCTATGCTTTCAAATTTTAGGGCGCAGCTCTTAGGCGCCCGTTTCTGGCTTGAGCAGCGTCGCCGTCGGCGTAACCGAATGTTGCATTATGGGACGTTTCCCATAATGGCGTCACGAGGGTCACACGTGAAGGTCACGACCTTCACAGTGAGGTTGTGAAGAAGTAGGAGGGGGAAGGAAAAAGGAAGAGAGGGTACGGAGGAGAGGATACCCTTCTCTCTGTACCCTCCCCTCCTCCTCCTCAAGAGCTGTGCTCTAATTCGTTATTACAGGGAATTGTAAACGTCTCATTTCTTAAAGCTAAAACCAAGTACTAAAACACTCGAAAATTTTAGCTCTCTAGGCGAGTGCGGAAATTTTGTGACTAAATTAGTGGTGGTGTTGGTTCCAAGAAGTGGGGGGTTAGCCTAGCTGTGTAAAATGCAATAACCCTTGAAACACTAAATCAAATTATAATGTCCAATTGGTGAAAACTGAACACAGAACATGGAGTATTTTTTTATTATAGGCTTTATTAATGTTGTAGAAGAAACATATTCTTGAATTCTAGACACTGCCATTAACTTCAATGGTTCAGTTTATGTGCTTGCCAGTAAGCATATGTCAAATGTGCTCATGAAATCTGCATCTCAACAGATTTTATCCGATGCCATGTTTTTAAATTATTTGTTAGTTAAGGGAAATAGGTTTTAAAAACATTAATACACCAACTTGACATAATAAAACTATAAGATGACTAGGCTTCCCATACAGGGAGTATCTTCAGTACTCATAAAGCAAAATGAAGACGCTCTCTGATTGGGAAGTGAAATGTCTCATTCTTTTTGTTTTGTTATTTCAAGGCTGTGTACAATCGGTTTGGCAAGGCCATTCTCTGGCTTACGGAACTTCATTGCAAAAACAGGAGCGCAGCTTACACCTGAAAGCCATGCCATTGAACACAATATTTTTAAGCTTTAGATACGCACAATTCTAACTAGGCTCTAGGTCACTTTTTTGCTCGCCCTGCTTTCTTTTGGCCTTTTTTTGCACCCTTCTGAGCTGCCTTGATGATGTTCTTGAACTCTTGAGACTTCTTGAACCTAAAACAAGCAATAAAAAACAGCAAAAGATGTAGGCAGGCTGATTTAAAGGGACACTCAAGTCCTGAAAAAATTTTTTTTGTTAAGTGCCTTGAATAAAAGAATGTTTCAGAATTGTTTTAAAAAGTTGTAGAAGCTGCACTAATGCAGTCTGTGCAGGTGAGTGCTACGGCCAGGGGGACATAATCGAAGGAGCTAATTGTCACAATAGGTCGGATTATGATAATCTAGGGGGCTAATTGTCACGATACCTCAAATTATGAACTAAAATTTATTAATCAATGTCTTTATTATTGAAAATACACACATAGTTCCAATCAGAAACTTGACAAGCATCATCAAAAACCCCTTGTCACAGAATTCAACTATTTTTTTTTTTTTTTTCTTCTTTTTTGGAGTTTTTATCAAGGGAACGCATCCGATCGTCGATCGCCCCTTGCCCCGCGGGCTGAGCGGGAGAGCTAAGGCCATCATCTGGTTCCGTTTATCGGACCCCGTTCAGGAAAGAAGCGCTAATCAGGAACTGCAGAAGAGGTCCCCGTTTGGGGAGGGGGGCTGCGGCCGGTGTGCTTTGTCCTCTACTCGGGTAATTTCTTTTTTGTCATGTCAAAGGGAAATGGAAAACCGAGGACCTCGGCTTGGTTTCCAGCCCATTGTTAAGGCAGTGTGTGCAGCGATTTGACCAGGGGTGGACGAGACGCTTAAGTTGGGAGCAACAGGCGGGAGCGGCGGAACGCAGGAAGAGCTCGGAGCAGCTCTGGTGGCCCCCAAGTGTGTGTGCTCGTGGATGAGTGTGGTGCCAAGGAGCATTGCACAGAGCATCCAAGCACACACAGACTTCCCTGTTTCGACCAGCGTCGCAATGGACCCGCGTCACCCACACCACTTTCCGGACCCAGGTTCGCACCACTCACCCTTGTAGCATTGTAGTTTTTTAGAGCGCAGCTCTTAGGGGCCCGTTTCCGGCTTGAGCGGCGTCGGCGTCGCCGTCGGCGTAACCGCGCGGTGCATCATGGGAAATGTCCCATAATGCACCGCGCGAGCCCCCCACCGGGGTCACGTGACCTCGTGGGGGCACGTAACCCCCCCCCCCCCCGAGGTCACGTGACCCCGGTGCATCATGGGAAATGTCCCATAATGCACCGCGCGAGCCCCCCACCGGGTCACGTGACCTCTTGGGGGGCACATGACCCCCCCGAGGTCACGTGACCCCCCGAAGTCACGTGACTCCCCTGAGGTCACGTGACCCCCGCCGATGTCGCGTGACCCCCAATGACGTCATCGTCACTGATGACGTCACCGGCATCCACATCGTCATCGTCATCATCACTGATGACGTCACCGGCATCCACATCGTCATCGTCATCATCACTGATGACGTCACCGGCATCCACATCGTCATCGTCATCATCACTGATGACGTCACCGGCATCCGCATCGTCATCGTCATCATCACTGATGACGTTACCGACATCCGCATCGTCATCGTCATCATCACTGATGACGTCATCAATGACGTCACTGATGTCGTCACCGGCATCCACATCGTCATCGTCATCGTCACTGATGACGTCACCGGCATCCGCATCGTCATCATCACTGATGTCGTCACCGGCATCCACATCGTCATCGTCACTGATGACGTCACCGGCATCCGCATCGTCATCGTCATCATCACTGATGACGTCACCGGCATCCGCATCGTCATCATCACTGATGACGTTACCGACATCCGCATCGTCATCATCACTGATGACGTCATCAGCGACGTCACTGATGACGTCACCGTAATTCGCATCGTCATCATCACCGGTGAAGTCATCAGTGACGTCACTAATGACGTCATCGGTACCCGCATCGTGATCGTCAATGATGACGTCATCAGTGACCTCAGTGATGACATCATCGGCATTGGGGGTCACGTGACCCCCAAGGTCACGTGACCCTCCAAGGTCACGTGACCCCCCCCCCCTTGGTTAGTTTAGCCCCCCCCCCCCAGTGCCCTTCCCTCATCCTCCTCAAGAGCTGCGCTCTAATTCGGCGTTACAGGGAGTTGTAAGCAGCTTTCACTTTTTTGTCTATTATATTGTTATATCTTTTAGTTTGTTTGGTCTTGCCACCTTTTCTGCAATGTAACTCTAGAAAGGTTATTTATGTGTTTGTGTGTAGTTAGTTAGCACGGTGGGGGCAACGACTTTGAACAGTTGCTGTGCAGTTTATTTCTCTGTGCGAGTAGCGCCTGCACGCTATGGAAAGCAGTGGGATTTTTTCCTTGCATTTGAATAGGTGTAAAAGGGCCGTGCGCGGGAAGGGCAGGAGTTTGTTAGTACGCATTTTGTGTGTGACCTTTTGTGTTGCAGTTTTGAGCATATTTTTAATTAAATTGTTTGTTATTTAAACACAACCTCTCAGTCTCGTTCCTAGCCCCTCAGAGTGAGTCCATCCACCAGGGCGTGGAACTATCGTCCAATCAGCAGTCCTAACAAAATTATAAATTTTGTTTGCATAGGATATCATTTGGATCTAATTTTCCACACCCGTGATACCGCTATTAGCCCCGAGAGCGAACACAAGCGTCGCTGCGGTTGCCGCGCCCCGATTGGGTGAGGTGTACCGTGACGTCAGGGCGATGACTCCACTCCGCGATCTCGCATCGGCTCGCTTCCCTGCGCCGGTTTCCTGGTTTGGCGTTGTGTGCCGCAAGCTCTTCGAGGAGCTGGACTTCGTTTACCCGGTGTACAAGACGTTGAGTTAGGCCGAGATTGACGTGCTTCCGTACATTTTATAAGCCTGCTTGTCCCTTTTACCTTTAAAATTGGGATACAAATCCCGAAAGCTATCGGCGGAGGCAATTCCGCTGATGAACCTCCCCGTCCGTCCACACGACACAAGGCAGTTTTGCGAAGGATCGGTGAAGCGGTGGCGCAAGTGTTTCAGACACTGGAATTCTGTTCCTTGCATGTTCATGATTTAGGACGATATTACATCCCGCTTTCAAGACATTTGAAGTGGCATTTATATCGTGGGCCTTTGGGTGGTCGGCAAATTAGCTCGCGACCCCGACTTTGCGCTGCCACTCTGCATGCGCTGGTTCGCAGACGTTTTAAAGGCCCTGTGTCTGATTATCCTTGAAGTGCTCGTGGAACAGGGTTTATTTTACCTACATGTAGCTTCTTCGTGAATTAATTATATGGTTTATACTCGTATGCAGGCTTATTTCTTAGAAGATGCACAATTACTGGAAATTAGTTTGTATGGTAGCAGAAAAAAGGGCCGAATTGCCCCCAGTTGCCTGTATGATATGTATTGAACTGCCCAAAATATGCACAGCAATAGTGCCGTAATTTGTAATGTTTATACTTTTTCCATTTTTATTCCAGCCGGGTATTCGGAAAATACATTGTTTAGTCTGAATTGTCATAATTCCAATTAAAAAAGACACTGCTGCAGGTCTCCAAAAGTTTCCTCGGCCTCCAAACTCCCTACAGCTGGACTCTCTGACAACAGAGGAAAACAGGATTAAAAGCAAGCATTCGAACGTCTGTCCAGTGTTAGATGCAGCACTAGTAGCAGAAAATGTGGAACCTGTGAAGGGCGACAGTCTGCCTGAGAAAAGCTTCTGGTATTTTAGCTTCAGGACAATTCAATTTAAGTAAAATCTCAATTTTAGGGCTTAAGGGACTAATAACGAGCTAGACACCTTCACTTACGTTTGTTACACATTACTTGAGAGTTGATATAAACAAGTCCACAGATACCACCCGTGTAGTCCATTGAAATACTATCCGAATCCAGCAAAGGTCAAATGCGAGCAATGTATATAATAAATGTTTCTTGTTTTTTACTTTGCCCCTGCACTTGGACTGTCTTACTTGTGATTTTCTCCCCATGGCCCAGACTGTATTTAGCATGTTGCTCGATCAGCATGTAGCTTTTCTGCTTCGGCGATCTTGTTTGAAACAGAGATACAAAAAAAATTGTATACATAGCCTGCCAATTCATTCAGACCATCAGCAGCATTTATTGTGCGAGATGTAAATCTGTAGTGATGCTCCTGCAATTGTGGCCATATTTCTTTATTTTCATATACCAGCTGCGATTCATGCGTTGCCTGCCCTGTCAACCATGCTTAAAATCTTGGTTGAAGTTTTGCCTGTAGCTACAGGCCATACCTCAATAAAGGCACATATAAAAATTTACACTTCCTACGAAAAACACGCCAAAAAAAATTAAATAGAAACGAGCGCGCCGACAGCTAGCGTCGTCACAACCTCCACAGGGCGAGCGAGGCGAGTCGGCAAAAAATTCCCTCCTCGCCGTGACGTCACCCCGGTTTGCCGTAAGGGGGCGCCACGCGAACTTCTCGGGGCTAATATCAGTATGAGACAGATTTAGAGCACGTGGGATGCGCAGCAGTATGCTAAAGTTACCACTCATGCAACAGACACAAGACTGGCAGTGAAAACACTGTGGATGATAATTGCACCTGCTGCATACCGTAGAATACCACGCATCCACCCATTCCACATTAAGCGTCCTTTCCCAAATCTGTAAGATCTAAGAAAATACGCACAGTACATTTATATGTAAAATTGATGACCTGACAAGCACCATTTCCCATTTTTTTGCGATTACCTCCGAAGTTTGAGTGGGCGCTTGCCCGGTATTTTACGGTAAGTGGCAACTTTAGCACGCACTCGTGCTACGAATATTTAAAAGATTTACCTATTTAGTCGTTTTCGATGATGATTGGCAAGTTTTTAATTTGAACCATACGATTACTTCACTAATTAAAAAGTTTATTACTGAACTTTAGGTAACTAATTGACTTATCGCGATGACTGGCCCCCTTTATCTGCAGAAACAGTATTAATAGAACCTTCACGGCTTTAAAAAAAGAAAAATCTGTAAAGCCTAGAAAAAAAAAAATCTTATATTTTTAAAGTGCCTGAATAGGACATGTATGTCATATAAAAACAACTTTCACCACAAAACAAACAAATTTAGATTTATATTTATGTCAGACTCAATTTGAGTGAGGAGAGACTCCAAAATGCATCTCTCTTTCGACACTTCAACCTGAAATAGAAGTATGTTACAAGACACAAATGAGTCTTGCATGCAGTAACAAGAATTGTTTTTAGGAAAGTTTATTTTGTGACAATGTGTCCTATCGAGAAGCTTTAAAAAGAAAATTTGGGGGAGTTTCCTTTCCTTTAATATAGACATTCAACCGTAGAACAGATTTGTATGGTGCCATCTTTCTTGTTCCTGCTCTCCGGGGTTCTATAAACAAGCGTAAGGCAATACTAACTGCAAAAAAAAAAAGGAAAATGCTATGCCAAATTCTGATCAATCTCCACTTTTGCCCCTCAATCCTCAGTTTGTATCAATAGCGTGCACAGACCCGTGTAACACTGGTGACATGACTGCTCAACTGACAATTCATCTCTTGCCAGTCTCGCAGCTGAATATCTTCTGCAAACGCTATCAGTGCGTACATGCAACATCAAGTTGCATGTCGACACGCATTTTGATGAGCGCAAACTTATACGGATAAAATGCAAGCAAGTAATGGTGAGCAAATGCATACCTCTTATTGAGCGCTTTCCGGTTCATTGGTACATAAGCATAGGGTTCAAACCTCCCCTTCTTCCTGTCTCCAGAGGCGCCCTGCGTCAAGATCGGACCCATTTGAAAAGATGGTCCTTGCACACCACACTCAACATACTCAACAACCATAAGAACTGCGATTCACCTTGGCATCTGCAGCCTTCCTCTTCTTTGGGGGGGCACTTTCACCTGCTTCAAATGAAAAACGCAACGTTAGCAACAGAATCTTCTTACAAGCAACATGTGAGTACAGATACCAAACATAACAGCATTTAGTACTCCTACAAATCAAACTTTTCGCTTAAGCAGAGTATGACGAGTCATTTGTCACAATGAGATGTCAAAAATGATGTCTCAATGTTCAGAGTCTCGGCACAGGTTGCAGTTTCGGGTTCAGACGTTTTCTGTGCTCGCTATCAAAAGAAAGCTGAAGAGGTTCTTGAAAAAAAAAAAAAACGAGTTAGAGGCTATTTCTAGCGTATTTTTTCCCGTGAATGAATATCACAAGCATTTGATCCGCACGTATCAGTAGACACGAGAAAAAACGAAAAACTAACCGCTAGTTGTGACGTCAAACTCGGAGGTTTCAGCTGCCTTGCGCTAGTAAGGGAACGCGTGCAGTGCTTTTGACTGCTCAGGCAAGGCTTGCAAAAATGTTAAGATCTCTGTATAATTCGTCATGACTCCCTCCTGGCACCAAACGCGACGGGAAGAAGGGGCTTCAGTGCTGTTTTAAAAGCGCTGTTGTGGCTACCTAGCGCATCAATCTGAAATATAATTCTGACATTTGTAATCCTGGAGGCCAAATAAAGACAACTGAAGTGTTTTTTTCTCAAATACAGAACCGCTTCAGTTTCCCTTTGACTACAACTATTCTACCAATGAGACCATGATTCCATTAGCACTAAGTTATAAATACCTAGGTGTGCACTTCTCTAGTAACCTATCTTGGGCACTACATGTTAACCATGTTTTCTGAGTCTAACCGATCACTCGGACAACTAAAACGTCACCTCAAGTTCGCACCATTAAACTTGAGACTTGCCACCTATAAAGCACTGATCCGCCCAAAGCTAGAGTATGCTGCCGCTATATGGGACCCATTCCAAAATTACCTGTCATCAATCAGAAGCAATTCAAAATTGTGCAGTCAGATTTATTTTTTCTAGCTATTCATATTATATAAGTGCCACTGGCCCTAAAGGAACGCAATGAACTAGATAAACTATCTCTTCGCCGAAAATATTTTTCACTAACACTCACAAATTTTATTAAGATTTCCTGCCAAATTCACCGTACATCATGCCACCCGCACAAACTCCAACACTCTTTCACAAATTTTAATATGATTTCCTGCCAAATTCACCGTACATCATGCCACCCGCACAAACTCCAACACTCTTTCACAAATTTTATTAAGATTTCCTGCCAAATTCACCAGACATCATGCCACCCGCACAAACTCCTTATCGTACCGGTCATCCACTCAACGTGATGCGCCCTAAAACTAGAACAGTGACCTCGTCTGCTTCATTTTTCCCACGCAGAGCAAAGGAATGGAATGACCTTCCCTGCAGCATTGTTTCCATATCTTATCCTCTTCATTTCAAAAAGAAATTGAGCAAAGTCATTCTCACCACTGCCTCACAGTTGAAAAAAAAAAAAAAGGGAAGTGCCTTTACAATGTTTTGTTTTTGACTGATTTCAGTTTAACCATGTATACATTCTTGCATCAATGTTCTGAGGGAAAGCGCAGTTCCATGTCCTCTTAGTAAAGAGTTTGGCATATGTTGAGTAACATAAATATATCATGAGTAAACTGTAAAGTGACTCACCCCTGGATGTACCCGAAGTTCCTTCTCCGGCACTCAGATCAGTGCTCTGCCTAAGCTTTGGATTCTGAAATGCGCAAGTGACACTCCGTTAGAGTAAGGCAAAGAATGCGCCCAGCTCAAGCAAAACAAGAAAGCGCATCACCTGTTTGTAGTGGGACAGAGCTTCCAGCAGGTCATTGGCATCCTCTTCGACATCGCTTGCAGATTCTGATAAAGGAGTTTCAGATTACTTCAATTCTGGCAGCATGCAGGTGTTGTAACTCTGTGAAAGACATACCTTCTTTCTTCCTAGGTTTCAATCGCTCATCGACAATCAAGAGCCGACCATCTTCAGTCACATCAAAGCTGCATTTGCCCTTTCTCTTTGGAGCACTCTTGGGATCAGTTGCTGTCAAAAAAGATATGACCGCGTATCACACCAAATTAGAACAGGCAAACGTACAGCAAAATGGCTGAATCTACAATCACTGCCACTATTTTAGCACAGGCTAGCTGTAAGAAGCTACTACCAGTTGATAATAAAGCCAACTTTTGTATCAACTCCCACAAAAATGGAACAAATCTGCAGAATATATACCCACCCTTCCCATATCAGTCTTGCTAGAAAAAGCGAACATATTAACTTCAGCAGCTATGTGAATCACCCACTTAATGACATCACCAGGAAGAGAAAACATAATCCATTTTTTACTGAAAAGGGGAACAGTTATACATGTTGATACTCTTGTGCAGTGACCATCAACGCATATCCAAGGTGTTTTTTCCAAGAAAAAGATTTTAAAAAAAAGACACTGGAAATAAAAAAAAACAATTTTTCAGGATAACATTATTCAATGTGGCAGACGTCAGGATGAGAGTATAGTGACAATTCACACATTAATTAGTTAAAATCCATTAACTTAATAAATATTAATTTCAGCAGGCACATTCCAATTAAAAATATGTTGCTCGTCGTCAACATAAGTCACCAGTTTTAGATAACTAGGTTCTGCTCCGTGCCATTTTCTGACGAAGTTAGGCTGTCTAGTGTCTGCCATATCGCGTGCAGCAGAATTTAGTTGTGTGAATTTTAACTGCTACCACATATTTTGCTGACAAGCGACACATCACCAACTGGAATGTGCCAACTGAAAGTATTATTTAAAAAGTTATTAGTGAATTTTAGGCAAATAGTTAAGTACCACTTTAGACTCTCTACCTGACATCCACCAATGTGGATAGCACTCCCCAAAGGAATAATTTTTGTATTTCCAGTGTCCTTTCTTTTTTATATGTTTTCTGTCTTGGAGAAAAATACCCTATAGTATGCTGTAAAATCCCGTAATTGCGGCCTTCTCTGAGAGTTTGCCCTGCTTGTTTTTCTGGCTAAATATCCGTAACATAAAAATTCCGAAACAACACCCACCCCTCGATTTCCATCGGACATCACAAAATGTTTGACGGGAATCACATAAAAAAAAAAAAAAAAAAGTCAAATTTGGGGGTTTTACGTGCCAAACTTACGACGGGCATCTGGCACGCCCCAGTGGAGGATTGAGGATTAATTTCGACCACCTGGGGATCTTTTGACGTTCAACCGAAAGCTCGGTAAAACGACGCCTTCTCTGCAATAAGCCTCCGTCAGATTGCGGGCACCTCGGTCGGAATTCGAACCCGCCACATGGGGATCCGTAGGCCGGCGCTCTCGCCTCGGAGCCACCGAGGCGGCACGGGAATCACATCAATCGCGCATTCTGCAGTACCGGTATGTGTGAGAAGTGAGTTCGCAACGGGGTTCCTGTGTTTTTGTCTGCCATCTGCGCGCGCGATATCGGTTCCCGTAGTACGCAAATTTGCAGGCTATTACCAAATACCATGTAAGCCAATACTGTCAACTTCCGCGGATCGCTGGCAAAAAGTGATCGCAGCGCCCCTGGCGAGCTCGGAGTCTCTGGTGACAGAAGAATTCTCCACAACGCATTGGTTTTGCCTATCTCCACGCGAGGTGACCAATGAAAAAAAATTGTCACGGATATTCGCCGCTTTGAATGTTAAAAAATAGGTTCCATTTCATGAGTCGAGGATATTTTCTTTGCGTGGGAAAGAAGTTACAGCTTGTAGGGGGCAATTTTCGGGCTCTCCTGAAGAAAACACTGTCAAAATTTACGCAAGCCAGGCAAAACACGAATGTAGCCTTCGCCCTGTTTCTTGAAAAAGGGCTATGTTAAAAAAATAAAATAGAACATTGCTACGTTTCAACTGTACTGTTCATATTGATCAGTTCTTTTTGTTGTTGCAATTCCAATTTCTCATGAATGTTTTGCATAAAACCATTCCGTCAAATAGGCGAGCTGGCTAATCCCGATCGTCTCCGGATGAAGAAGCAAAAGGCAATTTCGAACCACGTATGCCACTGCGATGTCAGTATGCCCTGAAAGAAGTCGATTGTACAGATGCAAATCTGACGCTATTACTAAAACTAATAAAAACGCAGTTACACCAAAAAAATAAAAAAAAGCACCCGGTTGACGATTGTGCACCTTCTTCCATTTTTCAAAGTGTACTTCCTTTTTATGTTTGAGGCGACGCTACGCCGCCGCGGTTTTTCTTCCTCCTGCGTTTATGATTTTTCTTTCTTTTTTTTCTTTCTTGTGTTTACTTGATGTTCGAACTATCGCGCGTTTTGCTTTGCCTTGTTTGGCTTAGTTTTTACTTTCACTTACTTTCCTTCGCTTTGTCACTTACTACCACCGGTTCGTCTGCTTCGCAACGCCCGGCCAACTGGAGGGCCCTCTGCAACTTTGTTGCTATTGTTTTCTTTTTTTTTTCCACTGTCGTTTGTGATAACCTCCTACGTTCGCCTTCGATTGAGTTTCTGATCCGAAATCTTCATATGTACTTCGTGATACTTAATAAATATATTAAAAGGTTTAAGCATGTTATACATTTCTATTCGGATTTTATTTGAGTACGCGGTCACGTCTGCTATGGGTCATTGTTGGTTGATCAACTGACCGCCTTCGGGCATACACCAGCGCATACTTGGAGATGGCAGGCATGTCATGTGCTGCTTACCACTGCAGAAAAAAGTTTTTGTGATGCGGTGGGAAATCCTTCTTCCGCTTCAAATTAAACAGCAAAAGCTATCCAGGTCTGGCTTCAAAATCGCCACTGATGCCTCAACAGACGAATATTTCACCAAACAAGAGTTCAGCTGAAAACGCACTTGAGGCCGCTAATCGGCACTCAAAACAAAGGCACGGTGTGCAAGGATTGCCTGGACATGTACGTCAACAACTACTGGAATGTAATGTAGAACTACTGCGCCAAGCAAGCAAACAAACAACCTGCCAAAGTCACTGGGAAAAGAAATGCGAAAGCAAAGAAAGGTCACCCACTGCTAGCACGAAGCAGATTGCAGCGTGAGACTCTTATTTACCTGGCAGTGCGAGCTGGACTACGTTATTCCTTTCTTCTGTTTTGTTTTTAGTCCCTAACAACGCCGCGAAAGCAAATAAACATGTAACGTGCAGCTATAAAAAAAAAAAAGTGTCGCTCTTTTTTTTTTTTTTTTAGTAGTTTCGTTGTGTTGCTTCTGCTTTGTTTGTTGTGGACGGAACACCAACGGCGAGCACCGCCTACTAATTTTCAATGCTCCTACCGACGCCCCGTGCGATCGTTGTTTTTGAAGGTCTTTGCTGGGTGATTTGTATCTTTGCATCGTCTGCTAGCTTCTTTGGTTCATTCGCCGTTGTTCGCAACCGTTCCACATTTCTTTTTATTTTCGTCTGGAATGGGGACCCCATCTTTTCTGCAAAGTTCGGAAAGTGTTTGCACGGTAATTTTTCGACTTTTTGTTTTTGTAATGCTGCAGAGCTGTTGCGCTTGCTCTGGTAATTTTAACATGCTGTTTGTGCACGTTTTAATAATCATCTATTCAGGTAAGAAACTGTGACAACGCAGTTTGTAACGGATAAACAGTAACCTCTTACGACGTAGTTCGAGCAGCTAAACGCCTTTTTCCCGCTTACCAAATCTGCTTCAAACGCGTGTGATCCTCTGAGTGGCGTTTGAGGCATGTAAATAAATTGCTCTATCCTTGTTTATGTGCTCATCGTTATTCGTTTGTCGTTGCAGTTGAGATCAGTGGATTCTGCTTTGCAAGCAGACTGACCGTAATGAAATTTTTCTGCTGTTGGGGTGACGAAACGGGGCTCGCAAAGCTCGAGGATGTCGCAGAGCCTATACTTTTCCATTGCGTCGTCTGCTTCCGAAGACTCCGAGTCCGCTAGAGGCGCCACTGTCACGTTCGCCGCCGCTCCCATAGGTTTTCGGAGGAGTTTCCAGTATTGGTGAAGCTATATCGTATTTGCTATTACTGAGTGTTCATCGCACCGTGCACGAATCTGCTGCATCCGCAGTCTGCTGAATCCTCTTTTATGACACAGGAGTTCGTAGCAAATTCCTCCATGTTTATAGTGCTGTGGAACGCGAATTCGCCTTGTCAGAGATCAGAGGTATAAGTCCCCGAGTCACATGGTTTGTAGCGGGTGTACCTGTGTTTACCACAAATTTTTTTTTTAAGTTTTTCTGCCTTATCTTTAAACATAGCCCACCTCATGTTTTTCACCATTTATCTTTTCCTTTTGGGCGGGTGCCCTTATGGGATTTTACGGTATGTACACACTTTCAAAAGATGAAAAACATACTGCAAGATTTTACTGCCCCATGTGTGTGCTTTCATGCCTGTTAAACTAACTCACACGTGATTTTCTTGCCAGCCGATGCGTCAAGGAAGTCAACAATGTCATTTTCCCCTTGTTCTTCAATCCAGGCCCGAGTGCTCTTTCGGAGTGCCTTCTTCTTCTTCCTCCGGTCGACTTCATCGTCGGAGTCCTCTTCGTCACTGGTGTCTCGCAGAATCTCCTCAATCCTAAGAGGCCAACAAAAACATCACATGGAATCAATTTGCACAGTAAATATACCAGGTTTAAGAAAGGCCCTTAACAATATGATCCAAAATTACACAGCTTCTGAGAACTGAACAGATAAGGTGAAAAATCCCCTTGGTTTGGGAGTCAAATCTAAAAACGAAACAAGACATTCTATGAGACATATCATAGATATTTCTAAACCATTAGGAAGTTTTGTGTTGGTTTGCTGATCAGGCTAAGATCAGTCAATTTTTTCAAAGAATTGTGGCAAATGGACTTTATTATTAAAATGCCACTAAAAGAAAAAGTTTTTTTTTTTTTTTTTTTATTAAAATGTCTACTATACAGTTATTAGACAAAAATTAAAAACAAATACACTTTTTTATAAAAACTAACAAGCAGACAGAAAAACGAAAAAATTTGCTTTTGCCTGTCAGCGTTTTTTTTTTTTTTTTTTTTTTTTTTTAAAGATTTTGATTGGTCCTAGCGCATGATGCATAAAATAAGCAAATCCAACCTTGCAGATTAGCCAACTGCTGACAGAGCACTTTTTTTGTAGAAGAGTACTCAATGTGGCAATGGTCAAAAGAAACTGAAGGCCCATTCACACACTTGCGTTTGACTACAACCGACTTCGACACGACCGGTTTTTAAGCCTCTTGCGACAGCTTACGACCGGCTCCGCAGCAGCGCATCCGGTCGTACGCCGTTACAAGAGGCTTAAAAACCAGTCTTGTCTCATTTGGTCGTAGTCAGCTGCAAGTGAGTGAATGGGTCTTAACACACCCTTCTGTGCCGGTCTTTGCAGCAGCAATTTCCTCCTTTTCCAAGTCTTCATTGCCAGATTCCTCATCATGATCCCCATGCTGTTGTTTTCGACGCTTCTTGCGCTCCTCGACTTTGCGGATGTTGGAGACCAGCTTGCGGTGCGTCTCGGGAAGCATGCCCACAATAGTCTCATACCTGCACACGTCACATTCCACAGTACAGTCAAATGCTCAGGCAATACGCCTTGTTTACATGGGCGGCCACAAAGGTGCGAGAAACTCACCCAAACTTTCGGATGAGCTTGACAAAGATGTTCCGTAGCTTTATCCTAAAGTGCTTCTGGATATCCCCGGAAATACTGCAGAGGCGAGACACCTGCCAAACAGTCACACACATTTGCGTGAAAGAAGGTCTCCAAGAGTCCTACTCAAACACAGAGGTCACTAAGTATGATCAGTACTACAGCAAGTAATGATAGGATGACAGCAGGCAGGCGACCACATGCCTATGTCATTTGGTCTGGTTTCGTTCTTTAGGCGTCATGCTATATTTCACAGCACATTAACAGTTCTTGAAAAAGTAGTGTTCATTTCATAGAGAAGTGCTATCTTGTAACTTCCACACCCAACAAGGAGCAAAGAAAGCAGTGTTGGACAGTCAATATTTTCATAGAAACCCAGCTCGTGCACTGCTTTCTTTGCTCCTTGCTGGGTGTGGAAGTTACAAGATAGCACTTCTTTATGAAATAAACACTACTTTTTCAAGAACTATTAATGTGCTCTGAAATGTAGCATGACACCTAAAGAAAGAAACCAGACCAAATGACATAGGCATTTTAGATGCAAAAGAACAGTGATTCAAGAAGCAGACTGCAACCGAAACTAGGACATTACAGAGGCACGGCCGCTCAATCAAAAACAATGTAAAACCTGCCATGTCACGATGCCGTACATAGGCGAAGGCGAGATTGCGCAGTTTACACTACTGGCTGCGTTGGCGCTAGTAGTCGTGTACGTTCTGGGCAATTTCGGGGGCACGCGCTCCTGAGCAGCAGCGAAGAGAAAATGATTAGCAGAGAAATACCACGAAACAAACCAACCAGGTCGATATCACGAACGAATGACGTTTTAGCGAACAGCGACGTTTGAGCGAATCGACATTTTAGCGAATAACGGGGCCGCGAGTTAAGCCATTACCCCCCCCCCCCCCCCCTTTGTGCTGCGCTTACGCCGCCTCGTGGCAACAATCTGCGGCGGCTCATTACAAAAATGTGAACCCACTCGGCCCACCCGTAAACGCCGCTTTGCGGCGGCTGACTATTCGCTAAAGTGTAAATCGGTAAAACGTGGGCGTTCGCTAAAACATCATTCGATCAAGTGAGTGCCTCCCAAACCAACCAGTGCCGTAGCTGTCATTGACCGGTAGCGCCGAGGTGGTTGCCCAAGGTGCTAGGCGCGTCTCGCCGTTTGCGGCGCATCTGGCCGGGCCGCACTTCTGCGTTCTAGATCGAGCGGCCGTGACAGGGGATATGCTCAGTTAATTACATTTTCTTTTTGTTTTCTCAAAGCAGCTTTCCAAGCAAGAAACTCTACTACAAGTGACGGTCACTGTTTAAGTCTAGCCCGATGGATTAAAGCATATCACACAAATGGTCAACAATTCATACATGTGAATGCTGCCTTATCAGGGTTGCTAGATGTATACTCCAGGGTACTACAAGATTCTGTCATTTTTTTATTTATATCAACAGTTTGTTTGGGTTTTCTACTAACAATCCCATGAAAATAAGAGAGTTTGCAGATAACAGCCTAATTTACGCCCCCATTTTTCCAGTGCAAGACCAGATAAAAGTCAGTAACACATTGTCTAGCATCACGTCGTGGTACTGCGAATATGACATGCTGATTTATGTTAACAAAATGCAGCACATGGATCTTTCAACAATGAAAAATATTCTATGAGGCTGACGGCATCAGGCTAAGAGAAAGTCGACAGCTATAAACATCTGGGTGCGATTATTTCAAGTGATTTAAAATGGAACCATACTGTGGAGTATATTAAAAACAAGCAACAAAGAAATTGCGGCATTTCAGGAGCAGGCTTAGAAGGTTAAACTTTGGGTGTATTAAACCAGTGTCAGAACCATCCAAGAATATGCATCTAAAGCCTGGAATCCCTGGCAGGGAAATCAATCACACTAAGAACTCAAAGATGTCGAATTTCTGAAGGCTCAGGTAATGTTTTTCGATTTCAGGTAAACAATGTCAGTCACAGGACTTAAAAATGCAAGCAAATCTGCAACCCCTAATAAACAGAAGGGCGTGCGAGCATGTCAAGTAATTTTTCTCAGATTTATAATGAACTCCTAAAAACTGATGGTTAAAGGACACATGCAACGGAAAAGAAATTTTTTTAAAACAGCTTAGATGGAAAAAGGATGTCATAAAACGATTGTACAATGACGAAAAAAAATTTTTAGAGCTATATTTACGGCGCTATACAAATTTGTACCTAGCTGGTGTCCGCGGGCGCCGCGGAAAAGTGGCCCTTATTTATCATGTGACTGGTACATATTTGTCACGTGGTGCTGGTGCTCTTTTGGAAGCTTCCTATGGCCTCTAAAAGTAACTTATCTATCTTCGTTTGAAGTATAACAAAAAAACTAAGATTAATAAGTAACTTTTAGAGCCCAAAGGAAACTCCTGAAAAAGCGAAAGCAGACGTGGCAGACCTGTGCGCCGGTCAGATGACGGCGGCGGCGCCCCGAAGCAGACAAACTTCTGCGGTGGCGGCGACGTAAAGAAACGCGTTTAAGCGGCGGCGCACAACGTTCAGCGTGCGGTGGCGGCGTGACTTTGCGGCGGCGGCGCACAGGCCTACCAAGTGACGAGCAGCGGCTCCCGCGGGCACCAACAACAAATTCGTTTTGCGCCATAAATATAGCTCTAAATTTTTTTTTCTGCGTTGTAAGTTTGTTTTATATTTTTTTCCATCAAGCCTGTTTAAAAAAGAAGTTTTTTTCCTTTGCATGTGTCCTTTAAGTATCCAAGGGTCTTCCACTATGAATGCTTGTAACACTCGAAGAAGATAGCTCTATTTACTGCTCAAATAAATACATTTTAAACAGTTTTTTTGTACATATATACTATAGATCTATAGAACTTCCCAGGGACATTGATACTGATTCATTTCCTGTTTTTTCAAAAGCCATAGATGTACTACTTTTCCAGTGCTGAAATTATTTTTATATATGGGCAGTTTCATTTGGATTCGCAATAGGAAAGTACATTCCTATTCTTTATTTTTCTTCAATTTTTTTTCTATGTTGTGATTCATACCATGTAAAAGACAACACTATATCTGAAAGTTCAAACATATTTAGTTTAGAAATAAAATCCCAAAGAGCTGGAGAGGATGATGGGGTTTCGATGATAGTCATCGATTACATTTTTTTATTTGAACTCTATCCCAAACTATAGGCGACAGATCTTCAATACTCTTTTAGATTAATCTATATAATTTAATAAGACACCATTTAAATATATGCTTATTATTTACAGTACATTTTTAAAAAGCAGGCTTTTGCAGACACCCCAAAACTTTTTTTTTTTTTTTCAAGTAGAGTTTTTAAATTATTACATCCAAAGTGATGCCACGCATGACATTTCAAAAGTTTGTTAATATTGAGAAATAAATATGTGAATTGATGGTTTCAGATTTTGCTCCAGTTCAGCACGCTATAAAAGTTTTTTTTTTTTTTTTTTAGTTTACACATAGTTTGTAAGGCATAATCTTATACTTCGTTTCACCTTATGTGCGAGTGAAGGCAAAGCTGGAAGCGCGAGCACGAAAGCTCCGTGCGTTCAGGCTTTGCCCGAGCGCGCGAGCTGGGGAGAAACGCGAAAAGCGCTGGTCTCGCGCTTTTAGCTTTGCCTTCGCTCGCAGATAAGGTGAAACAAAGTATAGTATCAGAGTAAGGAGCCTATAAAGAAGCCATAAAGCAGTAATGGCCGACGGTGGAATTCTGACACTTGCAGTGTGTGGAAGTGTGAACAAGTCCCAAGCTTAATTTATTTGTGGTACATGACCTATACTTCCTCAAAAGAATCTACGCAAGTATAGTTTTGTCAAACATAATACTAAAAGAGCTTTATTAACGGCGACTACAATTTAAAAAAATAGCATGCAAATATGCATTGGAGTCTAATTATGCACAAAACATTGGATTTTTTTTTCCTACTAGATCTTTAACACTACCTAGTTTAAATTCATACCACATAAGGAGCAAGTAAGAGGTGCGAGCGCCACTCACGCACGCACCTACACAGCCATGAGCCGAGATAGCAGCAGTGCGAATGGGCCCACCAGCACAGTTGCGCGCCGAGTCAAAGTGCTAACCCACCGAGCGAGGGTCAAGGCATATCGGAGTTGGACACAAATCTTCGTACCACTGGTATTACTGCGCATGCATCATCTTTGTTGGCCTCTCGCCCGGCTGTATGGTAAATACAAAAAGCCGCACTCTCCGTTGTTTGTATTTCAATGTATCCTGCTGACGTTTTCCGCATGTCACGAAGACATTTCTCAGACCCATTGGGACAGAAGAGAAACCATTCTATACCTGTTTTCACCTCAAGAACCGTAGTAAAAAAAGTCCGGCTCCACGCGGATCATTACTAATTTCCCTCTTTATCTTGATAATTAAGATATATGCAGGTGAAGTTTAGATTACATATATGCTATCTTGCCAAGACGCAAGCGTTTCGAACGCTAAAAGCATCGCTTTTTCCCCTAACAACCAAATCTCGTGAGAACTACTTCGCGCCGCGTATGAACAATGCGCAAAACTTGCTTTTTTCTTGAGGTGAAAACGGGTATAGTGAAATCACTCTCTTCGTTTTAGTTCGGTTACTACGCACTGTTCTCTTGCCAATGTTAAGTTAGCTAGAGGAGATGTTCCCGTTGTCTGCTTCGGTATAATCGGCTGAAAATGATGGTGTTTTTTGCTTCTCCACACTGTGGCAAAAACACCACCCATGCATGATCCACACAGTGGCACTGATACTATCACTCATGTTATATGTGGTACACAGCAGGGGCATAGCCAGGGGCTTATGGGGCTTCAAAACAACGCAGGAATACACGTCTCATAAGGACTTCCGCCCACAGCCCCAGGCCGGAAGTGTGTCCGACGCGCCACCACCGCGCAGTGACATAACAGAGATGAGTTTGTGTATAGACGTGGACTTTGTAGCATGAACATTAGATCAGGAGTGTCTCAATTGTGCTGCATTGGGCTCATCATACCACAATCAAAGTTCTTACCAGGTGCTGCAAGTTCATAGACAGTTCTTGAGAGTCAAGGATGACGAAGAGCATTCGGACGAAGTACAGGGCGGCCTGAACGATCTCCCGGTTGTGCGACCCCATCAAGATATCTACGGCTCCGATGATGCTCTTCAGCACTTCAGGACTGTACTGTCCTGCAAGGTAAAAGCTGTAATAAGCTCAAGAGCCAGCCACCAGAAAAAAATTAAGACACAACCCCCTCCCCCTTTTTTTTCAACAGATCAAGGACCACACTTTTTTTGCAATTCGGCCTTAAAGCTTTCTCATCTGCTTTTCGACAGGGCATTTTAAAGGCAAGCGTTGCCACTTATGAAAGGGCAGCAGCAAATGATGAGGCACCAATGACATAGGAATTAAAAAATGTGATGCGTGCTCCAATTCTAACCATGCACGTCGTGCTTTGTGTCCAAGAACAGGTCGCTTTTTTTAATGCGAAAGCATTAACTGGTCCCATGAAGCTAACCGACGTCATCAGCTTTGAAGCCGCACCAAACAGCACCTTCCCCTGCCCCAATGGAGCAAAGTCGTCTGTAGCAGAAATCTGATGGATAGGCTCCCATTGGCTGGCACGCGTCATCAAGGATTGAGGCTTCCATTGGCTTTTGCGCGGCGTAGTTAAAAAAAACGCCACCAGCAGTGATGGAAGTGCCATTTGACCTTTTGGAGCAGGCCTTGTAGCAGGCAAAATGTTTTGGAGCAGGTAGTGACCCTTTTGGAGCAGGGTTTGGCATATGTTGGCATATTACTTGAAAATGAAATAATGCTGCATTGCTATATAAAGCCCATCTCTATTATTAGAACACAGCACCTGTCGCCTTTTTAAGACAGGATATATAAAATTCAACAAAGTAAACACAAAAAAAAAAACATTTTTTAAATAAAGTTTATCTGCTCGTCAGATAAAAAAATACAATTAAATATGTCACACTGAGTTCTGATGGTACAGGATATTTAGTTTTATCAGCCTGCACTTCCTTAAAGGTATCTGCAGCAGCATCTAACGACCCTCACTGTTGTGGAATGTTTTAGTTCAGATTAGAGTTGTCTTTCGGGCACCAGCTTCAAATATTGCGGTATCTGATATTCGCTTCAAAAGTTCCGATACATTTTCGATGTGCTGGTGAAGTCACGATCGGATCACGGTGAGTTAACCCGTTGAGTGCGCTCCTTGGCAAGCACCGACGCACTGCAGAGAAGCGACACCCGCGGAGCAGACACCGCAGTCGCGCGAGTCGCGCAGTGCTTTGTGCTCCGAAAAGGACGGTGAGGCTTTACCAGCACTACATCCAGAGTTTGGCGCAACTCAACTATACATCGTTTCAGCTTCGGTATGAGCGCAGCCGAAGCTACAAGCGCGCGCATGGAGCCCGTAACGGTGCCCACACTGCACGAGCCCACGCGCGAGTCAGGAATGCACAGAGCATTGGGCTCGCGCTAGCTTTGACTTCGCTGGTAGCTAGCGCACGGGAACAGGGCAGGCCAAAATAAAAACATCCAAAAGCTCTACCTTTTTTTTTTTTTTTTAACTATGCTGTTTAGTGGGATGGTTCTTCGCTTAGCCTCTGCGGCTTTGGTCTCAGATGTTGCTAACGTTGTTCCTTTCAATGATGATGACGATAATGCGCCCTTGCAGTTTCGGTTTGCGTAACAGTTGCGGCGCGGAAAACACCGCAGTACTGCCACGCGCTCTGCTAAGACTTCAATTTTTATTTTTTATTGCTACATCTCATCTCGGCGCAGGCATGGCGCAATTCTTCGGTAAAATGACAATTTGGCGCTACATGTTGCAGGATTGCGTCCTTGGCGCAATTGGTGCAGCACTTCCATCACTGCACCAGAGAAGCCCTCTTCAAGGCGGAGCAGCGCATGCAGTGACCCGGCCGCAGGTAAGAGGTGCGGCGGTGCAGGCCTGGCCGCACAGCCCGCTCGGGCAATCCCTGGAGAGGCTGCACGACCGAACTCAGTGCGGCGCAGCCACTTCATAAGAGCGCACGCTCGGCCGTCAGCCGCTACCTCGGCAGTTGAAAAACGTGGCCGTCCACGCCACTACGCCACAGACAAACTAAGAGAGCGAAAGAATGACATTCATGCTTTCGCATTCACAGCCCATAATTGCTTAGGTGCCCTCGGACTTTTTTTGGCCCAAGCATTACTGACATTGCATCGATAACTACACTCCACCCGTCATATGGCAGGGATTGGCTCTTGCATGCTCTGCAGAAGAGCAGGCAAAAAAAATTGGGGCTCCAATCCACGCTGTGAAGGTGGTTGGTCAGCGAAGCTGTCGTATCACCTGCAACGATTGCCTACTGCACTATAGGAAATGCCGCCGCCGGTCGCAGCACGCCGCCGCCGCTTGTAATGCCGTTTCTTTTCCCTTTGCCGCTCCTAGTATTCACGCTACTCTTCGGGAGTCCAAATTATATGCGGCCTTTTCATCGCGGTGCTGCAGCAACAACGAAATCAGTTGCTATACTCCGTTTCATTTTACGTTTAAGTGCAGCGGATGTTACGAGCCATCGGAGCCAATTGGAGGCCGTGCGAGTGTCACGTGACCTTAGAGAGGGGACACAGCGACATAGCACAGCGACGAGCAAAAAGCGAATCACGGGCCATGTCCACAGAACGGGATTGACTAAAATAGCTCATAGCAACCGCTGCGTCCGGATGTAAGGTGAAACGGGGTATAGGCGGGTTCTTCTTTTATATATGAAAGGCTAGTGATGTCACTCCCCGCGTTGCAAGCTGCCGTCGCCGCGGCAGCAGGCGCCGTTATCACCCATTATGCGGTTTGCACATCACACGAGGGCTTCAAATGACGTCAACCCCTTTCGAAGCAGCTGCAAACCTAATCTTCACCGGAACGCGTGGGAGTGTGTTCTTATTGGTCACACACGCCTTTTTGATGCTTGTTTTGTGGTTTTCTTTGTTGAAACGGATACTGAGCTCTATGCTGTATGCCTGATTTCAAAGGAGATATGCTGTTTTGCCTTCAATTGTTTGCCAGGAGTTTTTTGCTTACAACGACGACACGAAAATTTCCTTGGCCGGTAGAGGTATACAGCTTCGCTCTAAAAATAAAAATGCACAAGCTTTCAGCAAAAGCTCCCACTTAAGCCGTTACCATGGTCCCAGGCAGCTAAAAAGAGAAACAAAAAAAATTAAAGAAACAACAACCAACCCTTGAATTGGTGCAGCACATTGGAAAGAGCCAGGACAGTACAGCTGACAAGGTATGCACTTCCAGTGAAGCCCGCCGTCAGTTGCGACAGCAGATCTTTGATGGCACCGCTGGGGTCCTCCAGTTGCCAGCGTACGAAGGCCTTGCCCACCCCAAGGATCACTTCCAAAGCTGCCTGGCGCACCTTGTTGGCATTCACTTTGACACAAAGCACAGCCTGCAGGACAACAAAATATGCTCTTTGCAACCAAGGCCATTCACTGCACCATATTTTCAAAGGAAAAGAAACTAACATGCACAGCCTGCCCAAAGCATCAGAGAAACAAAATTCCAGTGAAAACGGTACTACAGCACCCACATCAAAGCCAAAACTATAGTTACTAGTACCCCAATATTGCTTTTCCCATGCCATCTGTGCCAATGTTTTATATCCCGTCTGTCTAGTTAGTAGTTCATGGTCAAGGGAGATATCTAGCTACCTTTAAAGGCCAACAAAAAACACCCACCTCTCGGCATTCTTGCAGCAAAGCAGTTTACAAGCTTAAAATTTAGACAATACTGCACACACTAGGAGGAAAGCTGGGCTTGTTTGGCCAGTAGTGATGCGTCAAGGCATACTTTCATCAGCGACGCTCAATTGTTCTTAAGCAGGAAAAGTGCTATGCTCAAGCTTAGGGTGCCTTGAGGGAATCTGAGTAACCAAGGACCTACAATGTTCCACAACGTTTCCAGATTCTCCGATTGCTATGAAATATTGATTGCCAACTTAGGGCAATACAGTTTTGATCCTATTACTCGCAAGGGCTTGTTCTTCAACCCAGGCTAATGCATCAAAGAACCCAGAGGTACCCCAGGGAACCCCCGACCGAGTCAGTTTGAGGTTGAGTCCTCCAATATGAATGAGCTGCATGGGTCATACCTCACTGAGGACTGAAGATGCAAATGCCTTGTGCTCCACACTCAGGTTGTCAAGCAGCAACCCCAGACATCGTAGACGTGGCTGCAGAAAATAGGGCCCATTAAAAGAAGAGTTAATAAACCCGCCCTTCGGTCCAACTAGAGTCTTGTCAATCTTTGGATGAGTTACCATTCACACTTTTTGAGGACAGTGTGTAGGTGCAGTGTAAAAACTTGACAAAGTATTAAATACAGGAGGACGGACACAGACGGGCACATCTTTAGACTTTCAATGCACATTTTTCACTTCTGCCGGCAACGGACCCTGTAGTTCACAGCAGGGAAAGTGGAAGGAGAGAAGGTCGGTTCACAACCTGCTTTTGGGAAGAAAAGGGAGAAGAGGGGCTGGCAGTCTGCTTTCCCCACTCAGAACTAAGAGATTCGCTGCTTGCAGAAAAGAAAAACATGTTGGAAGTCGAAAGATGTGCTGTTCGTGACCTTCCTTCTGTATTTAATTTTTTTTTGTTTTTAAGTTTTTACCATTCATCACTAGGCAGGCTAATGGTACTTGGAAATTAAACTTGCAATCATTTTTTGTTCACTTTAAGTTAGGATTAAAATATCTGAAGTCTCCCTTCTTCCACTCAAGTTACATATATAAAAAAAATTTACAACAAGCAGTTTAGGTTTCCCGATCAGCATATGGTGTTGCGATCGGCCTTGGCCGGGGCCGCGTCTCTTCCTTCCCGCCCGACCGTCTTGTTTATAATCGGAAACCACCCGTCTGAGCCGTTGTTGATGCTGCTATGACCCGTCTCGATCTCTCTGTGTTTGTGAAGCTCGACCTTGCATTCCAGTGCGGACGACGACCAAGCGAACGTCGAGACAGTTGGCGAGCGATTCTAACCCTTTTCGCAAGTTCGACGGAAACCGGAGAAGCGTTTCTCTTGGGCCTTGGCTCAAGGGCATCAGAACCGACTTTCCCGTCGGTGTGCTTTGTCTACGGCGTCTGCCTTGCGTATGCCTTCCATGAGAATGTTGCCGTTGGTGTGTTCTGTCTACGGCATCTGCATTCCATGGAGGCGTCCACATTCTACGAGAACGCCAGACAGAATCCGACCCTGAACAGATGGACAGTCTGTTGTGTCTGAGTCAACCGCATACAAGACAATCGCCTACCAGTCGCCCTCAATTCGAAGAACAACAACGACCGAGCATCGGGGCCGAGAGGAGGAGGTTGACGTGGAGGCCAACTTTGGAAGGCGGCACTAACCAACCAATGGCATGGCAGCTTCAGAACACTGATTTTATTATATAAGGACCCATTCGGCTGCCCATTCGGTGCTCTCCGACAATGTAGAAACTTCTGTATATATGTAATTAAACAGAGTTAATCGTGAGAGACCCTCCCGTCTCCTGCTGATGTTCCTGCCTGGAGTCAGTTTGCGATCCCTGTCTTCGCCTGGCCCTGCCTGAGGCTGCCTCGGGAACGCCTCGGTCACAACAATGGCAAGGTCTCAAGAGAAAAATTGAGAAGGAGCAAGAACCACGCACCGCTCTTGATCCAGGTTTGGTCGTCCTCAGGTTGTCCAGGAGAAGAGCCTTGAGGTCTGCCACATTGTTCTCCAGAAATGCTTTGCAGGCGGGGGTGGGGCCGCGACACACTTCCTCCAGGACTCGGTAGGCCTTTTTCTGAATTCTGCGCTCAGCGTTCTAGAATCAATAAAGAGAAAAATCAGGGATAGAAGGAAAGAAACCTTGCATTCACCCGCTCGATCTAGTACGCAAATCCAGCTCACCCCAACTTCCGACTTTGCCATGAGGTACAGCCGCTCCACATTTTCAGTGCTCATTTTGCAGACAAGAGACCTCGCCAGGTCTAGAATGGCGTGCCTGTAACAAACAAGGCCGACAAGCGCATGTAAAGGAAGGCTGCAGTTTAGTTCAGCATCAGCGATCCAGTCGTCAGATATTCTTTGTTATGGCTCTGGAGGATACTAAAAATGCAAGGTCTAGAACAGTGGTTCTCAACCGTCTATGTTTCGTGGACCCCTTGTGGATTGGCGGAGACGATGGAGGACCCCGTTCGTGGTGAGGGAAGGTGAAAGGTATAGGTTAAATATTATAATGATTTAATATGCATTTAACTAAGGGCTAGCATAAAGTATTCCTTTCTTATTGACATACAAACTGAAAGATTTCTTCTCGAACTGGTAAAAAAACAACTTTTTTTGCCAGGCTTGACTGATGAGGCAGGACTTCGCGGATTTCTTGAATGCCTTCGCGGATCCCAAAGGGTCCGCGGACCCCATTTGAGAACCCCTGGTCTAGAACATTGGTTCTCAAATGGTGGTCCACGGACCCTTTGAGGTCCCCAAAGGCCTTCTGACGGTCTCCGAATCCCATGACCGCCAATCGAGCCAAACAATAAATCCTTTTTTAGTGATACTGACTGTCTTACAAAGCTAAATAGACCAAACTATGTGCACTAAGTAAGTAGGGCTCATTATACTCCATTTCAGAGCTTCAAAGTTGCTTCGAAGTTGACTTGTCATTGTGTAATCATCCAATATACTTTCTCCCTCCCGCTGAATGAAGGTTCCCCATCACTTACGCCAATCCAAAAGGGGCCCCTGAAACATTAGGAATTGAGAACCACTGGTCTAGAACATAACACATGAAAAATAATGCAAACTGTCACTTCTCCTACTATATATTCCCTACCCACTTTTGCTCCCAAAGCAAAGTTACTTACTTGCCAAACGGGGTCAGACCCTCTGCCGACAGCTTCTTGGAGGCGTTCAAGAAAAGTTGTGTGCAAAGCTAAAAACAAAAAAAAAGTAAAAAAACAAAAACAACACTGTTTACACACTGCTCTAATCAATGTACTATCAGATTCGAATGAAATGCAAAAAGTCACAGAACTTCGAGCCTACTACCAATGCAGCTTCCAAGCTTGGGTTGTGCTTGGCGAGGTTCAAACACATCGGAGTAGCGCGCTGCGAGGTTATGTGCCCTACTCCGATGTGTTAGAACATCGCCAAGCACAGCCCAAGCTTAGAAGTTGCGCTGGTAGTGGGCTCGAGGTACCATCACTGTTCGCATCTCACTTGAACCCAATGGTACAATGACACCAATGGCCGTTACCCACCACATCATCTGCAATGCTGACAAACACTTTGATAGTGTCGTAAGCAGCCAGGCGGACACCCTCCTCTGTGAGGCTCGATGTCTCGGTGGTGTAGATGTTGAAGAAGATTGGGAGGAAGTTCTTGGCGTACGTGCTCAGCTCCCGCGTGTGTTCAGCTGCAATGCAAAAACGACCGTGTAAAAAAAATATGCGTGCAAGCTCAGTCATAAAAAGGCAAAATTAGGGGTGTGGCGAATATAATAGAGTTTAGAATGTGAATCATACTGTGACCGACTAAATAATTACATTCGACTTCCGGATTCCTAGAATAGACTCTTTTCAAGAAGTGCATGCCATCCAGTGGCCACTGCACCAATTATCTGAGTCAGCCACTGTTTGATCACATCCTCTGAGCATGCATAGGACATAGAAGCTGCGTCAGCGTTTGGTGAGGACTCAAACACACCCACACGTTTCGTGCCGAGGAAATACTATCACCAATTTTGCTTGATAGGGTTCTGAAAAGGAACTAGTTGGGTTTTCAAAAACTTCAACACACTGAATAGCTGGACAGGATTTGAGCATATTCAAAAATACTGTCCGTACAATAACAGTTCTTGCACCTGCCTCATGCTGGATCTAAATTAAGCCTGCATTGAGAAGCCTTGACCGTCGCACCCCAAGGCGCCAAGCGAGGTGCCGCAGCTAGGGGACTCAAGGTCTGTGGTCCATCCATCCATCCACCACACTGCGTATCCACACTTGAACGGATGGACACATTCTTAAGCTGCGCCTCAAGTTTGTTGTTGTCACATGCGGTTATTAAAGGGACCATTAAAAAAATGTTATCTGTCGTATTTTAACTTTTTTACAGTAAAATACTGCGGAAGCACCCACTTCGTAGTAGCGCCCACTATTAACGTTTTCCATACTTGGGAATTCTGCAAATCATACGTTAAGCGCATACTCCCTCCAAAGCACCGGCATCAGTCGAAAATATTCACCCCCGTTGCAGCGATGACGGGGATATTGTGTGAAAATAAACGCACTCTCTCAGATTCCGTTCACCCAACCTTCTCTTTATTGGTTGCCATCTTGGTTTCTACCAATTTAACCGGACAAGCACCCATATCCAGATTAACCCAGTTTTCAGTGAAAGGGGGGTGGGCTCTTCCTCGGTATCTTACGGTATATTCATTACAAAGACGTTGATTGTTAAGTATTGAAACAAAATATTGTATCTGCATTTTATAAATGGTGTTTAAAAAATCATGGTTTTTGGACTGCTTGCAACAACCACGCAACATACAACGGCAGCATGAGCAATAAAATGTCATGATAGCTATGTAAAAAGGTTAACAAATATTCAAATTTATTTAATATTTATAAAATAAATTAGGAGCAATAAAAACATTGTTATTTATTGGCATTCTTGTATAAGTCGAACGCCACTACATCATGCAATTGGGATGCAGTTTCAAACGCACAACCTCTCAGCGATCAGCACACCTGTTTTGGGACGCTTATTTTCACGGGTTTAGTCAAAGGACGTGGTAGTTTCCCACGACAAACTTTATGGTCGCGAGTTTTTCATTATTTCCCTTTGCCACAATCTTCCTCAGCGGTAACTTGACATGACGCTACTCAGGTATGCAAGGGCGATTTGTTTCGCTTATATTTCCAGCCTTCTCGACCCAGTCTTCTGCGAGCGGATCAGAAATTTTCTGGTCGAAGCGAGAAAGTATTCACGGCTCATTATTTGACGATCTATTGGGGAGGGAGGGAGGGAGGGAGGGAGGGAGGGAGGTGGGGGGGGGGGGGCTCGATCAATTCAAGTTGCAAACGATTCCCTCACAAACTCTCTTCTGTAGCACAACATAGAGCAGCACAAACAACATATGGTGTCAGCATACGGCTTAAAACTTAAAGGTGGATTGAAGTGGTTTCTGAAATCGTCATTTTATGGCGGCAACATGATCTATACGCTGAAAGCAACCCAATAAATCTCAAAATTATAATCGTGCATGGCCTATTTTGCTGTTAAAAACTGTCAGCCTTTCCACTCTGGTGAAGGAGGAAGACCAGCGGAGCTGTACTATGGTGGGATGACCTCAAGGACGACTTCTTCAACGACCTAGAGGACAACGTCTAGGACGAAGTTTAGGACGACCTCGAGGACGACTTTTAGGACGACTTCGAGGAGGATGCCCAGAGGAGGATGCCCAAAGGACGACGCCTAGGACGACCTCAGGGACGACATAGGACGACCTCTTCGACGACGCCTAGACAAATTCAGCTTTTCCACTCTGGTTTTCACCAGAGTGGAAAGTTTGAAAAGGTTGCCGCCATGCATGAGTGACAGCGGCAACCAGACAACCAGCAAGCCTATCGCCTGGTTGCCGCCGTCACCCATAGATGGCGGTAGCTGTCCAGAGTTTTGTGTCGCGATTCATTTGTCCATGGACACAAAACTGGGGAAACCAGCCATTAACAGCTCCGCTGTAAAAGAATGTCCAAAGGTCGCGATCACAACCTTTCTCAGGGCGAATTCCCCAAGTGAAGCGGTCGACGAAGGTGCGAGCGTGAAGATGGTTCAGTGGAGTAAATCCGGATTCCAAGTAGTCCCAAGCTGCCGCTGCCTCGAACGAACTACGTTTCAACAGCTGTTGGCGTGTGCAGGTAATGGACATTCACAATCTGACGCCGTTAGGAGTCGGCGCAAAACGACGTGGCAACCGCGTAGTTTCGCGCAGCGTATTTTCATTTCCTAGTCAATACAAATCATGCGGTCGGTGTGTGTGGTTTGTCTGTGTCGTGTGGTCATGCTTCGAAACAGTGATTTGGAGCAGCGGTTAGCAGTTCGAAAACAAGAAAATGATTGGGGATAACGAGTGCACACCAGCATTTATTTTCTCCGAAATGTTATATGAATGTAGACAGAAAAACAAAAAATCACAACATCGCATTCGTCGAAGCTAGTTTGTCGAAGCTAGCCGCTTGGCAGGTTCGCCAGAGTCGTGTCAAATCGACTCCGGTGAATCCGCTGGGATACTTTGATGGAAGCGATGCACTCGATATTCTGAGCAGACGCCTTTCTGACAGAGGGCCAGTGTGCAATCATCACAGCGATCCTTTCACGTTGACTCAAGAAACTAGCGCGGAGAACAGAGATGACTAAATTACGCAATGTATCGCATTCAAAATTCTGGCACACTTTACGGAGTTATCTGCTCTGAACTGCCCTAAAGCAATATAACACATGAAAACAACAAATTTATAAGTAATTTCAAAACGATAGTTTTCCTATGCAGACACGCCCACTTTCATGTTTGAAAATTTGCAACTTGTTTTGTGCTTCACCCAGGTTAACAAAATTTGGCACAAATGTTCTCAACATCAACAGAAACAAGCCCTGTAAATGTCATTTAAATCAGACAAGTGGTTCAGATATTAACTTTTTTGGGTAGTGTTTCCCCCCTAACATTCTTTTATGCTAAAAAAACTACATTTGTAAAAAAGCGCAGACATGAAAAAAAAAGTAATCTTCTTATTGTTATTTTTTATGAAAAATAATGCAGTATAGCAAAATAAATAGCTGGGTATGTGCTATGGCTATTCCTATGACTATATTACACATAAAAATCACAAATTTTTACTTTATTTCAAAACGATAGTTTTCCTAAGTGAACACATTGACTTCCATATTGTAACATTCATAACAAGTTTCAGGATTGACATAGGACAATGAAATTTGGCAGGAATAGGCTTGCCACTCATATAAACTTCCACCGCAAATTTGATTGAAATCAAGCAAGCGATACGGAAGTTGACTTTTCTGGGTAGTGTCCTCCATTAAGGGCGCCTCGGACAAATAGTGTCCGAGGTCCTCTGACACTATTTGACGCTTTCTGTCATTATTCGTGCACCCTATAACCGAGCAAAGGTGTCCCGATGACCGAGGGACTGTCGCCACTGAAGCCCGTGGCTCTAATTAAGTTTGGGAGTTTAAAAAAGAGAAGAAAGCGGAATCAAAGTTCCGACAATGCATACTCCCAGCACCGGCGAAGCTTATGATCTGGCATTTTCACTCCTTTTATGCACCAGCAAGAGAGAAAGTGCCGGTAGCCCTTTTCTCCTTTTCTCTTCCCCTCTTTCAGTGAAATGTCCTATAGTTGAGGAATAGTATTGATAACCACATATTTTTCTGGTGGAATGCATACTAGAATACCTGTTGCCGGTTACTATGAAAAGAAATTTGAGAAAATATGTGTTTTTCAAATAAAAAAAGATTTCTGAAATTTCTTTTTTTTTTTTACATCTATTAAGTTTTGCAAATTACAATTTTTCATAATAAAGGAACATGAAAATGCAAAATATAAGTTCAGAGTAACCGGCTCCATAAAGTTTTGGTATATAAGCCGCAAAAATTAAGTCTCTTGATAGTTTCGTACTGATAAGAATATTTATTAAGTAAAATTTAGGCCAAAAAGAGGAACAGAGAAAAAAGCGTTAAAAGTGCTAGAGCTTCTACCTTTTCTTCAGCATTGGTGGACTGAAAATAATTAATAAAAAAATAACTATGCAGTGTAAACAAATTAAACTTTCGCGGAATACTCTAGATGTTGGCAGGTGTAAATATGACATTTTTCAAAATAATTTTTTTTTTTTTTTTTTGCAGAAATGTTTTTACTGGGTAGTGGCCAGATATTTTGTTGATTAACATAATCTTTGTTAACATAGTTAACCTAGTTAACATAGTTAACCTAAACCCTTAACATAGTTTTTATTTGCGTGCGTTTTATTTGCGTGGTTTTTGTTTTACATGCCCCGCATAAGAATAAACAGAAAGGCATTATTTTTCAGTCTGTGGCTTTTTTTTTTCTTTTTCAGTTTCCGTACATTGCATAATGCATATAAAGGAGTTAGGACACCAAAACTAGACGGGTAGATTATTCTTGAAAACGAATAGCGGTAGGCTACTCAGTATATACACAGAGTTTCGCGATTTTTAGAGCTCTTTTAATTGCAGTAGTAACTAATTTATGAATGCTGATCATTTTCGTCTGGCGACTAGGCAAGAATGCTAAAGTCAGTCGCACCATGTTGTCCATAAACCACGTAATTTTTAGTAGAACACACTCTCATTCCTTGTGTACCCGCCCGCCCAAGCTCGTCTTGCCACAGTATGATAGCAAGCACTCGCGCTACTTGGCTACTCCAAAGCTATATAGTCTCGCTCTCGTCCCCTTGCCCTTTGATCTTCCACCCTGCATGCACGTTCAAGACCGTCAAGGACGACGAAGTGTTCGTCCGTGACGATGTCGTTGTCGTCGCTGGAGCTGGTCGCCAGCAGGTCACAGTCAATATGACCAGCTTCCAACATGTTTTGATAACAATCACTCTCATCGCTGCTGCGAGCAATGCCGAAGACGTCTTCGTCTCAAAACAGTGTGCTCAAAACGCGGAAAATAAACAAGGAAGCTGAAGCACGAGACGCCAAGAGAGCCAAGTTTGCAATCATGTACAAGGGGACGCTGCGCGTTGCGCGAATGACATCGCCAACCCAACAAACACGGTGGCCTTTTTCAAATGGGGTGAATCCGAGGCTCCCACACATAAATAGATTTATCCACGAAAATATCGGGCCATAAAACGAATTTAGCAAAAATATAGGGACATACAATGGATCCTTGCAGTATAGTTATCTCATACTTTATCTTTGGCGTGTCTTAAAGGCGGACCAGCAGAAATATTCTACCGCCTGGCGGAAATTCCTCCTCGCCCTCTTTCTTTCGTGTATTGTAGCACAGCGAGGCGAGGGGAAAGGTCCCCTTTTGCGCCGGCTTCTTCTGAGAGGATAAGCCGAGAAAATCTCCATGCTGAGTGACGGGCGATGGGTGCGGCAGCAGCGACCTCGTGACTTACAGGTAGCTTCAGCTCCTATCGCGTAATCTGCCCCATTTTTCGGCGCTCACCAACCCTAGCCCCTCGGGTGTAGGTTTTTGCGGAGCTGCAAGGCTGCACCCGCGCACTCGCCGAATTTCAGCTGTCGAAGGTCTTTGGTTTTGCCCGTGGCAAAATAAACATACACTTGAGAGCTGCGATGCATCCCCGCACCCATTGAAGGCACATTCCACAGATATTCTCGGTTGATCAAGGAGCTCAAAAAACATGCGCGAGAAGTGGTGACTTGAATATGTAAGGATGACTTACATCTTTACAAAACATTCCATCTTAAAAAAAACGGCTTATCGCGCTCAAAACTGCCTCAAATTAAGATTGATGGAAAAGAAAGCGTTGTACCAGGCGCGGGCATCTTTTAGAAGGTCTTTGTTCTCTAGCAGCGAGCACAAATATTATGTGCGTAACTTACACAATATGATGGCCAACGAATGTACGTGACATTTATATTTACGCATCCCAGCAACCACATGAGGTGAGAAGACAGCAATGGTGTGTGTTGATACTAAAAAGTTTTAGTGGATCGTCTTTAGCTCTTGGATAACCGCACCCTACGACAATATATAAGCTATAACCTTTCTGTGAGCATTCTTGATCGAGTGCAGCTATCGAAGCGTCTGGTGTTATAGTTCAACGTTGCTTAAATCGGTGCTATAGCACGTGCTGCCACTTTAAAGTATTATTGAGGCATTAAAAATAAAAAATAAATAAATCAAATGTAGCCGATTTTTTTAACATGATACGCGTTTGTAATTTGTCTTTGCAAACACATTTTAAGTATACTGCCACACAGCACGGACAAACTATTGCCGGTCTTTCTAATTTTGTTTTTTAGAAATAAATTATGTTTAGAAAACTGTCAATGCAACTATCCAACCTAAGCGGCAGAGCTCAGTGCTAGACAATACATGTTGCTGGGCAGAAATAGTAAATAGCGCCGATGTCGCGTTCGGGCTAAAAGTGCCACGTAATGCACGCGTACCGCTATAAGTGCGTCCGTACATTTCATCGAACGCCATTTCATCGAACGCCGTTTCATCAAAGCCGTTTCATCGAAGCCGTTTCGTCGAACACCGTTTCATCGAACGCCGTTTCCTCGAACGCCGTTTCAAAGAAGCCGTTTCCTCGCCTTTTCATCGACCAACGTTACAGTGTGTAATATTTAGGAATTTACTTTAATTTTATACAGAACTTCATCTAATTCTCTCCTTTTTTGTTTCTGTTTTTATATCACTGGGTGCAGTGACGAGATAAGTTCCATCGTGAACATTTCCTGCTTCGAGAAGAAGCCTCCATGAAACGACCCCTCTCCATGTCACATAAAACAAATAAAAATGAGGCAAAAACAGAAAGCACGGACACTTAAACGTGTTCTAAATGTCTGTCCTTTATTTGCAGTGTCGTGGTTTCAGTCATATATGTATATGAGTAAAGATTTTCAGTAAGTCGCATACCCAATTGTTTTTATTTCTTTTTATGCTAATTGCTTTTATCTTTAGTAATTTGACACCACCTTCAAAACAATTTCACAAGTGACTATCTTAGTCTTAACAAATGCAAGGTGAAACATCTATAAAGCACTGTTATGCCCCAAAACTCGGTACAGAGCCATAACAGAGAAATTCGATGAAACGGCCCTTAGCGATTCGATGAAACGGCGTTCAATGAAATGTCCGTTCATTCGATAAAACAACTTTCTATAAAATGGCGAAAAAGAGAGGTTCAGGCTTGGTCGGAGATAGCTACGGTTACACTCGTACGCTTTTTCAGTTCTATCTCGCATATATAAGCTTCTTGCTCAAATAAACATTGGCATCTGACTTTTCGCTCATCTTGGCCTTTAGCGCGACTGTTAACAAGTTCTAAAACAGTCAAAGCAAAAGTGATTTAATTAGCTCAGGATTATAGGTTGAGCGAAATATTTACAAAGTTCGAGGTCCCCTGAGTCGTCTTTTGTATTCAATCCGCCCCCCCCCCCCCCCTCACCACCACTTCCTTCCTCTAAATAAACAACGTAGATTATTTTATGAACCACCAGTAATGGAGCGTACTCGCAAAACGTCTATTTGGAGTAAGAAAACGTAACAAAGGCCTTGTTTAAATGTTTGAGCAATGAACTGGTCTTCTTACTGTGCGTGACACAGCTAGCACGAACACAATATTGACATTTTTACGGAAGGGCCATGCAGAATTTAGTGTAGAACAAATTGATGCCTCGTAAGTTGGTGCCCAACGGAAGCACTCTTTTTACCGAATTGCTTGTTTAAAAATAACAACTTTTCAACCATAAAAATAAAACAAAATAACGCCACTTCTTTGGGGGCCACTAAATTTACTGATTCACTCCGTTAGCATTGATTGTGCAGCGGTATGCGTACATTACGCGACACTGTTAGCGCAAACACGACATCGGCGCTTTTTGCTATTTTCCCCAGCAATGTATCGACTCGCACTAAACTCTACCGCTTAGCTGGGATACTCGCATTAACAGTTTCCTAAACATCATTCAGTTCTAACAAGAAAAAAAAAAGTGGGAAACACCGGCGATTGTTTGTTTGTGCTAACTGCGTGGCGTAGGGTACCTAAAAGTTTTTTACAATGCTAAATACAATTCTGTGTCACGTTAAAAAAAAATTTTCTGCTTTTGTTTTAGTTTCTTTGAGACACACAAATACTTCGAAGTGGCGGCCCGTGCTATGGTACCGATACAAGCAACGCTGAACCATAACACGACACGTTGGACTCGCCAAAAAGGGTTATAATATTGTCTTTTCCGCTCCATAGCCGCACTCGATAAAGAATGTAAAGAGCAAATCTAGCTTACATTTCGTTCTGGGGTACGGACCGTACGGTTATCTAAGTGGCTAAAAGTGACCCACTAAAACTTTCTAAAATTGACATCCACCCTTGATGCCCTCTCACCTCAGGTGGTTGTTGGGAATGTGTAAATATGAATTTCATACATTTCACTGGCCATCATGTTCCGCGAGTTAGGCACACAACAGGGCATTTTAGTAAATCGTTTTCAAAGGCCCGCTGCCACTTCAGGCGCGTGCTTCAGAGAATGCATCGAAGTGGCAGCGCGAGCTTCCGCTAAATATATGTGGCCTGAAAACATAGTCTGCTAAAGTTCTCCAATAATTTGTGCTCGCTGCTAGAAAACAGAGAACTTCTAGAAGATTCCCGCGCCTGGTGCATCGTTTTCTTTTCCATCGATCCCAATTTGAGGCAGGTTTGAGCGTGATAAGCCGTTTTTTTAAAGATGGAATGTTTTGTGAAGATGTAAGTCATCCTTACATATTCAAGTCACCACTTCTCGCGCATGTCTTTTGAGCTCCTTGATGAACCAAAAATATCCATGACACGTTCCTTCAATGGGTGCGGGGATGCATCGCAGCTCTCAAGTATGTGTTTATTTTGCCGCAGGCTAAACCAAAGACCTTCGACAGCTGAAATTCGGTGATTGCAGCTCCGTAAAACCTACACCCGAGAAGCTAGGCTTGGTGAGCGCCAAAAAATGGGGCAGATTACGCGATAGGATCTGAAGCTACCTCTAAGTCACGAGGTCGCTGCTGCCGCACCCATCGCCCGTCGCTCAGAATGGGGATTTTCTCGGCTTATCCTCTCAGAAGAAGCCGGCGCAAAAGGGGACCTTTCCCCTCGCCTCGCCGTGCTACAATACACGAAAGAAAGAGGGCGAGGAGGACTTTCCGCCAGGCGGAAGAATATTTCTGCTGGTCTGCCTTTAACCCCTCTAAGGATCTGGTATTCAATATTCTATTCGACATTAGACATTTTGGCTTCCATTCAGCGCTATACAATTCGAAATCGAATTGAGCTGAAATTTCACTAGTCGGACACCTCCGGGCATAATTAATTGCTAATCCTGGATATCATTTTAGCGTGGAAGTATATCCAGCACACTATGACCCACACCATACCAAAAGTAAGAAGCAATAGAGCACAATTAGAAGATTATGCAATAATAGCTTGCACAAATATTTGATCAAGCACCCAAAGCAGAACAGAAAATACCTGTTGCCACAATTATTGTTTGAAACTTACCATTGTTATTACTTGTGTTGATCAGGAGGCGAAGCCCCGACATGATCTCCAATCTTAAATCTGGACGGGTATTCAAGTAGATGCCAAGTGTCCGGGCAATCCCAGCAAAAGACTGTGGATGAGGAAATCATGGAAATGTGATGCACAGCATTTCAACCCACAATCACAACCTGTTCAGATTTTGAGGAAAGCCGAATACAAATAGGTTGCTTATAAAAGGAAAAAAAGAAAAGAAAAAAAGATGATATATCTTTTATTTTCAGTGGGACCACTCTGGTATGCCCAAGGTAATACAGGTATGTGTATTAATTTCCCATTAACTGCATTTGCCTTTTTGGCTGGTATGTCCAAAAACTATGTCCGATACAGCAGGTGCAAAGTGTTGGGTCACGCGGCCGTGGCCACCCTCTTCCTTTTGCTCTTCCCCCTTTCTTACTGCTCGCCTCTCTGCACCGTGCTTCTTGCCCAGGCAGGCATGATCTTCAAGTAGGACAGGGTTTTGGCTTATGCAAATGCCTGATCATCTTTTCACTTCTTTTTCCAGTATCTGTACACACTTCTGCTGCGCTTGGTGGCTTGGCTGCCCCAGTTGCGCTAGTTTTGTTTCGCGCGGTACTTGGAGTTCATAACTGTGCACCGCCACCACGTGCTATGCGTTCGTGGCGAGCGTGCTTCGAGCCTCCTCCCTTCACACCAGCATGCTAGGAGCAGCGGCTGATGCATCTGCATTAGATCGATGGGCTAGAAAATTTTGCTAATCTTTAGTCTTTAGTTATGATTACTACACATAAGCCCCTAGTTTTAAACAGATAAAAAGAAATGTCAACCTATAGACCAGGGGTGGCCAAACTGCAGCTCGCGAGCCTTACACGGCTCTTCGGGGTTTCAAGTGCAGCTTGATGCTCCCTGGTAAACCCACCCCCCTGCAAAATGAAAAGGACAGACGAAGACAAAAAGGCAAATTGCGTTCCGTCAGCTTTGTGCCCTCATACGCATATTACATGTCCTTGTTTTACAAATGGGTACTCACAATAAAGAAACACATTGAGCTATCGTTTTATGAGTGGAATTGGTCGTAGCCACATATTGAGAAGACTTGTCTTTAAGAGTGCCACACACCCCTTTTATTGCGGCTTTTCACTTAAAATGGCTCCCTTTTATGGTTCTTTCAGTTTGCTTGTCTGGCCACCCCTGCAATAGACCTTTTTACCCTCCATCACAAGGGCGCTGCTGGAATCGCGTGACGCGGCCGCCATAAGGTAGCTTCAACTTGTCGCTCCGCTCTCCCCTCCGCGCCCTGGCAAAAGCATCCTATTTGTGTTTTTCGTTGCAATCTACAATGTTTCTTTACCTACTCTTGAAAATGTTGTATGATGCTTATCTTTACTACCTAACTGTATTTCATCGTTATGTACACAACTTCTTTAGTTAAAGGGGCACTGACACCCCAAAGGTCGTATTGTTTTTTATTGTCTAAAACGATGCAAGTTGTAGTCATAGACACGCAAAAAAAAAACGCATCGAAAAAAAAAAAAATTTCCTTGCGCGCGCGCCTTTTTATTTTTGCTGTTTATATTTCCCGCGCTAACCTCCTTGCTTCTTTTGATCGGTGACGTCAAAAATCAGAAAATTTAGAAGCTTTGTAGGCGACATTTCTATAACATTTAATAACGGCAATTGTAAAACATGTTTTTTAACGCAATGAGGAACGCTCTACGGCCTTTCTTTTTGAAATACCAAAAGTCAGATTTCGGTGTGATGTTGCTTCTTGAATTTGTGTTCTCCCTCGGAAACCTTGGCGGCGCTCGAGCAGAGGCTTATCGCTGAGTCGGGGAAGAAACCGGTTTTTCCCCGCGCCGGCTCCCTTCTATCCCGCCTGCTCACCTCCTCCTCTCTTCGGGTCGCGGTAGCAACGGCGCTTTGCTTCACAGCGTGGTGCGGAGGTCCGAAAGAAAGTCGAGTCGCAGGAGACCGCAAAATTTTACTCACTGCACTGGCGCGGATCGTGCGGGAACTTCAAATTCGGCATTTGGAAATTGTTTTTTTTAAATTCACAAATACTGAATTCCCAAGTTTTGGATTTTGAGGGTAATGTCCCGGCATCATTTTCAATCGTTTCGGATAAGAATATAAATTACGATTTTGATGTGTCAGTGCCCCTTTAAGGGAGATTCAGCTTCTGAACTATTCAAGTGATCGGAATGAAATTCGCAGGGGAGATTTAATGTCAGATGTAGGTGCACTGTGCAAACTTTCAGCTCTTTAGGACAACTTTACATACCTGCATAAGAAGATGTGTCACTCTTTGTTAAAATCTATGATATGCATTTTGACTGCTAGAATATGAAGTGGGAGATGTGGGACTTCGGGCTATCTAGCCTTTATAACCCAAATGTAAATATTTCAGAAAGAGTGATTACCTCAAAATATGAGATGCAAACCTGTCCTATGTCAATTTTTTAAAACATATATATTTTTTTTTTTTTCTAATGAGGACTTTAATTTACAGAATGAAGTAGATAGCCCGAGTCCCCACTAAATTTCAGCTCAGAACCATCTTGATTGTGGTATCAGAACACTTTTACTTTCAAACAAAAGACTCCTTCGTATGAAATCTGTAGCAAAAAGTAGAACTGAGAAAAATGCATTCAAACATTGAACTCCTTTACATTGAACTGCGCGTGAACGACCGGCTGACCAGTCCCACTCGTCCACGTGGGAACCCATTGCTCGCCTCACAAGCGGCGTCCGTCATTCGACCATATTCAGCAAGGTTCGGTAGCGCGATTTGTTGTTCTGCGCCAACGGCAAGTGTCGGGAACTTCGATCACTTTTTTAATATGCAAATCGGCTGCGCATGAATGTAATTTCAGGTTTTTTAGAATGATTAGAGCCCGTAGATTGAGTTATGACAATAAAATGAGGATTTTAAAAAGCACTTTAGTGCCCTTTTAACAGGACACTGACAGGGTATTTATGCATGCCAAAGTTTTTATTTGAACATAACCTATGAGAGCCCAACAACCCAGAACACAATTTACGGCTCGAAATTCATACTCTTTCTGTCCAAAAACGACCGATCGAAAATAGACCTTTTGCCGAATTACCCAAGCATCAAAAAGAATGCCGGGAACGCGTCTGCAGCTGTTCGAAAACAAAAATCGAAAGCAAATGGCACTTCACACGTGTGTTCCACAAACGCTTTAGCTCGGTTATTTACTGATTCTTTTGTAAAAGGAAGGCGAGCTCATGCAGCGCGTGTACCTACATTCCCAGCATTCTCTTTGATGCTTGGTTAATTTAGCGAAAGGTCTATTGGCCGGCGACAGGCGTGCGCTCTTCCTTTTCTATGGTCACGTGCCATTCAATCTGATGTGTACCAAATATATTCAGTCGTGGGTCATCAAGGCACACATTCACTATTAAAAATAGAAAAGAATATGAACCTTATTTTTTGTGGCTTCCAAGAAGCTGCAAATACGTTGATCGAAAAAAATTGTTGCACAGAACACAGGAAGTACATGTACTATCGAAAATAATACGAGCGTGAACGCGCCTCCACTTGTCGCCGCAGAGGTGCGCTCACGCTCATATTGTTTCCGATAGTACAGTCAGCATGAAATGAAACCCAAACGCCAGAACGCGTGGCCATTGACACAGGCTGCTCCACTTGGAGGGTCCCTGAGAACTAATGAAAATGCGCCGGGGTGCGAGGGTGCGGGTCCTACTAAGATGAACTCGAGCCTCGTGCGGCGCGTCTGTGACTTCCGCGTTTCGCCGGTGGTGCGCTGTAAGCGCCGTCACATCCGATACACAAAGCACCGTCACTCGCTTTGTGTATCGCCAGCGATATCTCTTCAGCGCTGTCATTATTTATCGCTTTGTGTATCGCAAGGGCGAAATGAAAGTTGAAACATTTCGTGCAAAGAAGACACGTAGTGCTTGATGACGTTTCACCGGAACCACGCTGGGGCTCCGGTGAACAACGTGCCACGCGCGGTTTCTGAGAAATAGTGAAACGTCATAGAGGCGAAATAAAATTTGTTTATTTTCAGCACCATGCACACTCTTTATGAAAAAAAAAAAAATGCTGCAACAGACCGACGCAGATGCCTTGGTTTTTATAAGCATGCTCGTGTTTTCGTGCGAGGTTATCGGTCGATTCTTATAAAAAGCGAGGAATTACTCGCCGACCCTCTTTTTGTAACCACCGATATGCCAGGCATATCAAGTCTGGAGCGGAATAAATTCATCATCCTGTCTGAGCAGGGCCTATCGCAAAGAGCTATGGCCAGGTTAAGCGGCCGCCCGGTGTCGACTGGGCGACAGTGCGACTCACAAAAAGCACCCCAAGTAACGGCGCTTTCAGCACGCCACAGGCGAAACGCGGAAGTCCCAGACGCACCACGCAAGGGTCGAGCTCATCTTAGTAGGACCCGCACCCTCGCACCCCGGTGCATTTTCATTAGTTCTCAGGGGCCCTCCAGGTGGAGTAGCCTGTGTCGATGGCCACGCGTTCCGGAGTTCAGGTTTCGTTCCGTGCTAACTGTACAGTCAGACAGATTTTTCGGACACCGAAAATTCAGACTTTCTCATTATTTCGGACATCAACAAGGACCATATAGACTTCTTCCAAAACCGACGCGCCCCATCACGGCGAAATCCCACGCAGTGCACTCTGGGAACTAGTTGGCCAATCAGTTTCGGTTTAGACTGAGCAGCTTCATCTCATGCTATCACGTTGCGATCGAACGCGCCGCTTGCGTATTCGATTATCTGACTTTCTACGAATGTACAATACACTCATTCTCGAGCGATACCAAACGAGGACCAGGGCACTCGCCTTGGTTCCCGAAACACCGGATATTGTGCGTGCGTGTGAAAACGTAGTAAGACGTGGCTTAGTTACCTCACCCCACGAGTGCACCTTTGAACTCAATGTCAGTAATCCCTTCCAGTACCAGTGAACTACAACTGAAATTTGGTCGCCTTGAGCCGTACACAAATTTTGTTTGCCAAATGTACGCTTCTTGTTACTTCATTGGACGAAAAGCAAGCCGTATCCTCACAGGAATATCAAAGTTGAGCCCAGCGTTGGCTCATGAACTTTTAAGGAAACGCAATAAATTCGACCTCACTACTGCACAAAAGTTACTATGATGTCTTCCTCGTGTCATCACATATCTCACACTCAAATTTTATGCTGATAAAAGATTAAGTTTTCGCAAACGCTGAAATCGGCTAGCTACGACGGGGGCCCTAACAAGCGTCCCCTACTCCTCACTAAGCCTTTCTGGACGAGCTTTTACTGACGCCCAAGATCTGTTTCTGAATGGTTTGTCTGAAGTTATCTCGGCATTCTCAGTCAGGAAGAAAGCAAACACATAACATTCTTTCTTCACTTTTTCCTCAGGTAAGTTCACTCTTTGCAAATTTTACAAAAACAATGCACCATCTGTGGGCAACGCTGCACAAAGTCGTAGCGTGATAGGTTAAGAAACAAAATTTTGCGGTCAATTTAAAGAGCCTGGCGTCTCCTTGAATCACCCTGTAGTATCTAGTCAAGCATTGAGCACAATTTTTTATTGAGTAGATGTTTCCCTAGTGTTCCTGAAAACGAAGGCGGGTTACTTTTAATTACCTTGAGGACTGATCTACTGACTGAAAAACTGACCAGATATTTACAATCAACATGAAAAACTGAACAAGCTTGTGCACTTTCAGTGGATACAGTTAAACAATAAAGAGAAAAGCTCCAAGATTAGTGTTTCCTCTTAATAAGTATGGCTTTAAAATGACAAACACCTAATTAGTCACTAAGGAAATGTGGATGCAGTATGTTGCTTTCTACCACTCAGCACCAGTCACCAGGCTGTCCCATCTCTGTGTAAACTGTACCTCCTGAACATCCGTTGTCCCTGTGCAGAATCCTGGGAGCAGAGACCAAACCTGCTTCTCCAGAACCTCGTAGGTCTTCACAATGGCCAGGCTCTGGTCCTGCTTTTCCACTGAACACAACGAGAATGGGAGGAGAGTCAAGTACAGGTTGCTTACATCTCTGCTCAGCAAAGCTTACCTTGTTTGTGGAGAGCCTCTGCTAGTGGCAGGAAGTATGATGCAAAGAATGCTAGCTGCGTGTTCCTCACGTTGTCCCTCAAGATGGGCAGGAGCCAACTTCGATCAAAGTCGAGGGGGCCACTGGAGGGCGAGGAAAAGATACAAATCACGTGTGAACATCCGGGACGAGGAAGGAAGTCAGCCGTTAAAAGCACAAGGACAAGCCCATTCCCAGCCACACCCTTACACATTCCATATCTTTTATTTCCCTAAAATCTCTTCATAACTCATTGAGTCTCGGATGTTAATAACACAACAATGCGACAAGTCCAGTTAAAAAGTTTTGCTCACTCTACTCCCATGAGCTTCAGTGGGATGGTCTCCAGCACGGGTCCCGGCCCCATTGTTTTGATGGCAGAGCCGATGGCCCTTTCAATGACTGCGTTGTTCTGGGAGCTCGATGAGTCACGCATCTCGCCCATCAAGCGCAATGACTAAAAAGAAAGAAAAAAAAAATACCCAGCAGCCCAAGACGCAGTGAAATTATAACCATGAGAGTATTCCACAAAATGTATACAATTGAAACTCAATTTTACAAAACCCGATTTTACGAATTTTCCGATTTAACAACAAATTTGAATTCCCCGCGCAGCCTATGCGCGAGGTCTCCCTCCTCGATTTTAAGAAGTTCCCGATTTAACAAAATAGTTGGCGGGTCCTGGTGACTTTGTTAAATCAACGTTCAACTGTACTACATATAGCTGCGAGACGAACCTCCTTCATGTGGGAATGGAAGAGCTTGCCCAGCACCTGGAAAAATAAGAAAACACGAAGACTATGCACTATGCTTTGAGCCTCCCTCATTAGCAACTGAATTACTACAGCAAGCCCGCCATAAGTGAAAAAGACAAGGTAAGCCCTTTACCTACCTCAAAGCATGCTGCCCACACAAAGAGGACCTGGTCCCAGACAGGAGAGAACTGGTAGTGCAAGGCTCGGTGCAGCTGCTCTATCACTTTCACGCAGGGCAATGCACTTCTGCCATCCATTGCTGCCACCTCAGCGGGTGTCAGTTTAATGATGCATGGCTCAAGGCCCTTTTGCACCAGTGCCTATAAAATGCAAAGAAATATGGACAAGCTTAGAGTACTGAAGGATCTCAGTGCATACTGACCAAACATGAAAAAAGAGAAACAAGAGCGGAGCTGAATGCGCTGCAACACTGCATGCGCAAATAAGATGTTAATAGCACTCAGTCACATCGTTCAGAGGCTATGCCAAAAACTAAAGGTCTATCGAGCAGAATAAGTCATGCATTAAAAAAATTCTAACTCATGGAGTATTTCAACAGTAGCCTTTCATATGAAAAACGATGAGGGACCCCATTGATAAGTCCACCTGCACTCGAATTGTTACAAGTGCTGTTTGTACTACTGACATGCACTCACACAAACAAACGCCACAACACAAAGAATCTGTAATAGCAATGCAGCTGAAGTGGGAGTTACACAACCGTAAAAAGCAATTACAAGAAAATGTATGGTTTTCTCATAAAAAATAAATGTACCAGCTTAGACCATTGCAGTCCCCAAAAGCCTAGCTGCTGAAGGTTTGGAAAACTATTAAAAAGAAAAAAGTTAAGCAATTAGGGCCTCATGCACTTTGACACTGTTAGCACAAATATGAGATCACATCTATTCAAAAGGCAGTGCCAAACTCTAAAGGCTGCCGAACAAGGCAATATCATCCATATACAATTAATTCTAAAAAAATAGTTTAAAAGCAACCTTCCAGCTTCACAAGACAAATGCAAGACACCGACGACCGACGACAAAAGCACCAGCTTAAGTGCCAACCCACAGCTAGGAAGCTAGACTTCAGCACTAGACGACAAAACTAACCGTGAGAACAGAGGCCACTGTGTAATGGACAGACGTCTTATCGCATCGCCAGCAGTTGACAGCCAGGCCGACAAATTTCGGGAGGTTGCTCAGGAAGAGTTTATCCGAGAGCCTAGTTAGACAAAGAGAGTGCAAAATGGATGTGGTCACTAGAATATTGCATCAACATCAGTATTTTGCAGAAGATAATATGTAACAGGATGAAACAGTGCACACACCGCTGTAGATTCAGGAATGCTTCCTGCATCATCCCAAGCCACACATCGAGCAGTTTGGCATCGTGGATCCGAGGCTGGTAGTCATAGAGAGCCTGCAAAAAGCTCACAGTCAATACTCTGATGTACCAGAGTGTCGAAGCGAAATTTTCATTGGTTTTGTTCGGGATTATGGCTTTCGATTCAGTTCCAAGGAGCAAAAATAATGGTTCAAACCGGTTTGAACCTCTAAATTGAGAATATATTTTCTGCATTGTTCCGGCATAACAATTATTTACCCCGTGAAGCGATTAACTATATCCTTTTCTTCTATCATTCATACAATCCACTTTTATTTTCAAGTAACAAAAATATAAAAGCCCCATAAGCCCCATCCTTGGATATGCCACTGCTACAAAACATGTGACAAAGGTCTTCAAAAGACGTTAGGGGGGGCAAAAAAATCCACAAAGTCCACCACAGGTGCCATAAAACATGTGTGGTAGACAATGGTAAAAACTCCCAAGAACATACTCGGTACATGTTCCAAGTTAAGCATGATTATCAGTGTACTGTATATGCCAATAGTACTCACATTGACCAACTGGGCATTCAGCTCAGGTACCAAGGCTGTAGGCGAGGGCTTCGAGCCGAAAAAACTTTGAAGAGTCAGCATCCCACAACGAACGACTGTCTGGAGAAAAGCAAGTGATGCCAATGACCCACACCGAAACGCAAGGGTCAAACAGAACGCGAGTCAACAGATATTGTGCCTTCCAACACCGAGATGGCCGAGATGCAGCCAGTATGATGCACTGACCGGGTGTCCCACAGCCATGACTTGAAGAAGAGTCTCGCACGTAGCTTTGATCTGAGCTTGCGGGAAGTGTGCCAGGGCACCCTTCAGGAAGCCAAACGCATGGAGCGTAGACACAGGCAGGGAAGTGGCTGTGCAAGAAAAAAAACTTCTACTCCGAAGCTAGCCAAAGGATACAAGTGCCCGACATCAAATTCCACTCACCCGAAGCTGTTTCAATCAGCTTGATGCAGAAGTCGGCAACCGCCGGTGACGCTGGATGTGCGACTGGAGCACCTGTCTGGAATGCACTTCCTACGAGGACTCTGCAAATGGCCCTCTGTGCAAACTTCCGCAGCTTCAAGAAAGAAAAACAACAAACAAATCTAAGGGTGGGAGTGTCATCAAAAAGTAGTCCGTAGAAACACATGGCATGGCAAAAGTGCACAGATCCTGAAGCCCAGGGCATGCTTGCACAGCAGAGTAAGAGCTAGGGGAAGTCAAGAGTGCACCTAATGCAGGGTCCCCTACCTTTGGTTTGCTGTCCGTGATGAAGGGGAACATTGCACTGAAGACTTGAATAGTGGAAGAATCATTCCAGGCAGCTATCTCCAAAGATTTCAGACAGGTAGCCAACAAGCTTAGCAGCTGAAACACAGAAACTAGTCAACAGAAATAAGCTGCAATAACTAAGGCCAAATCATCATAGCTAAATAAAACAAAAAATTTAAAAGCAAAAAAACAAAAAACAAAAAAACAAGCCATAACAGGCTACTTATAAAGTCATCTGCTTCAACCAATGACCAACTTCACTAATAATAAAACGAGAACCATGAGGAATTTTAGTTAACCCCTTAAGTGCCAATTTTTTTTTTTCAAAAAGTAACCTAAAACGCCAGATTTTTTTTTATTTTGAATTGTTACTCCTCTAGTATTACACATAAAATTTGAAAAGTTTATTACGCAAAAATCAGCAGACGCAAAAAAAATATTTGCCAACTAATATGAGTGCTGCCATCCATGATCAGCGCCGCAAAACAACTCGGAAGAGCTAGGCTCGTACGAGGAATTGAGGGCAACCGAAAACACCACTGGACGAGCTGAGCCCGTCCACGGCATTTTTAGCCAGAAAGTGGCCGACGAGCTCAGCTCGTACAAGGCACTTAAGGGGTTAATGAGCAATGCTCATTTAATGGGGAAACCTACATTTCGCAGGAGCATCACATGAGTAGTGTTGGAGTAAGACTGCAGGAAGTTGATGCACATGGTCGTGATCCATGAAAATTTCTTGCGCAGAACTGCCGTCGGCAATCTGCGACAAACACATCAAAACAAAAATTTTGCGACTGATCTTTAAACCTTCGTTCAGCTTCACGAGGAAAAAAATGTAACTTGGAGAAAGAAAGAGTAAAGGGACACCGCATGCTTACAAAACAATTTTAACACAGAACGTGCTATATGTCTGGTACCCAACAGTTTCCCGTTTCCTGTTCCTGTGGCAGAAGATCATCGCACGAGTGCTGCATCACAATTTGGCTGAAACTTGAGTGGATCCGAGTTACAACCGCGGGTCGTATCATGTGATCACACAAAGAGAGCAACGCTGGACGCCAGCAAGTTTTCAAACGCCAAGGTACAAACCCTTTACTCTGAAATGAGACTACAGTAAAATACCAGAGAAGCGCTCACCCCACTTCCACTGAAACCTGGGTTAATCTAAAAATGGGCGCTTGTGTGGTCAAATCGGGCGCTTAACGTATAAGTTTCAGATTTCCCACAGTTGGAAAATGTTAATAGCAGGTGCTTGAACGAAGGGGGTACTTCCACGGTATTTTACGGTAAGTATATTTTTAAATACGGCCCCCTGGGCTGGCCTGCAAGAAACAAAGCCTGAGCTAAGACTGCGTGAAAGAAAGCCTGCCAAGTCTGGGGTACCACGAGACTCGTCTTTATGTGCCACTCCACTCATGTGCTAGATATGGCAGGGCTTTTTTTCAGACACTATGCACAATGATGTTTGCACCGTCAAGGAATAAAATGTGTTTTTTAAGACCCTCCATGCAACATCATCGCTGCCTTTGCCACCATAATGCGGGAAAGGGGCACACTTTTCAAATATGCCTCGATAGGCCATTAAACAAATAATACCTGCTGGCGAAGATGGCCAGCAGTGCTGCAGCAGCAGTCCTCTTGAGGTCTGTGTCAACAGATTCCAGCGTCGTCATCTACAAAAAGACAAACAACATTTTACGCCACAAAGAAAGGCTCTCTATTTAAAAATTGGCAATAAGCTACGCAGAAACACTAAGTACCAGAACTGCAAAATACTCCGTGTCCGAAGCCTGGCCACCGCTCATCCGGATAACTTCTGTGGCAGCAGCATACAGAGCCATCATTTCCTGATGCAATGCTGACTTGTGGTCCCAGTGGGAGAGGAACCTACACAAAATGAGACACTCAACAAGGCTGTCCAATGTCCAAAGGATTTACTAGAAGTGGAAATGGCAGATATTTAAAAAAAGAATATCAGGGTATTTTGATATAAGCCATCATAGTGGACCCAAGCTGTGGAACCTTTTCAAGAACAGCTCATGACAGTTAGCCTGTACATTTAATCACTAATTTTGCTGATTTTCTCACGTCTCAAAGACCGCCATCGATCCAGCTAGCCAGTCTGGTAGAGTGTGCTTATGAGTGGGACCAGCCAAGAAAGTTCGGAAAAATTAACATTGGTTCTGTTTATGCCAAATGACCGCTTATTGCTTTACTCAGAAAATATAATGATCATGGTAATTAGAAGCTAATGAGTCTCGCATTAACGGTATCATTTCTTTCGTTAGAGTTATCCATTCCATTTCTTCTGTTATAAGCATTTAGCAGAGTGGGTTATCTTAAAGGGCAATTCCACTCCATTTTTAAATTTTTGGGTTATGATCCGTTTAGTCGAAATCGACGGCCCTGAATCACGAGATATAATTTGTTTTTCAGTAGTGTGTCTAGTTTTGTCGATATCGCGCATCCAAGTTTCGTTCCGGCGATACGGCAAACCGAAACTACCAGCTCAAGCAGCTTGGCAAGACTGATAATCGGCGGCACGTCGACGGCGTGACTTAGATCTCGTCCTGCGCTCCTGAGCTGATGCACCGACACTTCCGGCTCAGTTGCACATGGAGTTTCAAAACAGAAGTTGCACATTTTCTTTTTTAACGCTGCACTTTGTAAATATGCACCAAATGTAGTAAGTTTTAGTATGTATTTAAAAATTTGCCGGCCGAAAAGCGAATTTTACTGCCATAAACATGACGCGGTCAGTGCCGGCGCAGCGTGACTGTATTTGTTTCTTGTTCACGGACCAAAAGAAAAAGAATGGGAGATAGATAAACAGATGGTATTCACAGGCGGTCTTAAGTTGTAAAAGCTAAGGTGCCTTTATGTGCACGCTAGTTAGATCAGCTACGTTCTGCTGCGATCGGACCCTCTTGCTGGAGCAGCCGGTGGATGGTACGCGAACAGCGATGGCACCGCATTGTTCTTCAAAGATGCGTATTTCGGGGAGAAACCCGCAGTAGTCAGCAGCCGCAGATCCCGTGTGCACGTATCTGGTGTAAAGTGCTGTGAGCAGCGCTTTGCATTGGAGCTCGAAGTCCACGGTCTTCCAAAGTCTGTCCGGCAAACGCCACCGACCCACACCTGGTGCCTCCCCCGGTCTCTTGGGAACTGGTGGAACCGCAGCTCCGGGTTGCGCACCGTATTGTTGGTGCAACCCCCAGCACTACAAGTCGTGCTCGGCATTGGCCGCGTCATGTTTATGGCAGTAAAATTCGCTTTTCGGCCGGCAAATTTTTAAATACATACTAAAACTTACTACATTTGGTGCATATTTACAAAGTGCAGCGTTAAAAAAGAAAATGTGCAACTTCTGTTTTGAAACTCCATGTGCAACTGAGTGAAGTGTCTCTCCGGCTCCACGACACGCGCGTGAGCGAGCAGCACCGCTTCACTCTCTTCCGCGCGCTCGCGAAAGCTATGCAGGAGTTAAATGAACTGTCAGGACTCAAATAAAAATAGAACGCATGATAACGCGGTAAGCATCCCTTGCCATCAGCAGAATCGCAGAATGCAATGGGAAACAAAGCATCCGCGCAACCATACGAGAGCATAGGACGAAACTTACGTCATTACCCACTATTGCTTCACTTGCTCACCCGGTGCCAGCGTTGCTCACCCGCTGTTTGGCCGCTAACCCAGCCGGTAAAACATTTTAATATTGGTTTTAGTCGGAAATGTGGCGTCGGTTTTACGTGATATTTTGGGTATGACTGTATTTTGACCCCCTAAAGCGATATCATCCATTTCTGTAGGGTCGACTTTTTGAGCAGAGCTGCCCTTTAACATTAGAATAAGGCAATTCCAAAAGTAACACACACTGGCTTATTCTGCAACAGAAGACATTTCTCCAGACAGAACGAAAAGGTTGCCCCACGAATGAAAAAGCACGAGAAGTTCAGCCATTACTTTAAATTTGAGATAAAAAATCTGTTAAAGTTTAGCTCTTTTTCTAGATAACTAAAAGAGGTATACACTATTCATAAGTCACTCAAAGATTTCCCCTATTAAAAGTATGTTGAAAAGGCAGCAATTTTATCATGTAGTTACCGTGCCATTGCGACCGTTGAGGCACTTGTCCATCCAGATTCTGCAGTGAAGCCTCCATCACTCGCTACAGTCTGAACCTCCAGAGCGTCCAGAACAGACTCTGAGCTATGAGAGGCATCTACACAGCTGTCATGATGTTGCAGACGTTGAACAGTGAGTTCACCTGTAGCAGAAAAGAACCCAGAAATCGTAACACATCAGAAAATTGGTTTGATGCCCACAGTCGTTTAACTTTTTTAATTACACAGTTTTACTACAACTGCATTTCGTCGCAGCTATGGAACTTTGACCTAGGCCGATCTCAGTTATGGCACCTGCGACTAGTTTGGGAGAACACACACTCTTTTAAAAACAAATGATAGACTCATACCTAGTGTCCAGCAATAGACCATTTGCAGTATTCCCAAGCGCTCCGGCCCGCACTCGAGGAATCACGGGAACGGTGATCCTTCAGCTCCCTAGCGATTCCTAATTTTCGACCAACTCCGTGGTTACACAGTTTTTTTTAGCGTAATTCGTGGTCACCCTGAACAAGCACCTGATATACCCCAAGGACCCGTCATATTACTTTTAAATTTGCTCGTCAAAGTCAGCATTTTTGATACTGCGCATGCGGTCCACCTTTCAACCTGACCTGAGCTGCAGAAATCTATTACAATATTATCATTCTCGTGATTGTTGTTTGAGCAGGAATTGCTTAAAAGGCCGATAATTCACAACAACAAAAACCAGGACTTAGCTCGGAGTCCGCGGGGCTGTTTATAGACTCTTTAGAGTTTCTAACTTAATATCACCATGATAATAATGCAAGAGATTTCTGCAGCCCATCCAGGTTGAAGGCCGGACAGCATGCACAGTACCAAAAACGCTGACACTGAGGATAAATTTTAAAAGCAATATGACAGGTCATTGGGGTATATCAAGCGCTTGCCCAGGGTGACTCCGAATTACGCTCAAAACCTATGTAACCAAGAATAGGGTTGAAATTACCAATCACTAAGGGGCTGAAGGAACACCGTTCCCATGATTCTTTTAGCACAGGCCGGGGCACTTGGGGGATATCGCAAATGGTCCCCAATTCATTTTTTCTTCTTCTAGAATTGCTTTGCTTTTCCGAAATGCCAAACAGCGTCATGACATCTAACACAACAGATGGGGGAATAGTGAAGTTCCAGGTGGAGCTATTACGATAATGCAAAAATTCATTCTCTCTGTGCGTTGGCTAAGAGAAGAGGAGTCTGTAGTTGGTGACAGGCTAAGAACCTAGCAGCAAACTCCGGGTTCTCACTGCAATTTTCTAGCTTTTTTTCCTATCCGGCTTTATGTTGCAAATTCGTGCTGGTACTGACTTTTGTCTGTGGTAGTTTCTGTCTGAAAACGTGAGACTCCAATGGTCGTGTCGCCATCGAAGTATTGAGTTTGCACGCTTCTTCGAGCTGATAGGCCTAACAACCGCCGACGTTACAATCGACACACTTCATCAGCTCCGATGGCTTCTCTTTGTGGGTCTGCTGTCTCATCCCCGACCCAAGAAACCACAGCGGTATGTGCGTTTCCTTGTGGCACTTTCTGTGGGGCGACGTGAAAATGCTTAGGTCACAGAAGTGCACTGGGTGAGATAAGAGAGTGTCGTCACTGCCGTGCTACCTCACCGGACAAAGTCTGCTTCTCCGCTGCCTTTAATAAATAAAGGATATGCTGAAATGACGCCTTCAAAGCAGTATTTACTGATCTGTGAAATGTGGCGTCTTTGCTAAGTCTTGCCGTATCGATCTGCTGCACGGTAAATGAGGTGAGCAATGATTGTCTCATCTTATCACTGTCACATGTAAAGGCGTCATCTGTCGAAGTTACAATAGGGTGCTGTCGTCACCCTTAAGGGCACGAGATTAAAATTCTTTCGGTACTTTTCCCAAGAACCGAGCCTTCCCTCGTGTGTGGCATAGAGGTCGCTGCCTATATGCCGCACAAGTGGCGGCTCGTGAGCCGCACGCGGCACTTTGCGTGTTAAAGTGCAGCTTCCGGCTCCCTCCCCTACCCCCCCCCCCCCCCCCCCTCCCGCATACCTCCCGGTCACACAAGCACTTCCCCAAAAAGAGAAATGAAACGACTTTGAAATCGAGAGAGGTTGTGGTTTGTTACTTTGGACTCAAATATATTGAAAGTAGTTTGAGTTTCGTTTATTGCTCTGGACAAAAGTTTGCCCCCACCCCCCTCCCCGTGGCTCTTGGAAGTTTTGTGGTTTTATTTGCGGCTCTTAGGCAGGGTCAGCCTAGCCACCCTTGGGCTATACGACATGCTGTTAAAATAAAGAAGCAAAAAATATTTCGTTTGGCGATTTTAATCTCCCCCGTGTCGACTGGTTAGATTATCTAGACCTTCTATTGACATAATTATTTTTGGCATGACGCTCGCACGTGATCTTCCTCATGTTGTCCAAGATTTTACGTGTGAACATGGTTGAAGTCGCTCAATTCTCAACTGTATTTTTGTTAGTAGAGCTTTTGCCCATTTTTCCCCAAGTCTTGAGGAGAGTAAGTCTGATCATTTACTAGTGTCTTTCTAATGCTATCTAAACCGTTATTCACAAAAGAAAAAAGTTTGCCTTAACTGTGAGGTACTTTTTAAGGTCCAATGATGAGTGTGCCTTGGATTATCTCAACATCTGCTTCAGTGATTTTGTTGAAGGCAATGTGCGTTTACTATGAGAGAAGTTTATTTGTATATGTAAATTTCACTTAGAAAAATTGGTGCTGGGTCGGCATAAAAGTATGCGACGGAGAAAACCCTGGATAGACAGAGAAATAATTAACCTTACTCGTAGAATAAAATGATTAAAGAAAAATTCTAAACCTGCAAATGTACAAGGTTTACAAGCTGAACCAGCATTGCAAGTCAAAGCTCTAAATGAGTATTTTTTGTGCACCCTTCTTAACTTTTAAAAGCATGATCCTGTAAAATTTTGGGTCTATCTGAACATACCAAACCAGTCGACCAGATAAAGGTTAAGAAAGTTATTATCAGCGACGTAAAAACAAATTGCTGAGCTGTTCAGCTTGTATTTTCTATCTGTATTCTCGAACACTGATTTGTACATCCCTGCTGCTACTTCAGTAGCTCCTATGAATGCGGATTTTATTTCTTTTCGCAGTTTGTTTGCCATGCTGCTGAACCTGAAAACAAAGTCGAGCTGGTGGGCCTGATAAGATTCCAAATGCATTCCTTTGAGAATATGCATTTATTGCCCACTTTCCGACTGTCATCTTTCATGCTTTGATTTGTTCTTGTGTATTCCCGAATGAATGGCGAAGCCCCCCATCCCGTTGTTAGCAATTACCATCCAATTTCTATTACAAGTATTATGTGTAAGCTTATGGAACATATTGTCAGTCATTATATTTTAAATTTCTTGGGAGAGGAATTAACGCCTTTTCAGCACAAGTACTGGAAGTGTTTCTCTACCACCACACAACTTCTCACACTAATTCATTACCTTGCAGCAAACTTAGATCAATCTGGACAAGTACAGATATAATTTTTCTCAACTTCAGTAAGACTTTTGAGAGACTTCCTCGCTGCAAACGTTTTAAACTAGAGCGTCTTGGGTTTTCATCTGAAATGGTTAGCTGGATAGTGTCTTGTTTGTATGATCGTAGCCAGTTTGTCAATGTTGGTGGTAATGCATCCGGTTCCCTCGGTGGTTCTTCTGGTGCCCCCTCCCCCCCCCTCTCCCAGGGCAGTGAACTGGGTCCCTTGTTATTTTTAACTTACATAAATAATACTGTCTCGGCAGATTGCTCAGATGTGCAGATGTTTATTTGCGGATGATTGTAATTTGTTTAAATGGATCTGCTCCGTTGCTGATCACATATTACTTAATTCTTGTCTTGCCAGTTTTGACAATTGGCGCAGTATGTGAAAAATGCAGCTTAATTCCGCAAAGACCGTTCATTTGCACATAATAAAATTGAAGCCTTCAAGTTCAATTACAGCAAAAAAATAATGTTACAGTATCTGAGGTGAATGAATATAAATATTTGGGTGTATCTATAATAAGTTATCTTCGCTGGTCCTAGCACATAAAGAATGTCTTTTCGCCTTTCGTAAACTAAGTTTGCTACATCAGGAAATTAAAAGTGCTCAGATTCCCATTAAGCTTCGAGCATGACTCTACTTAGATCAAAGTTGGAATATACTATGAAACTTTGAGATGGTACAGAGGAAAGCTGTTCATTTTATTTACGGAAAGCATAAGAGGCTAGATTCTCTGTCTTCAATAATAAGAGAGAACAATATGAAATTGGTAGTGCAGAAAGGTTGCTAGATTAAAAATTTTGTCTTTAGTTTATCATAGCAGGCTGTGTATCGATTTAAGATTATATTTGGTCCCATCACCTTCCAGAGAAGCTAGTCATCAATATCAGTATTCGCGACTCCAGCTAAAACAGATGGCACCTAGGGGGAACCACTGAACTCGCTGGAACAGGTCATTTCGTGATTTCTGCTCGTCTTTTCTGGCTTCTGTGATTACATGTTGTCGGTGGTTTGGGCTACAAAACAGTTGTCCCCGTGACTGTCGTAACTGTAGAATCAGCTTGTTCCCAGGTTGCCCTGCACGCGGCATACGCAACCGCGAAAACCAGACATTCCGCATTTATCAACGTCCATCAACAAAGTTGAAGGACAGTAGGCTGTCCCTCCATCGCTTCCTCGAAGTCAAGCATCTGGAAGCTCGCCTACGCCAACACATCGCCGCAGGTTCGAGTAGAGGATGAAAAGCGGGGCAAACCATTTTAAATCCAATGCTCGCTTGCTGACGCCCCAGCGTTGTGCGTTGAGCTGGCACGTGGCACGGTACAACCTGTTTTTGACCGCCATATTTGCATGATAGTGGCGTCCCATATAGGTCCCTGGAGTTGCGAAATCAATGCACCGCGAAACTGGGGGACATGAGACGAGCGCACACGGGGACATCAGAACACAGAACTCTGGTTGGAATGATTAGTCGGTAGACTCATCGAACGCGTTAGAACGCGGAACGCCAGCGTCTTGTGTTTGGCTTTCACATTCGAACGCGTTCAATGACTGCAGTGGAGACAAAGGCTTTAGGTCTACCCACTAATCCTTCCAACTAGAGCTTGGCGTTCCTTTGTCCCCGTACGCTCTCGTTTCCTCCTCTCCCTCAGTTTCTGAGCACATAGTGCCAATGCTCGCTAAAACAAACATTTTCAAGTTTTTTCTTTTTCTTTCCATAGTGGAACACCATTCCTTGTATTTTTTCTCGCCAATGATCTTAATAAAGCTCTGGACGACCAAACATTCTAAATGCCACTTTCTTTCTTGTTTTAGTTTTAATGCCTTATGATCGAGACGATGCATTGTGATTGACGAACTGATAGTTGTTGATAGATACACGATGGTTGTTGATAGATACAATGTAAATGCATTTTTCTTCGTACATTTCTTTTTTAATGCGCCTGTTTATTCCAGTGTGTAGTAGCGGATTAAATGTGTATTTTTTTTTTCCCAATAGTCTTGTTTCTGCCGTTTTGTACCCCACACCTGCAGGCAGAGGTCGGCATTTTAGGTCGCCCTCACTCACCCTCACCCTCACCTAAGCCCCTCACTCACCCTCACCCTCACAGCTACACTTACGTTCAGCCCCTCACTCACCCTCACCCTCACAGTCACACTCACCTTCAGCCCTTCACTCACCCTCACTGAACCTCACGCCCCTCACGCACTCATAGCCCTCACCGTCCTCACGGCCCTCACGGCCCTCACGCCACTCATGGCCCTCACGCCACTCAGGCCAGCTTCAGATGGGGCAATTTCGGCCAGAAACTTTACGTCGCAACACCAGCAACACGTGCCGCCCGCGATCACACGCAGCAACCAATTGCTGCAATTTGCCATCATCATCATAAAATTTTATTTGTTTTGCACTATTTAGACACAATTACGCGTTATAAACGTGTTTTTATGCATTTAAATCCCGTTAAGAATACTAATGCACCTTTCTGAAACAGTTTATTTACAAAAAAACGATTGATTTCAAACGAGAACCAAGTCTTTCGGTGTCATCATCACCGGCACGAGGTATCACGTGAAAATTTTGCGGCCCCGATTAGATGCAGCCGCTTCAAACGTATTCGAAATGCTTTGAGTTGCTTGCTTATTTCGTGCCGGACCTGATCTCAGCAATTCGTGTCGATCTAGGGAAAGCTAGAGAACAACCCGCCATTAACACCAAAATTGCTGAGAAAGATGCTCGATCTGAAGGGGGCCTCACACACTCACCGCCCTCACGCCACTCATGGCCCTCACGCACTCACACCACTCACGCACTCATGGCCCTCACGCCACTCACACCCCTCACGCACTCATGGCCCTCATACCCCTTACCGCCCTCACCTCCCTCACGGCCCTCACAGCCCTCACTCACCCTCACACTCATGAATTTTCCTGGTTCAGAAACTCACTCACCCTCCTCTCACCTGTGGAGATGAGGGTGAGTGAGGGCCCTCATGAGTGAGGTTTGCCGAGGTATGCCTGCAGGGACCTATTTAAAATACCTGCACGATGTAATAAATAAATTAATGTTCAAAAGAATTGAAATGGCGAAGCACGCGAGTTGGTTCATGTCTTGTAAAAGTAAAGAGTAAAGCTATACGCACTCCGGAGTGCGCTTCGCGCGGAAATGGCTATACGCACTCCTCCGAGAGATCATGCCGCTCGGGCCACCCTTTTCGAACGGCGCGTGAATCACTGGGGCGCTCGTTAACACAGCCCCCCGCCTGCGTTCACGCCGCTTCGCGGCGACAGTATCGGCTGCTAATTACAAAGCGTAACCAGTACACGCCGCTTCGCGGCGTCCAGGCGGCAATCCAAGCCCCGCTGTCCCCGATCGCACCTCCGGAAAGGGAGTCCGATACCATTTAGTTCTGCGAAGTTTCTCGACAACATTCGATTTTTTTTACTGTTCATCGCAAAAAAGGAAATGTCGTAAATATCGCCAAATGCCTCGACGAAACAAAATGTTTGAGAAAAAAAAAAAAAAAGTAGGCCCACCGCGGATCGAACCCGCGTCCACTTGCGTATGAAGCGGACACCCTAACCCCTATGCCATGGCACCGCTTAGGAAACACGTTTTGTCCACTCTTTTTATACGAGAAAAGCGGAGTGCGTATAGCCATTTCCGTCCGAAGCGCACTCCGGGGTGCGTATAGCTTTACTCAAAAGTAAAAGTGCTAACAATAGACAAGGACACAAAAGGAAGGCGGTTGTTCAAATGCTCAGTTGAGTTCGCCTTCTTTTTTGTCCTTGTTAGCGCTTTTAATTTTAAGTTCAAAAGAATGCCAAACTCTGAGCGCGTCACGCGTCAGTTTCAGCTCACATCAATGGTAACTCGGAGCAACTTGACTCAACGCGCCCATGACAGGCCGAATAACGGGGCAAGAAACAATACAAATAACCTAATGACTTACTTTTTTTCATTTTTTTTTTTTTTTTCACGTTATGGTAGTTTTAAGGTACCACACAATATATGACGCGGCGTTGAAGTGCCATTGCAGTACCACACTACGCAACGTTGGACGTCAATGCAAAATGCAAAAGCACGTGTAACGAGAAACAAGACATAGGAAAGATAGCATACCGAACGTGACCAAATATAGAGAAGACGTTACCAATACCGACCTTTGGGACTGGCGACACCGGTGACAACTCCTTGCGATTTGTTTTTAGCTGCTAGACGGAATTTTCGTTGACTCGGGTTGGAAGAACTACTCTGTCCTTTCCCAATCCGTCGCGTTTTCGCTTTCACAGCCAACGGCTTTCGAAATTTTCCCGACATGACCGCAAGTCTAAGCAGCACCCACGACGCACACCGACACAGCGACAGCACACACGTGCACGAGGATTCGGAAGATGTTTAGATTGGATTATATTGGATTTGCATTTGCCTTTAGCTTGCTGAGAGCTCGGAGTGCCTAGATCAACGAGCTTGAGTTAGAATGAATGGATGGATGGACGAACGGATGTTAATGGCTATACCTTTGTAACGAACCGTAGCTTGCGCCACCTAGCCTAAGTCTAAAAAGACAAAAACGTGATTCCTTCAAGGGAAACTGCAAATAAAGAAAGTGTATTTTTAAACAGCCTAATTGGGACAAGTATGTCACAAAACAATTTTTCCGCAAAAACAAAAGTTTTTACAGCAATATTTATTGCGCGAATCGCGCGCCACAAAGTTGGTAGTGACCGATAGCAGAAACTCCGCGAGCGTCAAAAAAGCGGGAGTTTCAAATGTGGATAAGTTGTGACACCAACTAAATTACATCCTGTGGCGTAAATATTGCTAGACAATTTTGTTTTTTCGCGGAAGATTTGTTTTGTGACATGCTTGTCCCAATGAGGCTGTTTAGAAAAAAAACACTTATTTTTCTTTGCAGTTACCCTTTAAAGGGGCCCTGCAACAACTTTTTGACGTTTTTAATTTGCACCGAACCTGAGCGCACTGAACGTAGTAACTTAAAGGGACACTGACACATCAAAATCATAATTTTTTTTATTATCCGAAACGATTGAAAACGATGCCGGGACATTACCCTCAAAATTTGAAATTTGGGAATTCAGTATTCGTGAAGTAAAAAAACAATTTCCAAATGCCAAATTCGAAGTTCCCGCGCGATCGGCGCCGGTGCCTTGACGTCAAAAATCGCGGAGACCTGAGAGTCGACTTCCTTTCACCACTCCCTGCTGTTGCCATGGCGACCCAAAGCGAGGAGGAAAGGAGCGGGCGGCGGCGTTCCGGCGGACCGGTTTTGAGCGGTGTCGCCTGTTTTCCGTTGGAGGATACAAATCCAGGAGACGGCACCACAACGAACTCCCGATTTTTGGTATTTCAAAAAGAAGGGCCGTACTGCGTTCGCAATTGCGTTAAAAAACATGTTTTAGGATTGCCGTAATTAAATGTTATAGAGATGTCGCCTACAAAGCTTCTAAATTTTATGATTCTTGACGTCACCGATCAAAAGAAGCGAGGAGGCGAGAGGCGGGAAAATCAAACGCCAAAAGTAAAAAGGCGCGCGCGCGCGAATATTTTTTTTCGCGATGCGGTTTTTTTTGCGTGTCTATGACTGCAACTTGCATCGTTTTAGACAATAAAAATAAATACGACCTTTGGGGTGTCAGTGCCCCTTTAAAGAAACTTTTCTCAAATTTCGCTTTATTTTAAAAGTTATAGGCAAATTAGAATTACAAAAACAAGCAAAAAATAACCTCCTTCATGACGTCGTAGGTCCTGTCTTGAGTGGCCGTGAACTAGAGGAGGAGTCGTGAGCTCATCGAGCGCTCACAGCTGCCGCACTCCATGTCGACAACTCGAGAGGGCGTCACTAAAGCACGTGTTGGATAGGCTGTATGAAGCGTGGGTGGTCAGGGCGGCTCGCATTGTATTTGCTGCGCGATTAAAAACTAATTCGGCATAACACTTCATTGGCCACAAGCAACAGCAAACACGAGGTAAAGATCCGTTCAGAACGGGAGCCACTTCGCGCTGCCATACCGCCAAATGACCAAATCGCCAGTCAAGCCCGAGCCGAAAGCCTTCGGAACGCTCGGAACCGGTCGGATCCTCGAGCCGGTATACGACCGTAGCGCCGCCACGTACATCCGGGATCTTTCTACACTCGCCGTTCGTTGGCACTAGGGATGTCGCGAACTTTTGTCGAACCAGATTTTTTGGTCGAACTTCCGGGGTTCGACCGAGTCGAACCGGTTCGACGAACCTTCGAACTTTTCACCAAATTCGACCGGTTCGACTTTATGGACAGTGTGGCCAGACCTTAATACAAGCATGTCTAGGTTTGGAGAATTTTTTTTTATGCAAGGGGTTATTTTATTTTGTGAACAGCTGCAATTAAAAGAAACTAATTCTAATCACTGAAGAAGTTAATAACTTAATATTTAGTACTGTATTGACTGAAATAGCCAATCAGCGCTGCACTTAATTCATCTCTTAGCCATTACCATCCAATCCGAAGCCAACTGGCCAGCCTGTCGCGCATGCGCACACGAGTCGAACCTTAATACAAGGTTCGTCGAACTTTTTACTACAAGTTCGAAAAAGTCTAATCTGGTCGAACTCGAACCGCGACCGGTTCGCGACACCCCTAGTTGGCACCTCATCCCACGAGCCCTTTCTAGTATGCACCGTTTTTTCCGCCGCTTGGTGGCGGGTTTGTCGACGGGTCTTTTCTTGTTTCCATATTTTATAAACTATATTTGTTTCTTTTGATATAAAATACTGAACAAAAACTACTTTCATAAATAATTGAAACGGTTCACGCCACTTACATTTTGTATCTCGACTAAAAAAAAAAACTTTTAGCGGCTCTGACCAGTAGTAAGCCCAGGACCAAAAACGTCACATATCGCGCGCTTTCGGCAACGCGGGTCGCCCTCGTCGGTGGAGGTTTCCGCGTCGTCCGGTTAAAATATGACGCACTGATATTTAGTTACTCTCTCCGTGCCCGTTGGCTTGCCCGAACCCCAAGAGATGTGGAAACCGTAAAAGAGGTAGATGCTTAAAAACGATTGCAGGGCCCCTTTAAGAGCAATTTTCTCCCCCTAACTACCAGGCAGTGTGGGATATCACCAGGATGACCTCCGGGGGATCGGGCAAAAAAACTAAAAACATCACCCCCCTGCCTCTTCCCCCCGGCGAGGGAGTCGCCAATTTTCCTCTGGTCAACCTTGTCGGCGTTACCCCAGCACCGGACCCACTGGGCGACAGGGTTGAGACTTTGGGCCGGAGCCACGCGGGAGAGTCCCAATGGACCTTTTCCAAATACCGACGGCACCAGGCGGTGGCTGCACAAACTAAAAATCGAGGAAGTGACCTACCTGCGCTACCATAGATAATGGGAGCTACGTTACCAGTTGCTTCGCTCTCTGAGCAGCGTCGCGTGCCCAACGCAACGAGATAGGCCTAACGCGACTTTAAAAAGGGAAATCCGTAGCGTCCACCCAAACGTCGTGTTTTTCTTTCCGTCCACTTTCTTTTTTTTTGTGTACCACAATTATATATATGCTGCAATTACATGTTCTACTCGTCGATTTACAGCCTCATTCCGAATTTCCTTGATTTTTCGTGCCGACTTCCACCGCTTGGCATCGGGCGCTCGCGCGTGCGCAGGACGCTTCTCGGAAAAGGTCCATTTTCCTCTGTCCCGCCAGTCCCCAGTTGTGCTAGTTAGTTGTCCATCATTTAATTTTCCCTAGATAATTTCCACCATTCTAATTGTCTCTTTTGTCACTGTAATCCTTTTCTCTTCCATCCTTCCATCGTCGCGAGTAAAACTCAGGGCCCCGGCCAAATCCGTTACCCCTTCAGGGAGGGCAGGGCGAAGCCCCGTGCACTTCAAAACAAAGTCACCAAGTGTTCTAGCGTCTCGCTATCACTATGGCAGGCGGCCCGCCCGGTCGGTGTCAGGGGCACAAAACGTGTATGGGAGCATGCTTTTCCCTGAATACCTGCACACCGGGCGGCACAGTGCAATAAAATACAATACAACACAATATAATGTGTCAGTCTCCTGAAATTTAGCCCTATACGTCCTCGACCTCAAAACTCCCGTTCTTGCCTCGAACAGCAAAGCACTTCCCAGTGAATTGTCAAACACTTTTTCCTTTCTTATGTCCCGCTTTCGTGACCTGTACAGGGTCGATATCACTCCTTCGCCCCCTTTTTCACTGAAGTAGTCTATTCAGCCACATCACCAGTGTGTAGGTATTTAAATGTAAGCTTTCGGGTTCGGTTTGTCCATTTTGCATTTAAACTTAAATACTTGAATACCTTCCGTGCCCACCGCGTATCATCCATTTCGGTCAACCTTTGTTCAAATTTCGACTTATTAATTGCCTCCCTGCTCTCAAGAGTCTTTCCAAGCACTCGATTGTGATTGAAGCGCGATTTATGGATCGAGACCACTGATCACTGTGTTCAGTGGTCGAGACTTGAAGTTGAAAGTGGTCGAAACTCGCAAGCATTGTTTGTCTGCAAACGCCTTCACCTCCTCGCCCGCTTTCTTCCTCGCTCCACGAAAATGCAATGCGTGCGCACTCGCAATCAACATATAAAATGTAGTACGAACCCTCAGACCTTCGTTCTACACCATCAACAAACAGCCTCATTGGAACCTTTCGTAGCGCACCGGATTTGGAAAGGAGTCAGATTTGTTATCTTTACGATGTACCCTTGTCTGCCTCGGGTTCCCGTGTATTAGAAAAAGGCCCCAAGTTTTGTTTAAACGTAAAACCGTCCAAGAATAGACATGATAGCAAATATTCATGAGGTAGCACACAAAATCTCCCCCGACGATGAAAGGTCAGCCTTTATAGACCAATCTGTGAAACGGTTAGGTACCATTGTTGACAGTTTGTTTAGGACTAATAGTCATGATTTTAGAGCTGTGCGTGATACGAGAAAAGAATTATAGAGCTCGGAGTTAGTTTGGAGATCTGTGTCATGTTTTCCTCCTTGTCCCCTCTCTCCAGGGTTAAAATGTCTATATTCAACTAGCTCGCTTGCACCCTTGCTTTAACGTCACTCCTGTTGCAAATGAAGATTACGTGTACCGGAGGCAACAGAGCCCAGACGCAGTAATTTTTTTTACGCATTTTTCTGGAGCTGTATTTGTGTGTAATATGACGGATTATCACCCTTGCATAGAATAGCTGTGAAGGCCGTGCAAGCGGTGAGCGAGTCTGGAGCACCCGCTGCAGGAGCGTTCAAACCACGTGATCCAAAGTAATTGCACTAGCTCGTGCTTTTAGCACACGCGGTTCAGTGAATTCAGCTACCGATTTCCCTTTCATTGCTTAAGTGTCATACGCTGCCTTGCATCGTTGTCTGGTAGTGCTCTCGTCGACCTGATGTCTTCTTTGTTACCTGCACTCACTGCAGAGAGCAACTCCAGACGCGAGGCGGTCCAAAGGAAACCTTGGTATGGG